TAGCTGAGTGGTCACATTAGTTATCTACATTAATCACATACCTATCAATTCTTAGGTAGTGAGTTTGATCACCACTCATAGCAAGGTGTGTATGACTCTGATTATAATTGACTAGGATTGTGACTTTTCCTGCCAAAGGTTAGTGGTTTTCTCTGGGTACTGAGGCTTCTTCCACCAATAATAACTGGCTACCATGATAAAACAAAGGGTGCTTAAAGTGGTGTTAAACACAAACAACCAATCAATCAAAGCTTTGATTGATGATTATTTGATTATTGTCAATCAAAGCTGTGATTGATGATTATTTGATTATTGTTAATCAAAGCATATACACCATATTACTGGTTAAACCAAACATCTTGACCATTTTTATACGGCCGCAAAAAATATTTTTGTGGTCGTATATTGGTATGACGTTGGCGTTGTCGTCGTCGTTGTCGTCGTCATCCGAAGACACATTGGTTTTCACACTCTTACTTTAGTTTAAGTGAATGGATCTCTATGAAATTTTACCACAAGGTTCAATACCACAAAAGGAAGGTTGGGATTGATTTTGGGGGTTATGGTACCAACAGTTAAGGAATAAGGGGCCAAAAAGGGGCCAAAAATAAGCATTTTTGTAACTTCCAGACATAACTTGTGTGTTAGTGTATGGATCTCTCTGACATTGTACCACAAGGTTCCATATCACAAAGGGAATGCTGGGATTGATTTTGGGGATAATTGCATCAAAATTTTAGGAATAAGGGTCCAAAAAAGGGGCAAAAAACAAGCATTTTTCTAGTTTCATGACAATAACTTGTGTGTAAGTCTATGGATCTTTCTGAAATTGTACTACAAGGTTCCATATCACAAAGGGAAACCTGGAATTGAGTTTGGGGGTAATTGCCCAAAATGTTAGGAATAAGGGGCCAAAAAGGGGCAAAAATAAGCATTTTTCTAGTTTCCAGACAATAACTTGTGTTCAAGTGTATGGATCTCTCTCAAATTGTACTGCAAGGTACCATACCACAAAGGGAAGGCTGGGATTGATTTTGGGGATAATTGCCCCAAAATTTTAGGAATTAGGGGCCAAAAAGGGGCAAAAAAACAAGCATTTTTGTCGAGCCTTCGACTTTTGTCGAAAAAGCGAGACATAGCGATCCTACATTCCGTCGGCGTCGTCGTCGTCGTCGTCGTCGGCGGCGGCGGCGTCCACAAATATTCACTCTGTGGTTAAAGTTTTTGAAATTTTAATAACTTTCTTAAACTATCCTGGATTTCTACCAAACTTGGACAGAAGCTTGTTTATGATCATAAGATTATATTCAAAAGTAAATTTTGTAAAAAAAAAATTCCATTTTTTCCGTATTTTACTTGTAAGTGGACTTAGTTTTTCTGCCAGTTAACATTACATTCACTCTGTGGTTAAAGTTTTTAAAATTTCAATAACTTTCTTAAACTATCCTAGATTTCTACCAAACTTGGAAAGAAGCTTGTTTATGATCATAAGATAGTATCCAGAAGTAAATTTTGTAAAAAAAAAAATCCATTTTTCCGTATTTTACTTATAAATGGACTTAAGTTTTTCTGCCAGGAAACATTACATTCACTCTGTGGTTAAAGTTTTTGAAATTTTAATAACTTTCTTAAACTATCCTGGATTTATACCAAACTTGGAAAGAAGCTTGTTTATGATCATAAGATAGTATCCAGAAGTAAATTTTGTAAAAAAAAAATTCCATTTTTCCGTATTTTACTTATAAATGGACTTAGTTTTTCTGCCAGTTAACATTACATTCACTCTGTGGTTAAAGTTTTTAAAATTTTAACAACTTTCTTAAACTATCCTGGATTTGTACCACACTTGGACAGAAGCTTGTTTATGATCAAAAGCTAGTATCTAGAAGGAAATTTTGATAAAATTTTGTTCCATTTTTTCTGTATTTTACTTATAAATGGACTTAGTTTTTCTTCCAGTCAACATTACATACATTCTGCAGTTTAAGTTTTTAAAACATTTATTAGATTAATAAATTATCCTGGATTTTTACCAAACTTGGACAGAAGCTACTTACAATCAAAACATAGTATAGAGGGGAATATTTTTATTAATTTTTTTCCTCATTTTTGTTGAGCCTGCGATTAACACCAAAAGTAGGCGAGACACTGGGTTCCGCGGAACCCTTACGAATTTTTCTAGTTTCAGGACAATAACTTGTGTGTAAGTGTATGGATCTTTATGAAATTGTACAACAAGGTTCCATATCACAAAGGGAAAGCTGGGTTTGAGTTTGGGGGTAATTGCCCTAAACGTTTAGGAATTTAGGGCCAAAAAGGGGAAAAAAAACCCAAGCATTTTTCTAGTTTCCAGACAATAACTTGTGTTCAAGTGTACGGATCTCTCTGAAATTGTACTGCAAGGCACCATACATTGTAACACAAAGGGAAGGCTGGGATTTAGTTTGGGGGGTGATGAATCATAAGGGGGTTCAAAAAATTTGAGGGGGGATTTTTCCCCCTTTTTTTTCTTTAAAATTTTAGATTTTAAATTGGTTATTTCTGATTTATATATAAAAGCAAATAATAATGATATGGTTTGAATAGGTAAATTAAAATTTTTTAAGTTCTTAGACCACATTCATTCTGTGTCAGAAACCTATGCTGTGTCAAATATTTAATCACAATCCAAATTCAGTGCTGTATCAAGCTTGAATGTTGTGTCCATACTTGCCCCAACTGTTCAGGGTTCAACCTCTGCAGTCGTATCAAGCTGCGCCCAGCGGAGCATTTTATTCATTTCTCTGTTTATAAATAAAGCAGTTTTTGTCTCGCCTTGACGGAGTCAAAAAGCGAGACATAGGTATGCTGTTTCCGGCGGTGGCGGCGGCGGTGGCGGCAACAATGTATTAGTTTATGATTAGGTCTAGTTTATGGTGAACCACTAGTGGTAGGTCAATGATATTTGGTATGCAGTTGTATTAGCATTGGCACATCTCATTACCATGGAGATTATTTGGCCCTGCCCCCTCAGTCATGGTCTATTGACTTCTAAACTTTGCTTAGTTTACAGGTATTAGTTTGTGATTAGGTCAGTTTAAGATGAACCACTAATGTTAAGTCAATGATATTTTGTATGCGAATGTATTGGCATTTGCAAGTTTCATTTCCATGGAAATTATATAACCCCACCCCCTCATTATGGTTCATTGACTTTGAAACTTTTACATAGTTTACAAGTTAATGTTTGTGTTTAGATTTGTTTAAAGGGAACAACTTATGAAAAGTGAATGGTATTTGGTATGCAGTTGTATTAGCATTGGCACATCTGATTCCCATGGAGATTGTTTAGCCCTGTACCTTCAGTCATGGTTCATTGACTTTGAATATTTGCATAACTTACATGTTAAATTATTGCTATTATAATTTCAACATTTGCATTATCAAAATAACAAATAGGCGAGACATATCTCTGTGTTAACAGTTTATAGTACATGTTTTTACTAGGTACCATTAATATTTTCATTATTCATTGATGATATCTGCAATGTGCATACATCCAACCTTAAAATGGTTAAATCTCTTGTCAGAAACAAGAGGATTTTCTTACTCTTTATTGCTGGCATCGAGGCAAGAATATGTTGCATTGAGTAAAATTTTCTATTGGTATAGACAGTGCCTACTTGTTTTGTCAGCTATAATAATACAAATGCCAAGGTGAAAGCAAAAATAAGTTTACCAAAATATCAAAATTATGCAGATTTTACATAATTCTTATTACATTTGAAGTATTATTGGCAGTAAATTCTAAATAAGTTGCTCCCTAAGTACCGTTTAATCTTATCATTACATTGATCTTTATTGAGAAAACTTTAATTTGATGTAAAAATGTCAGAATATTTTATTATGCTTTTTATACTCTTTTTCCAAAATTTATTGACTTTTTATGAATTTTTTTATAGCGCATCAAATATTGATTTGATAAATGGGCACTACAAAGAAAAGTTTTAGGGGCTTATTTGGTTAGAGATGACACAAATCTAAAGATGTTGAATTAAGGACCCATAGACTAGTGGGTTATGCTTTTGTTATATCAACATCAAAAGTTGGTTCAAAAATAAACTAACCGGTTTATTTTGTATTGTTTGATATAGATAGGGTATCTTATGAACAAGGAATGTGTTGTTAAATTTAACCCTGTTACCTAGAAGGAGCAGATAAAAGTTCATTGGCTTTTCATTTTATTGAAAATTACATGGCATAAATTGCTCTTGTTCCTTTATTTAGATTACTACTGTTATTTATGTACAAATGTTTTGGCTGCTTGGTATCTTTTCAAGTTTATTTTTAACATTTAAGAGAGGTGACATTTTATACCGATTTTTTTTTTTTTATAAACAGCTTTTAATGACTCCAGTTTAAAATTATTCAGTGATAAGAGGAATGGTTTTGGTAAAAATAAAAAACATGTTAATTACAGTGTATTTAAATATTTTTATACCGTTTGATTTATTGTGGCTTATGATGACACTATCTCTAAATACTAAAAAATTGTTCTGACTTATTTGAATCTTTTCAAATGTATATTAAGCAGATATATTCTTATAAAATTTGTTTGAAAAGAATGATTGATTAATTGATGGTGGTTTAAATTCTTTTCAACATGCATGGACTATACTGAGAACAATTTTTTTCAAAATAACTTTAAGTAAAATGAATATTATTTAAAAAAGTATATGGGTGTCTGTGTTATGAAGGGATAAAACTACATTGAGGAAGGGATATGGAAAACATACAGTTTAGTCCAGTGGTTAATTTACAGTTGCTTCCCAACCTCAATGTGCAGTTATAAAAACTACCCCATAGGTAAATTGGATGAATAATTTCATAGGTTTAGAAAGTTTCTAAAGAATTCCTCTTCCAAAAATAATTATCCCTGTTAAGTTATGTATGTATATAATGAAAGAGCATTAAAATTAAACTTAAGTAAGTTATGTATTTGTTCTTTCTTTTTTTAACAGGACCCCAAACCAACAGATGGAGGATCATTTAAGTGTACAGCTAGTAATGACTTTGGAGAATCAAATGCAAACATCACTCTTAACTTCCAAGGTATGAACAAAAATTATAAACTTTTGATATATTTTGAATTGCCTAGGAAATTGCATTTATTTTTTTAATTTATTGTAGTATCAATCGTAGATATGTATGTAAACTTGTAGGCAGAAGTAATAGACAGTATTGCTAGATGAATAATCAAACATTTAGATATTTTATTTTCGTTAATGGACAGAATACAGTACAATTTCTTATTGCATAATCGTTACATAACTGCTATTTGATAAAAGTGGAAGCAAATTATATGGTCTGTTAACTGAAAACATGAAACAAAAAGCAATACTTTGAAGCTAATGTAATGATGTAATACCTTTATTTGTAACGTCATAACATTGAGTAATCAGGTTTTATGTACTTTCATTTTCAAAATTAGACCAGTCTACTTTCATTTTCAAAATTAGACCAGTCTACTTTCATTTTCAAAATCAGACCAGTCTACTTTCATTTTATGCATAATTAATGTATTCAATTATTTTGAAAGAAATAATTCAGTTAATGCATGTATTCAATTAATTGACACAAATAAATGACATATCAGCATGTATTTACAGTAAAATTAGTTCTATTGTATTAGAACAAATGTGTCAGTTCTAGTTTTAGATGAATTTTGATGGATCATTGAAAGCTAAGAAATATGCAATTGCTTATATGTATATTTGGTTTGCCATATTTTGTCATTGGGAACTATTGGTTGGTCATGCTTACGATATTATAAACTTTACAAAATGTAATATTTATCATAAGAGTTACCAACTATGACTGAATTTTTGTTGTCTCTGAAACTTTTACTTCCTCTGCTGATAAAATATGGTCAAGCATATAAATGTGTGAAAAATATCAACATCCCCAATGTTATGTATATACCATTTTATATCATGATTTTAATTGTTTTCTTATTTGCAGTTGTTAAGAAAATTTTCGTTATACAAGTATTTAGATACGAAAATTTTCATCTTGGTGAAAATGGTGAGACGATTTGTTGTGACTAACCTACCAGAATGCATCTGTCATTCTGATCAATGTGCCTTTATAAACCTGTCATCTTTCAAAGCTGTCACATGTTGACCAATTTTCTCTTTTTAACCAAAAGATAGTTAAAATATTAAAATATAAAAGCATACAGCAACAAATCTTTAATTTTCACCTGATACTTCGTAGAGAGAAAAAAATCATTTGATTTTTATAGACAGGTTAGGAAAAGCTAAAATAATGAGATTTTTTTTCTCTCTTTATTCGTGGCATCAAACAATTCATATGATAAATACTCCGTCAGGTCATTACTATAAATACATTATATGGTTTCTACACATGTGGCAGTTTACTCCTCCTACGATTATTTTAAGTTGTAAAACATTTACTCCTACTTCTGCTAGTAGAATAGCATTTTTTGTTCGAAGATGTTCACCATATCCTGATTACATCTTCATTTCACAAGATTTGAGCCTTCCAACCTCATCAAATTTATTACATGGCCTATTTACCCAAATATACATTAACCTTTTTCAAAACCAATTCAACAAACTGGCATCCTCTATCACTGAAGTAGAAGTGATAGTTCAATTTCACAGCTCAACAAACCAACTGTAAGGAAAAAATTGTTTTAAATGCTTATTTTATAAAATGAAAGAGCTTTCTTTTATATTGTTTCATATTTTGGTTTCGCTGTTTATTTTTGGCTTGAATTATTTCTTTATGTTAACAGACATGTTAGAACCTTCATTCTTGTATGGCTTTGCAAAATAATGTTCATCAAATTATTTGACATACACAATTGATAAATTCATTCATTACTTTCAGGATGAAAGGTATTCATAAGCTCAAACTTGAAATGAGGACTAGAAACTTACTTTTAAGTCTGCTTAATTATTTTGAAAAAGCAGACTTCAATTTCTAACGATCTTTATGATTAAAGAATTAGCTGAAACTATGGTATAGTTACCATGTGTAAATATATACATGTCCTAGACAACCACTTCAGGTTTGAGCAACTAATATTCTACTCTGTACTTTTCAAGTGATTCACAGCTATTCTATTCCATATTTACCTTTAAGGTGCTGAACAGAAAGATAAACCAACCGAAGAAAAAGAAAAACCAGCTCCACCAAAACCAGCTGAAGAAAAAGAAAAACCTGCACCACCAAAACCTGCAGGGACTGCTCCAACCTTTACAGAAAAACCAATTATCAAACAAGAAGGAAAGAATTTGATTGTACATTGTAAATGTAAAGCTAATCCTAAACCTACCTTTACATGGTATAAAAGTGGTCTCCCTTTGAAGGAGACATTCAGAATCAAAACCAGAGTGGATGGAAAGGGAGATGACTATGATACATTTTTGGATCTCATTGTAAGTATTTGTTATCTCCCCTTGTACATTTAGTAATTCTTGATTGTGTTTTCAGTAATAAACTGATTAAAGCCATGGTAAAGACTTTTATTAAAATGTTATTGTTAAATAGTGTTAATCACCATCCAGTTGTACTTCCAGTTGATTCCTATATTTTAGCATTGCACAGGGTTGTCTTGACACTTGGCCATGTACTGACACCCTTACATGGACCTGTTAGTTAATTTTTAACCTTGCTGGAAATTTTTGTCCATTTCCAATAGTATCCACCTTTATAACAGACTGTATATTATTTCAAACTAGATACTATTAGGAGATAGCAGGGAAATACAATTTTCCTCAATCCAAAAATATTGGTACCCATGAAAATAAATGAATCCACTGTATGCTATTCATGGATGTAACTAACATTATGCTGTTATTCATTTCAGAATGTCACTAAGAATGATGGAGCTGAATACAAAGTTGTAGCCAAGAATGCACATGGAGAAGGAAATGCTACCATCACTGTTAATATGGATGAACCTCCTAAGTAGGTTTGGGTAATTCCTATTAGCAAAGTCTGTTCAATACCCGACTTCATTGTTGAAGGCCGTACGGTGACCTATAGTTGTTAATTTCTGTGTCATTTGGTCTATTGTGGAGAGTTGTCTCATTGGCAATCATACCACATCTTCTTTTTATATTTAGTCATTGTGGATTTACTGATTTATATATATATGATAATACTTGGAACTGTTGTTCACAGCATTTAATTGAAAATAACACATTATACATTTTGTATGTTAAAGCGTCACCAAGAACGTTGAAACCTAAACATGAGAAAGCCATGGATGTATAAAAGTACATAAAAATATTAGGAGCTATATGACCAAAAAGGGACCTTAAAGGAATAACCAAATCCATCTAAGATCAACTTTGCCGGAGGAGTTGGAACCTTAGGTTCTTGATATTTATGGAATTTTAGAATTGTCAGTTTGACATCATGTCATTTTTGGAGCACCCATTAATGTGTTAAAATTTAACCTTAATTAAATGTAAAACATAACTGTTTGACTTATGTGGGTTTAATGAATTTTGAAATATAACTGCAGTGAAGCAAGGAAATATGTACTGTAAAAAAACTGGTTTTAATTATAAGATATACTTCAAGAATATTATGACTTCCTCTCGATCTTTGAATTACAAGCAATTTACCAATTGCTATTCAATTATTTATCAATTAGTTCTGTCAATTGATTTCAGTAAAACTGCTTTTTTTATACTTTTTTTTTTTTATCTAGGGTAAAAATAGATCTTATTCTAACCAAGGAAATACTCGTGCTGGACAAGGGGAGATAATCAAGTATTATTTTGGTCTTTCAGATGTGCATACATTTTAAGATTATCTTTGCAGTATTTTTAACATTAAATTAACATAAAGAAGAGTAATAGACAGTTGTTTTAGCTTTAGGTTATAACTTGTACACACATTTAGATGCTAGTTAAGGGTATGGTTAAACTGTTGTGATTTTGGTGTTTTTAATTTTTTAGAGCTGCAGAGCCACCACCCCAGTTTCAAGGTTTACCACAAGTAACATTGGAAGAAGGAGGAAAAAGATTAGTCATTACACAAAAAGTTAAATGTAAGACCAAACCAACATCCATGTGGTACTTCTTAAATAAACCAATCAAACATGGGGGAAAATATTTCCTTGAAATATCTCAAGACAGAGATACCTACAATGTTGTATGTGAAGTTTTAAATGTAAGTAGTGTATTGTTTATTATTTAAATTATCCTATTCTTTCCCCACATATTGAGAAAAAAGATTATCACTTAAGGAATCTCTACCTCTACTAACCAAATGATATCTTGGAAGACAGCATAATTTACATAATGAAAAGCTTTAATTTGAAACTCCAATAATTTTATGCTTTGTGAAGTATATATAGATGAGCAGGGATTTTTTCAAGGTTAATGCCAGTGTGATAAGACACCATTAAATGTTATCAATTAATCAAATAAAAGCATCAATACTATAAAAATTTTGGAGAAAATCATTTATAGCAAATTTCCATTAATCCAATGTTTGTCAATATATTCTGCAATTTTACACTTCAGCCTAAAGATTTAGACTCTGGTGAATACAAGTTTAGCATTAAAACACCTGGAGGAGAAGGATCAGGGTCAGCTAGAGTTGACCTCAAAGGTTTGTATCAATTGTCTTTTTTATGATATGTTTGGAAGATAATATGGTTCAGAGGTTGTTCTTTAAAAACATATATGGGACCCAGAGAAGGCACTTAAAATCTACACTATGAATGAGTGTCTGTCTCATTTTCCAAGTGCCTTCTGTGGGTACTGTGAATTTTTTATTGGAGCAGACCTCAGTAAACTTCCTGTCAATCAGAAAAGGACAGATAAGACGATGTTCAAAGGAAAACAAAAATGATATAGATAAGTAGTATTAATGTGGAAAGAAAACTAAACTCAACACAGAGCAACAAAAGAAAAATAAATCTGAGATGAAATAAGATGAATAATTATGTAAGGGCTGTTCCATTAAAAGATATATGGAATAGGCATATCATCTTTGATTGAGACACTTGTCAAGATAATGATAAGTTATAGGTTCAGGTTAGAATAAACGTTAAAGGTTGTCTTATGACATATGTTTTTTTAAATGTTCATCATGTACTTTTAGAACATAAGTCATGAACAGGTTAATGGGCTATTATAGGCGAATCCATATAATAACTGAACTTTGGTTACATTTTTTTTACTGAAATAAAATATTGAATCCAAAAGCAGGAGAACAAAATCAAGGATTGGATAATGTAATTGGTAATTTGTATCGCTCATCAATTAAAAGCCAGTGAAAAGAATCTTATTACTGATATAAATCTTGAAGAAACAAAATTATTATTCAAAACACTGAAAAATATTTTCGGTGACTTATTTTGTTGAAGTAAACATGTGACATGTTTAAATTTCAGCATTAATGGCTCCTAAACCAAAAGTACCTAAAGGATCACCACCATCATTCACTCAAAAGTTGGTACCAACGGTAAATATGTTTTACAATACAACTAATGTACTATGCAAAATATTTGGGATAGGTATGATATCAGTATTAGACACTTGAAACAGCATTACAATTTTGAGACAAATCATCTCTATAAAGTTGAAAACATATATCTTTTACAACTTGAACATTTTGTAGAAATTTTATTTGATTCATTGACATCTTTCACAAACAGTTGTAATGATAATTTGAATCATGTACGGAAGAATGAATAAGATATAATTAATTTTTGACAAAAAGTCAATACACACATTTGAATAAAGACAAAGCAAAGTTACAGTGATTGTATTGCTGTTCTTCATCTCAATGTCAGAGTGAGGCCTTCAACATGGAGCAAAAGCTAAAACTCACTGCAAGTTCAAGATGGCCCCTAGCACCATATTTACAATTTAAGAAAATATGTAAGCGACCAGGCAGTGTAAAATCATCATACATGTAGAGTGACATACCAAACAGATGTAAAATATATAAGTTTTGTACAATTATTACTAGACTGTCATTTTATGAAACAAAACAATGAAGAAACTCTGGAAGATGATTGTCTTTCAATATTTTTGCTTTTTGTGCACACAGGAAGTACTTGATGGTGATGCATGTGACTTAATTGCCAAAGTTGCTGGGAATGAACCTATTGAGGTTGTGTGGTCTAAGGATGGAGATAAACTTAAGCATAGCAAAGATTGTCAAATCACTTTCAAGGACAATGTTTGTCGCCTGTATATCCCAGAAGTTTACCCAGATGATGGTGGCAAATATCAAATTGACCTAGAAAATGAGTATGGAAAAGCAATGACACAGGCTACTCTTGTTGTCAGCGGTGAGTTTTATTGGTGCTTATATCAGGATATTGGGGCCATTACTGTAGAAATCACTTTACATGTTTTTAACTTTAACACAAGCTTACCAACGGTTTATTTTCCACTGCCTTTCTGTTACTTAATTTAAATGTAAATTAGAGGCAACAGTATTGTACAGATGTTCATATCATACAAATTCATTAAGAAGATACAAGTCATGATAAAAACAAAAACTAAGGGAATCACATGATCAAAAGGAGCAAGACCTGTTGCCGCGACAGGGTAAGGGTCTCCTCCTATACTTGCATCACCCTCCATGCTAATGCACACTCAGTCAAAATGTCACAATTAGGAAAGGAGACAATGGGTAAAATTACACAATCGGTAAATTTACAGATTATATAAAAATAACCCCTTGAAGTTGACTTAAGATACCAGGGCGTAAAAGGTGTTATTTATCAAGCAAAGTAAAGAAAACAAATTTTGGTTGTCTAGAAAGTGTTGTATATCTAACAAAATGAACAAGTGTTGTATATTGAAAAAAAAAAAAAAGATAGCTCACTTTGATTTAAATACAACTGTTTACAGCTTTATGAGAAAATGCTGTGAAACAGTATTCATAGGATGGATTTTCCTTATTTTTTTGTTTTGAATACTTTAAAAGAATTTGAATAAATTGAATTTGACTTTTTTCTTCCACAGAAAACCCTGACATGGCATTGCCAGAAGTTACTCCTATGTTGGGTGATGATCCCACAGGAAAGGTGGTAGAACAGGTACTTAATAAGATTACATTTCATAAACAGGGAGGTTACTAATCTTCACAATTTAAATGAACCCATATTGAAGTTTTAGGAAAATTGAACCAGCTAGATTCTACAAAAAATACATGTATCTTAAAGCATAATCAGGAGAAGTGTACAGTTTATACTACTGGATGAAAGATAATTATTAGAAGCAAATCTACTAGCAACAGTTTTTATGCCCCCGCCGTAGCAGAGAGGGCATTAATTATTACCCTTGTCCATCCGTCACGTCCGTCCCATCCCCAAAATTGGTTTCTGTTCTCTAACTTTAGTTTGCTTCAAACAAATGTTTTGAAACTTATGCTTATAATCACAAAACTGTCTTAACTAATTGAATCCTGCATCTGTATGTGGAAGTTGACTCATGCATATTTACAAGTGGCTGCATCTTTGGCCCATAGACACATTGTCCATTTATTTGACTTTGAATTGGAAGTAATCAGTGTATAAATACTCAATTTATTGTGTACAAACCATAGTTTCAAGTTCTGTAGAGGGACAAGTCATAAGATTCATTTGAATGTATATATATATATATATATATATATTCAAGGATAGAAGTGAAAATTAAGATGTAGAAAAGATCCAAAAAGAAGTTGATAGTAAAAATGATTGAATTAATGATATATTAATTATTATTAAATATGTAATGATTTATTATTTGTATTTCAGAAAATACCAGAACCTGAAAAGGTTAAGCCAGTAGAAAAGATACAACCACAAATTAAAGAACCAGAGGAGATAAAAGCTCCAGAGAAAAAGAAAGGTATAGCTTTAAATAGAAGTGAACTCTGTATTAATGTATAGAAATAAATCTTGAAAATGAATCTACTTCTTATTTTGTATGAATTGAAATTTTGTGGATTTTCTTTTGACTGTTAAATCTATTAGATTTGGGAGAGAATATATTGTGATGGTAAAGTTCATATGATTTTATTTTTCCAAGATATTCAATCCAAAAAAGTTTAAACTTCAAAGATAGCATAGTTTATGATTCAGTGGAGAATTTATGGAATTTCAGTGTAGTTGATCTAAAGAAAAATAAGATTCATTTACAAGAATGTGTTTTTGATGACTCAGCACTGTTTTTGCACACATATATATTTGCTAGATTTATCCACTATTTAAGTTTAGTATTATTTCCACACAACATATTTTTTATTTTATTGAATGTTGTATGAACAGATTGACTGGTTTAAGTGAAAATTAATAAAGTTATAAAGAATAGTTTTGAACTTTGAATTAAATGAATAATAGTTATATTGAATTGACTTTATAGAAATTAGTTTGTTTCCCTTTTCATTCTGAGATATAGCCTTGTCATAACTTATTAAGTTAATTTGCAGTTTATTGGCATAGAACACATTTTTAATCCGAAAGCACAAATGAATTTAATTTCCTTGAAAAAATACTACTCATTAAGTTCTTGTTTAATTCTGTTCATATTAACATTATAGCACTTGTATTATAATTTTCACAGTACCATGTAAGTGTTTCTTATAGAACTAGATATTGCTTCTAAGAGTAAATACTTGGCATTCTTATTTCTTCAAATCAATTTTTTATGAAAAGTTTGTAGTTACAGTTACAAACTTTAGCATTTCTATGTTGCTCAAGAAAAAAAAAAACCTAAAGAACACTTATGTGGTAATTTATATACACAATACACACAAGAATATGAAGCCCACTTAATTTGACACCTTATTTGATGTTGTGAACTTTTTTCTGTTCAAATGAATGGATTGGACAGGCTGTCACACATGAAGAGATGTATCAGGATTTACAGTTGGTGCAAGGTGGATAGGATTCTGAAATTGATATAGATGTACTCAAAAGTTTGACATTAATCAGCAATATGTATAAAAGTTGATCAACCCAGTTTTGAAAATGAGAAAAATAATGTTTAGTTGTTTTCTTTCTATTAAAAGCTATTTCTCTTCATATGGAAAAAAGATATACCATTTGAAATTTTATGTAATACACGTTTTTTGTTTTTCTGGTATCCTGATACATTTGCATCACTATTCTTGCACACGTTTTTTTCACCTGTCCGTTCCATTTATTTCTTAATTTTTTTTTTTATAAAATATGTATTCATAATATATTATTTTATAATTTGCACCCTTTATTTTATAGAAAATGCTGTATAAATATGAAACTGTGAATGCTTGATATATTAAATTAAAGTCTCTTTACTTAGAAGAATAAAAAATCGTCTTTTTTGTTTATTATCATTGTCCGAAAGTTTTCAGGATATTCCAAGCATCAATATATTGGTATTTAATAGAAATGGCTGTCTTTTTCTTTATATTTTTTTACTTATTCAAGAAGCCCTTCAGTCATAACTCAAATCTATAGTTTTTATTTTGAACTCATGAATGTTTCTTTTCCATCAAGTATTGCCTGTCACCTTCAGTACAAAATGATGTAGCTTATTTTTTATCAATCCTTTAAAAATTCTCAATACTTATTTTTGCTAACATTCACAGTTTCTGTTTAAAGTTTCTTTAGTTTTCACAGTAGGGTTTATTATTCAGTTTCTGTCCTTTAAAAATGACTGCCAAATGAATAGACTTTAACATATCTAAAATGAATACAATTTAATTTCATAGTGAATATGAATATGATTATATATGATAATTTGTTTGGTCAAGTTTTGTCTTGAAAGTAGACAATTATCTAGTTCAGTCATTTTTATAGGAACACTTAATCTTTGTTTTACTGTAGTTTACTTTAGTTCTGTTACTTTTCCTTCTTCTTTGACCTTTTTGCACCTCTTGAAGAACCAGCACCGACAGAGCCAAAGAAAGTCTCAGCTCCTCCACCACCATCTATAGTTATTGGTGATGAAAATGAAGGTAGGGTCAAAGTTCAGTGATAGAAGGGAGACAACTATCCTGTAATCAGAATTTTACCTGATTTATATGGAAACAGTTTCAATGTTGATTGAAATAAGTGATGAATGTAAATAATTCTTGAAAGATAAAATTTATTTAACTTTCTTGTTTTATTGTAGATGTTCTGTTTGCCTGCTTCTTGTTTAGGTGCATGCTTTATCTCACTGCCTGTGATATGGAAATCATATTTAAGATTTGTTGTCATATACATTGAGTATAGGTAAGGAGTATAAAAATGTATACCTGCGTCATTTACTTGGGGAAAATATATAACTGGCATCATAGATATATAGGACTAACCCCTGACTGACCCCTTTCACGTTTTATATGTCCTCCAATTTTACTCTGATTGACTAACAGTCATAACGCACCCATACTGTCAATTTTATGCTGAATTTTTAACAGATAATAAATTTATTCGAACTCCTCCTCGGAAACAAAAGATGTATATTAAACAACCAACTACTATACTTGAAGAGGCAGGTATGTACTTACTTAACTTTGTATAATAGTCAACAGTCAAATATAATGAAAATTTCAAGTTTTTTTTTTAAGTTTTCAGTAACTTATAGCCGATTATGTCTTATATTAGTACCATGTCTTAAAAATATCAAATTCTTGTTGTATATTTTTTTTGGGATTAAATTTTATTTCCCCAAAAAAGGTTTCAGAAATTAATATTATGACTTCTTTCAAATTTTTTTAATTTTCTTTAAATGAATTTGATTGTTTTCGATTGGCTGTTGACTATTAAGGCATGCATGCAGTTGGCTGAGCTTTTGCTGTACAGATGTCTTGCATGATATATGTCCCTAATTATTTTATATGTTGTATAAGTATCATGTAAAACATTTCATATGTAAATCATTTAATATTAAGCAATTTTTAATATCAAATTTCATTAATAATATTTTTTTAATTTTTTTTTTTTTTTTACTATTTTTTACTATTTTTTTGGTTTATTAATTCCTCTTTTTTAAAGCAATTTTTTGATTATTTTTTTTAGCGAACAGAATTTGTCAGTTTATCAAAATACAGAAAACATTTTTATTTTATCTTCACATTATAAAATCTTCATTGTTGGGACATTGTCATGTGACTGTTGTCATAGCAATAACTCACAGTATCACCCTTGCTGTGAATTTTACTATTTTTCAGAAATTTTCACTGAATATAGAATTTTGGTTGTTTTTCATAGAAAGATGATTTTCATTTGGAAAATTTTTATTTTTTATTTGAATATTTTACTAGGTGACATTTTAAACCCCATAGCTTAGAGACTATTAATGATTTGATTCAGCAAGTCTAATTTTCATGCCGATTTTTGGAATACAGTACTCAAATTGAAATTGAAAACTGGTAGAAAATTAAAAAAACTTTTATGAAAAAGTTTAAAGTTGGCATTCATAATATGTCTTTGTAAGATAAAAAAAAAAAATGAAAACCTTTGAAATATTAGATTATTGATAGCTATATAAAGAAAATTTGCATTAAATGAGAACAATTTAGGTTTATGATATCAATATAATCTGGCTAACTTAACAGCTTAAGATATGAATGATAGGACATAGAATATCAAGGTGCCATATATCCCAGATTTTTTTTCATCCACAGAGAAGAAAATTGTATAACATATTCTATGTTATTTACGTATATATCAATAAGCTTTTGCATAATTCGCTTTTGCAGCTAGTATATAAATTATATAACATGATATATTAGATGCTGGCACCAATAAATTTTCTATAAAAATATATGCTATAAATATTATAAATAATATTAAGAAATACATTTAGCATGTTGCAAGCTAAACATTTATATAACAATGAACGGTCCTTAACGAAAATAAATAAAATTGAGGCATTTTTATATACAAAATAGGTGTCGAAAATTTATTTGCTGATTCACATGTAAAGATCATGTTTCATTTTAACAGCTCGGCTTCATAATGTAGATATATCAATTTAATATACTAAATTCACTGTGTAAATGTATGCTTTAAATATAGTATATCGTAGAAAATCAGACAAAAATTTAACCTCTGTAGCCTTAACAGTTAAAATAGGTTTAGGATTGAAATGAACAAAATTAACCAATAAATGTCCAAAACGCATTGTAAAATATAATACTTTCACCGATTCATAATTGGTGTTGTAATTTTGTAAATGCATCGACAGTGCCTGAATTTAATTGTTACTGTATTTTCTCATTTTTCAATCCTTTTTTTTTATGTGAATGTAAAGTAAATTCCTATTGTTTTAAACCAAATTCTAAAGAAGTCCAACCAAGTTCATTAGATTTTTAAAGATTTGAATGAAAGAATTAGTATTTTCTTTTTTTTGATCAAAATCATAAAAAAAAAAAAATTGAAGTGGAATTTTTTTTTTTTTTTTTATCAAGATGTTTGAAAATTTTGAAGTGAAGATTTTAAGAAATAATTTACTTAATTAGCAAGCAGACAAGGGTGATAACTGCATTAATTAATTAACTTAATTATAAAGATGACCTGTTGGATGGTTATGTAGCAGACGACGATAGACCATCAATACCATTAATCGTCATGAATCACGGTAAGTAAAAAGTTAATGTTCCACAACTGTTTGTCAGATACATCATTCAAGTATGGCAGTCAAAAAAGGCTCAGATCAGACCAACTCAAAGTCAAGGTTCAGGAGATCTATTGACAACCATTAGCCATCATTTTGCCTTTCAAAAAAAGGGGGATAAGTACAGTAAAACCTTTATATAAAGGTCACCCTCAAGAAAAGAGAAAAGTTACATTATAAGAGAGATGACCTTTGAATTGAGGGTCAAAATGCATTGTAATTACTACAGTGGGATAAGGAGAGGAAAATCTGCCAAGTCAGATTTTCACTTAGTAGAAGTGACATTTATAGCAGGTTTGATTGGGCATGCATTTATATACATTTCCACTTGGTATTTCTCTGATTTACTGACCAAATTGAAAGGTAAATGAACTACATTGAAGAGGTAATCAGTATACAGTGATTTGTGAAATACCAATTATTTTTCCATTTTTCTTCACTGAAATTACAAAATGTAACATATTTTTAATGATTTGCTATGAATTAGGTTTAAACCACAAACCCAGTAGCCAAAGTGACAAAGATTCATCCTCAAATAAAACTCTGTTTAAAGAAGGTACCTCGCTGACATACCCCACATCTTCTTTTTATTCATATTTATATAAAAGCATCTTCGCTAGCCAAGGATTACAATCCAGTCCCGTCCTCTCCACCCTTGGGGGATTAAGATAGAATATTGGATCAACGAGGTAAGGATTTTCATTGGTTGCAGTTGTAACTGGCTGCATCCAATCAAAAACACCTTTAAGATGATCACGTGTAAATGTGGAAAATGTAAATAAACAATTGCCACATGTAGATTGTGCAACAAAATCTTTACCCCCAAAACATAGGACGATATGTAGTGACAGTTTCAAAGTTCTTAATCAACTATTTAAAGTTCCTGGGTATGTTTCTGGAGCAAATGTTGTAATGTCAACATATATTTTTAGTTCCTGCTTCACGAAATTTGTAAACACTACACACAACAATTTTTACACCTTCACACTGAAGAGAGTTCAAGCGCTGCCATAGGTCAAGAATGATGTAGTCGAAATGGGTGTGATATCTATCTACTGGTAGATGGCACAGCATTATAATCACAAGTGTTGGCTTAATCTGCCAAGGATGGAGAGGACGGGACTGGATCGTAACCCTTGGCTAGCGAAGATGATATAAGTGAGGAAGTCTCATGGAGTTCAAAGGTCACAAATCACCTGTAATCCTTAACGTCTTCTGGATATTATTGATTTTCCAACAGCAGTTAAGACCAATAGGACAGATTTATCTTTGCCATTATTTTCATAATTTTTCTCTTATGTTTGTTTGCTTGGTGTGCACCAAAAAGGGTTAACTCTGGGCATTCTATTTTCCTCTACATATCAATCTGACTGCTACAAAATCAGATTAGTTATGGAAAAGGTCTTTAAAACCCATCAAATTAACAAATGAAAAAATTATCTTGTACATTGGAAAAAAAACGAAGAAAAACATGTCTGCTGTATATATGTTATATCTTTTTTTTGTTAAATATATATATATATATATATATATCAAATGAAATTTGAAAAATAAGTGACTGATTTTTTTTTTCATATCTATTGAGTATGTATATTTGTTCTTGATTTTGAAACTTTTGAATCAGGTAGATGTCATCCATTTGAACAATAGTTTTAGTTCTATGAAAAGAAGTTTTCACAACATATGCATCTTATGTTCCTGTTTATTTTTCCTCAAAAGGAACTAATGTCAAAATTATTAACATTTAAACAGCTGTCAAATGCTAAGAATCTACCTTGCCCATAGATTATTTAGAGAGATTTTTATTTTTTATTAAAATGACTGTTAAATAATTAATTTCAGATGATGTAGAATATGAAGATGCTGGACCTAGAAAGATATCAGTCTCTAAAAAGAAGGACGAAAAACCTGAAAAGAAGATTGAAGGTCCCACACATGCTCTTGCCAAGAAACCAGATAATATCACCATTAATGAAGGTATGTATTTCTTAATATGACATTGTCACGAATTCACCACACAATGTCACCATTGTTGAAGGCATGAATTTGTTGATGTGACATTGTCACCAATTCATCAGACAATGTCACCATTGTTGAAGGTATGTATTTGTTGATGTGACATTGTCACCAATTCACCAGACAATGTCACCATTGTTGAAGGTATGTACTGTTGATGTGCCATTGTCACCAATTCACCAGACAATATCACCATTGTTGAAGATATGTATTTGTTGATGTGACATTGTCACCAATTCACCAGACATCACCATTGTTAAAGGCATGTATTTGTTGATGTGACATTGTCACCAAATAACCAGACAATATCACCATTGTTGATGGTACACAGTTGTTTATTCACCTTCCCTATTTTAAGTTTTTGCATAATTAAAAAAAATCACACTGTATCTTAACTTGCCATTGCTTTTAATTTGTAGGAGAAGATCTCCGCGTCAGTTGTGCACTTGATGTCCAGCCAGGCCTACAAGCACCTAATGTGAAATTCTTCCGTGGAAAAAGAGAGTTGAAGGATGACACCAGAACACGTATTATCCACAAAGACCAGGGTTCTTCTCTCAACATTAACAAAGCAAGATTCTCTGATGAATCTAAGTACACAGTAGTTGTAGAACAAGAAGGTGTTCCAGTCGACCAGGCAACATTTAGTGTTTTTGTAAAAGGTTTGTTTTTTGGTGGCATAAGCATTGCATAGCGATATAGAAAGCAATATGAGGCAAAATATAGAAGCATGTGACATTTGCAGACAGGCCATTGTGTTTGAATAAATAATGGCCTATAGCGTAGCTGTTGCATAAGGTACAAGCATGGAGTAAGATATCTTCATAATTTGAAATTTTGTATATTTCATTTCCATTTTAATAAATGTTTAAAATTTTAAAATAGTGATGAAGTTTACAAAATGACAGAAGATTCTGAAATAAGTATTTCATAAAGTTGACCATGTTTAGAGTCAAGTCGCACTAGGTTTTACATCTCATTAGTTTGCATGTATCTATACATAGAGTTTTTCCAGAATTGATTGTATGGGAGGGACAAGAAGGCACCTTATATTTATAATATTGGGGAAGGGAGGGGTTTAAACAAGTATTCACACAATAAAACTTTTAATTTCTAAATAGAATTGTATGGGTAGGGGTCTTGGATAAAAAAAGGGCTTTCCAACCTCCAATGCATTTAATTTTGGAATATCCCATATTGCACAATTCATAAACCAATCTATACCTTGCACTGCATGTTACATATAAAGAAAATTGCTTATCAGCACTTGGCAGAAATGCTTCCTAAGGATGGCTGTTAAAAGGCCATCAACCAAGAAGATTTGCAAATTGATCTCTGATGTTGGATGCTAACACTCATCAAATGCTATCCTCACCTTTCACCTTTGACCCAACCACACATGCACAGCACAGGCAGCGCTCAAACAGCAGCAGCAGCAGCAAGCTACATGGATATGAAACAGATTCAGAGCTTAGTAGCGCAAAGCACAATAATGGCAAGTATTTTAAATGTTTGGATGATAAGAGTTAAGACATTTCAGAGTTGCAGTAGTCCTTATCTCATAAATCCTCTTAACAAAGAGGGGAAAAGACCAAGGTTAGAACTCTTAAATTTCAATTATACACTTGTGTCAACCGTTGTGACAAATGTATGCTAAGCTTTTAAGTAGTACACATTATTTTGATTCTATGTCATATAAGTGCTAAGCATTTAAGAATCATAATATAACTAAACACATTACTGATTCAAAGAATTATCTTCTTTAACCCAGGGTACTTCCCTTAAAGTTACAACCTTCAAAGTTCAAAGACCATGAAATAACAATTTGGATTTATAGACATTTAAGAAGAAGTCCTTTTCAGGAAGAACAATATAAGTATATGCACATGGTTTTATGAGAAAAGGACTACTGTGCACAAAGTTACAAAAACTCTGCTTAGCTCTTATCTGATTCTGCAAATTATTTTCTGCAAAATTTTGAATTAACAAATATGTATAGCAGGAAATTTAGAAATTGCTTACATGATCTGCAAAAAAATTGCCATGATCATTTGTCGACAACTGACCATCACCAAATAAAAAAATCATGCATCAGTTGAGTTTTGTAATAACCAAGATTTAAGCAACTGCAAGTCCGAACTTGAACAATATTATTTCATTGGACACATTTTGGATAATAACAAAGGTCTCTTAAAAAAATAAGGTCACCCTGATCTACATGTTAAGCCAGGATAACTGGTTTTGTTCATAAGGTTTAGATGTAATGTTCTACAAATTAGAATGAAATCGTACACAAGTTACCTAAACTGTATTTCATGCAAGAATTACAGATTAAATTCTGAGTAAGAAATCCAGATTGAAGACTTTACAGGTCAGTAAACAATGATATTTTGTTATATTAAAAGAAGAAGATGTGAAGAAGGTATGATTGCCAATGAGACAACTCTCCACAAGAGGCCAAATGACACAGAAATTAACAACTATAGGTCACTGTATGCCTTCAACAATGAGCAAAGCCCATACCGCATAGGCAGCTATATAAGGCCCTAAAATGACAAATGTAAAACAATTCAAACGAGAAAACTAATGGCCTAATTTATGTACAAAATATTGAACGAAAAACAAATATGTTACACAGCAACAAATGACAACCACTGAATTACAGGCTCCTGACTTGGGACAGGCACATACATAATGTGGCGGTGTTAAACTAGTTTGAAGTGCCAACCCTCCCCCTAACCTGGGACAGTGGTGTAACAGTACAACATAAGAACAAACTGTAAATGATGTCTGAATAATTGAAACATTATTGTTACAGCAACAACATTGACTTCCCCATACTGCAATACATTTCTGAATTGGTCAATAATAGGAGGTCAAAAATCAACCTCTTTTGACACAAATATAAATAAAAGGAGATGTGAGGTATTTGCTATTGAAACAGCAACCTAACATTACCAAAAGACATTTAGCGTTAAAAGAGTTAGTTTGGTAAGGGCCATAGTTGGCCCATATTATTTAGTTCAATGTTTCAAGATAAAAAATGTTTTAAGTTGATGAAAAGACATGCGAGGAAGTTAATTATAACTATTTTTGCAAAGTTTTATTTTAAAGTGTTGATTTTTACATCCCAAATAGGTCAAAAATAGATATTTTTGCAAAATTTGACAAAATTATCCGGTTTTCAACCAGAATAAGTCCTAGGCAACATAGAGGGCAGGCGTCGATACACTAAATACCGGTATTCAAATCAGATATGTAAAATGTCATAAAAAACATGTTAAAAGATATTTTTTGTCGACACATATGCTCTATGTTTCCTGTCCAAAAAATCAATGGAAATTTACGTTTTCTTTGAATTTTCATTGAAAATCAAAATGAGTGCCATTTGTGATGTCATGAGTAGAATGCAAGTACATAAATTTTCAACCAAAAGACATATTTCTTATCTAGTCATTGTATTAGCAATGATTCATTGTGATATTGGTCAATAAATCCTGATTTGTTCCTAAAGAAATTGTGTATAAATTAAAAGTAAACTAAATTCTGCCCTCAACACCAAAATTTTCCATGTTTCATTATGGTTTACTGAGATTAAGTAATATATCTGTAGAGAAACTGATTCAATTACTCAATTGAATGGAATCTACATTGCCAAAAGTTTTGTTTTCAAAGATGTAACTTTTGAAGATATGATTACAAGACACTGTCATACCTCCTGGAATTCATATTTGCTACTAATATATAATCAAATTAGCAATTGTTTATATATTCTGACTGTAATGTAATTTCAGATCCCAAAGATTCAGCTATGGATTTCAGGTCTCTCTTGAAACACAGGTAAGCTTGAAATTAGGCTATTTTATAGTAGAAAACAGATAAAAAAAACATTCTATTGTTACATTTATTTCCCGCCTACAATAGTAGTGGGCCATTATGTTTTATCTTATGGTTGTGGCCTTTTATCTATTTCTTGCATGAATAGATATTTCTCGTATCACACTGTAAGGAGTGTGATATGAAAAAGTGATACGAAAATCTGCGTTAATTTGATTGGCTTATCCAGCATCATAAGATGATATCATGGCATTTCCATTGGCTAATCGTTAGGTCATTGATGACTTTCAAAGGTTAAGACGATGTACATTTCGTCCATGGCAACGGACATCTGTGATTTCTTCAATAATATACAAAACACTCACACTCTTCACCCGACAATCTTCTTTTTGTCAAATTTTATTACCGGTACATTCTGAAGCGTACAAAAAGTCTTAAAATGTCTGATGTTAAAGTTTGACACCGGAAAAGGACATATGACGTCATACTGGCATGTGCAAAAGACTAGATCAACGATTCGCGGAATTTTTAATTTAACACAATGAGAGTGTTGACCAAAAGAGAAATAGGTTTAACAACTTGTGAGAATTGGATATCGCTTGAGATCAACTCTCGTTATTTAATTTGAATAGTAATAGTAAACTCGCTGAAGGCTAGTTTATTATTATATTGGAATTAAATAACTCGAGTTGATATAAAGCGATATCCCATTTTCACTCGTTATGAAAACTATAATTCTGGTCTGTCTGTTAGTTTTGGTGTAAGGTAGTTTGTGGTCACATCAATTTTCAACTTTGTTTACATATATAAAAATAAGTAGATGTGGTATGATTGCCAATATCATTTTATTCTTACTGACATTCAACATGTTCGTTATCAAGTGAACTGTTTAACATGTATGCTAAATAAGGGTTTTGGCCAATATTTCATAGTCCACTGAACATGGAAATATGATAGTGCAGGCGGAGTATTGTGTCCTATCAACACATATTCTTGTTTGTGTATATCATTAAATTTATTAGAAAATACTGAAGGAGCAGAAAGAACTACTTTGTCATTTGAAAAATACATTCCAGTTGACCATATTTTTTTTGTCAACAGACATATCATGGAATACAGTTCTATCAAAAAATTATATAATGATAAAGGGTTATGGTTAAAATTGCCTTGCAAGTGAAATTTAATTTTTCTGCCAATTCTTCACAATATATAACCCTTTGAAGAGAGTTTATTTTATTACATCATTTTAATATAATGATAAGAACCACATATATATCTTCCAAAAGTATAATGATTTGGGAATGATATTGCACTGTTATTAGTACCTGCAAATATTGCATGCTAGTATTGAAAGACATTGGATTTAAGTTGACAAGACAGGAGAATCTATGATTGAACAGGTTTTGGCTAGCTTTTGATTGTACAGATCTGGGCTAGCTTTTGATTGTACAGTTAAGGGCTAGGGTTTGGTTTTACAGGTCTGGGCTAGTTTTTGATTGTTCAGATCTGGGCTATCTTTTGATTGTACAGTTAAGGGCTAGCATTTGGTTTTACAGGTCTGGGCTAGCTTTTGGTTTTACAGGTCTGGGCTAGCTTTTGGTTGTACAGTTCAGGGCTAGTGTTTGGTTTTACAGGTCTGGGCTAGCTTTTGGTTGTACAGTTCATGGCTAGTGTTTGGTTTTACGGGTCTGGGCTAGCTTTTGGTTGTACAGTTCAGGGCTAGTGTTTGGTTTTACAGGTCTGGGCTAGCTTTTGATTATACAGTTCAGGGCTAGCGTTTGGGTTTACAGGTCTGGGCTAGATTTTGTTTGTACAGTTCAGGGCTAGTGTTTGGTTTTACAGATCTGGGTTATCTTTTGATTGTACAGTTCAGGGCTAGTGTTTGGTTTTACAGGTCTGGGCTAGCTTTTGGTTTTACAGGTCTGGGCTAGATTTTGTTTGTACAGTTCAGGGCTAGTGTTTGGTTTCACAGGTCTGGGCTAGCTTTTGGTTGTACAGTTCAGGGCTAGTGTTTGGTTTTACAGGTCTGGGCTAGCTTTTGGTAGTACAGTTCAGGGCTAGTGTTTGGTTTTACAGATCTGGGCTAGCTTTTGGTTGTACAAGTCGGTTCAAGCTTTCAGTTGCACAGGTCTGGGCTAGGGTTTAATTTTACATGGATGGGCTAGCTTTTGGTTGTACTGGTCTTGGCAAACTTTTGGTTACACAATCTCAGATAACTTTTGATTGTACAGATCTGGGTTAGGGTTGGATTGTACAGGTCTAGGCTAGTTTTTAGTTACATGATAAATGAAATATCATATATCAATACAATTAATTTATATATTTACCTTTTTATATAAAGAATATCATTTTTATTTTTTACATTTTTACATATGTATTTTAAATATTATTGTATTTCCAGAGACCATAAGAAGAAAAATGAGGATGATGAGGATATTGATTGGGGGTCTCTTAAACCAGGTTTGTTTGATAATTCCTTTGTTTTCACCAGATATTACCTTACATATTTAAATTTTGAATCTCGTTATGACCAATTTTCTTAATCTTTAACCATTCAAATGTACCTTGTAACTTAAAAATGTTCTTCTCTTAAATTCAATTAATTTGGAAATCTTTCCTGTATGTCAAGTTCTACATTATTGTAATTTCCATTCCAGTGTTTTTGAAACTTTTCCATTACCCTGTTACAACATATAAAATGCCATGAAATAATACTTTGACTGACTACACTGCAATATTATACATTTTGTTCTGTTTACAGAACTGCTCACTGCATACCTATTTACACACTTTAGCATTATTGCACATATTATAACCTTTGCACTAACAACAATTGCACATATGATACTGTGGTTTCATTTATTTTCGTGGGTACCAATTTTCGTGGATTAAGGGAAACTTGCATGTTCATGGATATTTAATTTCGTGATTTTGCCGAAGTCTGCATACAAGCCTATAGAAAATTTGTTACTGTTGATCATTTAATTTCGTGGTTCACCTGTACCTACGAAATCCACGAAAATTGGTATCCAACGAATAATAATGAATCCACAGTATTTAAATGGGCCAGGAGAGGGGTGGGGAGAGACTTGTGTTTGCTGATTTTGTCTTTCACAGACTCATTTATTTTCTCTCATTTTGTTGCTTATGACAATGATATGTACTTTTTTTCAGTGGAAGGCCAAGGCCAACTGCAACAACCACCGCAGAGTATGTAACACCACGTGAAAATGATGCCCCCAAAGCTATAGCAATTCTGCAGAAGCGCTATTATCAGCTGTCTATTTTATAACTAGCTGTAATACTAAATGACCATACCGAATAGTTTGATTTTTAGATAGCAATTTTTCATCCTTATGATCAAATATTTAAAAGTTAAAAAACTTTCTTACATATATGAGCCAAATTGTTTTCAATTCCAGAAAAATTCTGCAATCAATTTTACAAATCTTTAGAAAACAAAAAAAGTCTCAAGTCATGTACATTTCAGTATACCAGTAACTTACAATCAATTTTAGGCGTAAAATTTTTTTGTGAAAAGACCTTCAGGTTAGTAAGACACTTATTAATTCCTACAATAAGATCACATGGCTTTAAAAATTGCTATTTATAAATGACAGCTAGATACAAAAAAATGGTTCAGAACATTACAGCTGGTTGATATTTTTGAATTGCGCATATCCAATTTTGTGTGTTTAGTGTCATGACATAATTCATAGCTTAGCTGTAGATCATTTGTTTTACCTAGGCAAATCATCTTAGTAGTAAGGTTACCCTTGAAATTTTGAAACTTGGGTTTGCATATCTTAGGTCAGTAACTGCAGTTAGTTAAAAAAGTTCCATGTCTTCCTGATTTTACCATAAATGTTTTTGTCTTTTTCCATGCTTAATTGAAAAGATTAAAAATCAATTTAGAATTTTATATTTGGCATGATTGAAATCATTTGCCCTTCCTGTAGAATTTTTAAACCTTTTAATTGAAACTCCACTGGGTGTAAATGTCTTAGTTAGAAGAAAAGTAGAAATCTGATGTGTTAGATGTGAATGTGAAAATTAGGAATCTTTTTTTTCATGGTCAGTTTTGACCAAAGCAGTTTTTTTTCAGACCAGTGGTAGGTAGTAAATATTTCATCTCTGAAATATACTATTTTTTTTCTGGATTTCTAATGAAAAAGGTAATTTTTTTAAATTAATTTCTTATGATGCCTTCTAATATAAAAAATCTGACTAAATTCCTGCAAAATGAATAGTCTTATTTGCCAAATAAATTTAAAATTTTGAATAATGTGAAGTTTTTCGAATACATTTTGTTTTTTCATCTGTCTTTTTAAGTAACCATGACAATAATAGTTCATTGTACCTTTAGTGCATGTAGTGTTATTGATATGGTTGCTTAGGAACTCGGGTCAGCAAATTGAAAATAGAAGACAAAAATGTATTTTGAATGTAAAGTACAAATATGTACATGAAATTTAAAGAAAATTTATTCCTTATATACTATATACATGCAGTGAAAATGATAACATATGCCTATGATTTAATACTAGATTAGTGTGGTCTCGTAAGAAACTCACTATTTTGATTTGTTTAATTAATGCTGACAGTTGTGGCACTCTAGAAATCTTTTTTTTTATTGTGCTGTTAAGTTGCCATCTCATTGGTTTTTATTAGTATCTAACTTCTCCTTTTATTCATAATCCACAATATATTATGAATTAAGGGCAGTTTCATCAAGTTGCTATAGTTCTTTTAGGAGACTGCCTAAACGTTCTAGGAATTTATGTTTTTGAAGAATATTTAAACTATTCCAAAACATCTCAAGTCATAGATGAAGGGTTACAATTTGAAGAACATTCTCACACAATAGCAGGATTACTCATGATATCAGGAAAATACATTTTGAAAGGCCTATCTTATATTCAGATATACTTATTTATGCAGACAGCTGTCAGAGTCCTGAGACCACACTTTATCTACATGCTTCATATCATTAACAATGTGGTGTTTTGTTTATACATATATATATAAATGTGTATTTGTTATTTATATTCTGACAAGTGTTTTTTTTCTAAATTTGTGCTGTGTCTTGATGCCAAAGAAGACACAAATTGCAGGCATTTCTTTTACTTGGGCTTTCAATACATCTTGAATAAATCACATTATGAATACTGTTAAGAGAAAGAAAAGCGCAGCAGCGCTCAGTTTTAAGTTATGCAGCAGCTTATTTTCTCTGATTGACTCAGAGTTCATATAATGTTCTAGCGCGAAAAGATGCAATTTTCTAACACTCTGATATTACATTTTATCTTCTCGTGAAATGATTTGCTTATCATAGCTTAATAACATAAACAAAAAATTCCTGCAATTGCAAACTAAGAGTACATTTGTTTGTACTAAGACTGCAAAGATTAACAAGCTTTTTTTATTAAATCATTGATCTATCTAGACTTGAATTTATTTTTATAAATAAATCATTAAGTTTGATATTTGTACTACACAGTTAAAAAAGAACGACGTCCATCTTTGGTTGATTCGATGAAACAACATCTTGCTGACAGTGAAGGAGAAAAGGTATGTATATTTCAAAGATTAAGAAAAAATTTCTGTATAATTTACGTTGTGCTTTGATCACATAAAACACATACACAAAGAAAACACACATTTATTTTAAAGTCCTATTTTCCAATTGCCGCTTGATTTGTTGATACATTAATAAAAATGATGTTGCATTAACATAGTTGTGCTTATCCAAAATGTTTTCACTTATGCAAGTAAATGCAACTAAGCTGGTAAGGACAGAAGTATTGCATGTAATTGGATTGCCCAACATGCTGATTAAGTTTACTTTTGGAGAGATTTTTGACAGAATTTGTTTTATCTTGAATTAAAGACTTCTTATTAGGGTGTATTAATTTCACATCATTTTGGATTGTTCAGATTTTCAGACCTCTTTAAGTTATAGTGTAAACAAAATATCAGGCATCCTCAGACTTTTTTAACTGCTGAATTTTGAGTGTTGCTAATGAAAATATCCCAGAAAGAAGTTGTGTGAATACCTCAAATTACATTGGTTGATGTTTCAATGACAATAAGATAAAGTTTAAATCCACAAAATTTTTCATATTGATGAAAATAAAGTACAAAATTTATTGGTTTACAAAAAATAACCTCTTTTACACCTTTACTATACCACTATAATTGAAGCACAGCAGTGCCAGTTCCTCTAGACGTAGTTCCTCAGTTTACGATGCAGAACCTTCAATAAGAATTCAGCCATTTAGAAGGGACAGTTGGATGAGGAGACTGTCTACTTCATCAACTGGTTCCGATGTCCAGGCTGATTTCTTTCATGTTCAATTACGTCACAGAGATACGACTAAAGACCAGGCAATTCATGCTATCTTAAAGTGTGACTTTTTTTATAGTGCTGATAAAATATTGAAAAAGGCTACAAGATTAAGAGTAGATTTTTTGTTTGGTCTCTTTAAATATTATAATTTGGAATATTCTTTCAAAAATAGGTACTTGACCATATTAAGTACACAAACATGTATGCTTTTCCTTTTTTATTTTGGTATAATTTGATCACAAAAGTGTAAATATTTTATTTAAGATCTTATAGAAATATTTTAATTGACCTATTGTGATTGTTAGAAAATTTTGTCAGAATGTCTACTCTTAATTTTGAGTTTTTTAAGAATAAGTAGGCAGTAATACTATTAGATAATTTTGTGAATTTTGCTAGTTGAAATATGTACATTTGAGCTGAATTTCTTTCTTGTATCATAAAAATTTTAATTTGTGGCTCCTTGAAATATGAATTAATCATCAAAAAACTCCCACAATTTCCAGTGATTGTCACAATATTAGTCTGATTTTCATAGTGAATTTTAACTTTTTCATCAACAGACAGAAGTCGATTTAAGAAATCGCAGGTTATCCCTTAGACATAATGTAAGTGTTTATGGTTTACATCCTGAAAATTTTTTTCACTTCCACAGCACACAATATAAATCCCTCACGCACCTTTTTTATATTCACAACACAGGCGAAATGCCTCATTATTTTGTGAGCACAATAAATAGTATAACCATTGATTATCAAGCACATCCTGTTCCTTGTCCAATCAGTGATCCCCAAATATATCTTCTATATCTGTAAAACGATACAGTAATGCTGTATATCTCATTCTGCACACTTAAGTATGACCTTTCCCTGTGACCTTCTTTGAAATCATTTTTCTCTTGTATACATGTATGGAGAAGCACTCTCTTATCACAATGATTGTACCTGTCAGTATATATATATCTTATTCACATTTCATCTTTCCATCTTTCCCATGATATATCTATTCCTTTTGAAGATTTCGTTCAGTCTAATTTTTTTTTTATGGATTAATTGAAGCTTGTAATCATCAGTGGAAGTTGATGTTTATATGTATTGAAGATATCAGCTATCAATATTGATCTCAGTCATTCTGAAAGCCTTTGGTCTATATAGAACTTAAGGTTGATAACATAAATCATCTGATTTTGAGTGAATATTCCTGTTGTTGAATGGAAGATATAATTAGTTAACTTTTGAATGACTTATCTGACATTTAAGGGTGTCAGATCTGCAGTCTGATTATTTCAGTTAACTCAAAAAAAGAAGCCTTTTATAATAGTTTTCATTCAATAAATGTTTTACTAATGAAGGAACATTGTGTTTATATAGCAACTGAATATTTTTATTATATATAAAAACCCTTCAATGTAAAAAGGTAGGTGTTTAAACACAGGATCCTTCCCTTTAGATCCAGCACAGAAGACTTAAGAAATGGTTGTATCATTGGTCACATATAGCTTTTGATTGAGTGAATAGTCAGGACGACTATATGTAAGAGTATTACAGTATATATACTTGTAGTCACTGTTCTTTATCTGTTCAGTCCTAGTAGATATAAGGAACAGGTATTCCCCAACCACCTTCATCCTCTATAAGGAACAGGTATTCCCCAACCACCTTCATCCTCTATAAGGAACAGGTATTCCCCAACCACCTTCATCCTCTATAAGGAACAGGTATTCCCCGACCACCTTCATCCTCTATAAGGAACAGGTATTCCCCAACCACCTTCATCCTCTATAAGGAACAGGTATTCCCCAACCACCTTCATCCTCTATAAGGAACAGGTATTCCTCAACCACCTTCATCCTCTATAAGGAACAGGTATTCCCCGACCACCTTCATCCTCTATAAGGAACAGGTATTCCCCAACCACCTTCATCCTCTATAAGGAACAGGTATTCCCCAACCACCTTCATCCTCTATAAGGAACAGGTATTCCCCAACCACCTTCATCCTCTATAAGGAACAGGTATTCCCCAACCACCTGCATCCTCTATAAGGAACAGGTATTCCCCAACCACCTTCATCCTCTATAAGGAACAGGTATTCCCCAACCACCTTCATCCTCTATAAGGAACAGGTATTCCCCAACCACCTTCATCCTCTATAAGGAACAGGTATTCCCCAACCACCTTCATCCTCTATAAGGAACAGGTATTCCCCAACCACCTTCATCCTCTATAAGGAACAGGTATTCCCCAACCACCTGCATCCTCTATAAGGAACAGGTATTCCCCAACCACCTTCATCCTCTATAAGGAACAGGTATTCCCCAACCACCTTCATCCTCTATTACTTTACATCACTATGGAAAACATATCTAATTTCATGGAGGACATTAAGCAACCAACAATCAATCAATCAATCTAATTTCGTGGACAATTATGAGGTGTTAACAAGTTGCCATCATACTGCTTTTTTAATCACTTTAGTTTCAAAAGATTTTTCCATAGAATTCACGTAAATGTATGTGCTCATATTTGTGTCAGTATTGTAACATAAATATGTTTATTGAAAACCAAACCTTGGCATTTGAGTAACAAAATGTCTCTTATTTCAAGGGAGACAATCAGACTATACAGTACAGTTTTATCTTGTTATGTAAACATTTCTACGTTTACATCATAAGATTGTCAGATTGTTCATTTTCTTGTACTCCCTTTTTAATTTCTTTTCAGGATTTGATCTTTTCACATTCTTTTCAGGACTTAATCTCTTTTCTTTCTCTAATTCTTCATTTCCTAACATTACCATTAACTACAATATTTGTAGAAGGCGGTATGAAAACTCTTTTTCATTTATTTGTACTGAAAATACTTTGGATTCATTGTAATGTTGGTGTTTTCTAAATTATGTTGGTATATAAGTCAATCATGAATTTAAAGATTTCAATGAAATAAAAATATTCTAAAGGCTTTCATGCAAAATTTATCAAAACCAGGGAAAAAAGTGTTCATGAATATACAATTCTTTCTGGATAAACAAAAATTGGTATACAAAAATAAATGAATCCATAGTTTGTACAAATTCTTATCTTCCAACTTTCATCCTTAGTTTTCGTAGAATATTTGCCACTAAACATATAGCAAACATTCAATTTATCATTTAAAACTTAAAAAATTAGTAATAAGAAAAATTTACTTCAGACAAGATAATTGATGTATGTTCTTGTGAAAAAATCCTCTGTCTTTTAAACAATTTCATGGTAAAAAAAATTAGAATCAGTTTCTTTCAGAATCTTCAAATTTTGATTTTGAATGTCAATCAAGAGGCTTCATTTTCAATCAATCTTATCATAAATAAATTTGAACCCTGCTATTTCAGTGATTAACTTTAATTATATTTTATTCATTCTTTTCTTTTCTGTTTTACTATAAATCATTGTTACTTTTTTCACCATTTTTGTTTACTTTGAATCATTCAAATCTTATCATTTTCATCCATTATACCACTAATTTTAATTTGAATGCCTAATTTTAACTCATTAACCTATTAAACTTTAAATACCATATTTCATATTTTGGCAATTAACTGGTTTTAACTCTATCATTTGCAATCATTTAAGCATAAAAATTTGAATTTCTTCCTTTTCCAGACGGCTAAAGACCAGGTAAATCATACTATCTGTTGTCAGATGTTGTACCATAACAAACGCTTATTAATGAACATATACATATATTGTCTGCATTACTGATATAGGAATCATTCCTTTTATAAAAAAAAGAATATACATCCTCAGTGATTGAAAATTCCAAAGTATTGCATTTTATTTTACCTTCCGGATAAAATGAAAACAAAAAATATACAAATTTCCTTTTTCTGAATATTGTATATATTTTTATCTATTTATCTATGCATTTGTTCCTGTTTTTACCTCCAAAGCAAATACGAAGAAACATTTAATATATTGTAAAATGTTGAGCCATACTTATAATTTTTTGAAAGTGTTGATAGAATTTGAATTGGATTGGAAGAACTACAGCTCAATACTAAGTTATAGTTAAATTGAAGTTGAAAAGATTGATTACTAATTAGAGTTATCTCTCTTTGGTGAAAACTTTGGAGGTTGTATTTTCCCAAACATTAAAACTGCATTAATAAGAACTATATAGCTACTTTTATCCTAATAACCTTGACATTTTACTCAAAACATTCTGACAATTATATATAATATGACTTGTGCTAGTAACTATTTACAGTTTATATGTGTGAAAAAAGTATGGATATATAATTAATTTAAGAAAAAGGTAGGGATTTTTACTTCATAATGGGAAAGCTTGTGAATAGAGTTTATATTTTCAGGATAAATATACAAACCTCCATAAACTATGTAATAAAGATCAGTCTTTTCAATTATTAGAGCAGTCACATGCAGAATACATATTGACAAATTCAGAGTTCGAACAAAATTTAAGTTTAACTGGAATGAGTGAATAATGACTCGGTAAAATAAGTAATTTAAGTTACATGAGTTATTAATACAGATTTTGTTGTCAAGATAGTATATTTACTGAAGAGGGTTGACTGCATCTGAATTTCTGTCAAAAGTGTATTTTGCATTTTACTATAGTTAGAAAAATGTATATATATATACAAACTATTATTGCTTGACCTTATTGCACCAAACAGAGAGAATCGGCTCAGGCCATGAGAAAACTATCCCGAGATAACTTGGAGGTAGAGAAAGCAACAGTTGATAAGCTTGAGGCTCTGGAACAACAACGTAGATCGTCCATGCAACAATTCCGTAGACCCTCTCTTGTAGATGTTATACCTGATTGGCCAACTCTCCAACATAGAGAGGCCAAGAAAGAGGTAGATGAGAATCAATGTCAGTGTTCACTAACATTAATAAACAACAGCATCACCTTTTTTACTGTTTTTATTTTTACTTATCAATTATTAATTTCAGTTATATCCCTGTTTTTATGTTATCTTTATTTTGCATGTGACTTTTTTATATTTTTATTTTATTTTGTTTTATTTTTTACTATCTGATCAAATTCTCCAAAAGAAGAAATAACCAGCAGTAAAAGGAATTTCTCTCTTAGGTTAATTAGATATAAAATAAGTTCAAATAAGTAGGATATTAATTAATTTTGAATTTAACTTTAATAATGCAATGTAAAATGGATATTGTTTAATGTATTATATTTGAATAAATAAAATTTGGACAAAATATTTAAATAATTTTTGTCTTAGGCGATGATATTGCAAGATCATTATAATGTACCAGTATGGCCGATATTTAAAATTCAATTCTAAAGATAAGTATAAAGGAAAGTGTTGCAAGTTAGAGCTTGAATAGGTATAATGTAAATATGTCAAATATATCTCTGTCATCTGCTTAGTTAAAGTGTTCTTTTTTTTGTTGAGCCTGTAACATTTATAGTTTTTTTTTTTTTACATCAATAACTTTGTCAAACCTCAACAGAATTATATAGATTTGGACAGAAGTTTTATTAAAATCAAAAGACAGTATCCAGAGCAAAATTATGAAAATAAATGGACTCACTTTTTACCGTCAACATAACACTTTAAAACTGACAGCGGCAATCACAGGCTAGATACAGGGTTATGAGGAACCCTTTAAAAATTGTTCATTCTAAATTTTAAAAAAAATTTGGCACTCATTTCAGCAAAATTCTCTGTTTTGTGAATTAAACATGTTTTGGTTTTGTAACAGCATGTCAAAGGGTAAAGGGCATAGGGACTTAAGTGGTCCAAATATGGAGATTTCAAATTTTTTAAATAGAATATAGACTATCAGTTGTCAAAGCATCTTCACATTTTTCAAAAAATGACAGAAAATATTTGTTTTTCGTCACATTGTCCTGGCAACAGAATTGATTGAAATTATTTTTTTTGTCGATTTTTGGTTGTTTTTCTTTAAAGTATGAGTTGGGAAGTTGCCTCTTGTTGAAGAAAATAACAAGAAGATTTTGGAACTATAATGTAAACAATAGAACTGCTTTATGTCACAGAGTTGTAAGTATTTTCTCCTTTGCAGAGGCAGTTTCTCGACCCAAGAATGGACACAAAAATATTGAAATTTAGTGTTGTGGTGACAAATATTTCGTGTTCCTTAAGATTTAAAATTATAACCATATTTTTGGCCAATTGAGACTGTAAGTGCCCTTGTCCAACAATAGGTAATTAAGGTGTGCTGTGTGAATAGGGCTAGCTGTGTTATTATGTCTGTTTTTTTTTTTAATTTTAGTTTATTTTATGTTTATATTTTATTTCGTTAAAGATTTGCATGTATCCGGCAGGGAAAACTTCCAGCTATAAGTTTATCTGCATTTCCTTTCAAATGATTTTAATTCTGCATATTTCCTTTATTGCTCAATTTTATCCATTCAACCTGTTTCCAATGTTAAGCAATTTTTATCAGAATATTTTCAGCTGTTATTATTTTGTATCCATTAAATCCTTTTTCGTTCAGTTTGTTCCTTCTCTCTTAAACTAATCATAGGATAGGATTCGACGATATTTAGATGTCAGAGACTATGTACTTGACTTGGAATCTAAAAGAAGATTGTTTTAAGTCAAGGACAAATTTCAAATGGCATTTTGAATGATCTGTAGTAATAGAAAGGCAGAAATATTTTGAGTGTTGGAATCATAATCTCATTTGTTAAATGTGTTTGTTTCCATAGAAACCAGACAAGTACATTGTTGAATTGGATGATGTCAAGGCAACTGAAGGTGACAAGAAAGCAACCTTTGAATCTGAATTCTGTAAAAAGAATGCCAAAACCAAGTGGTTTAAAAATAAGTTGGAGATTTTTGCTGGCCACAAATATCACTTTGAAAATGATGACAAGAAATACAGACTGGTGGTCAACAATGTCAAACTTGAAGACGGTGGAAAGTACACACTGGAATTAAATGGTGTCAAGTCAGGAGCATGGCTTTATGTTGAAGGTTTGTAGTGTAATCCACTGAAACTTTGATTTCAGAAACACTTTCAAAGTTGAAGCAGATAAGTATTATTCTCAAAATGTTTTGGGGGATCTCGGTGGCCGAAAGATCTAAGTAGTTGAACTATTGTATCACTAACCTGTCAACACTAAGGTTGTGAGTTGGAATCCAGCATGTGGTAAGTGGGTTCAACTCCAATCTTAATGGACTAGGATTGTCTGCTGTGTACCGAAGGTCATTGATTCTCTCTTCCTCCACCAAAAAAAAACTTGACAGTCACAAAATAGCGCAAAACTGCTGAAAGTGGCTTTAAACATCAATCAATCAATCAAAATTTTTTGGAATATTCATTCCCAGTTTAATTTAATTGACAACTATTTTGTTTCATCATTTGATATAATTTAAAATTTACATATTCATTTTCATTTTCAATTTTTACTTTAATGTGTACGGAAAGTTAAAGTAAATGTTTATTTTTGTCTTTATTACAGCAAAAGCCCCACATTTTGAATTCACACAGAAACTACCAGAGAAATATTCACAAACCAAGAGAAAAGAGATTGATTTAGAATGTTTTGTATCGGATCCAAGAGCTAGAGTCAAATGGTTCAAAAATGGCCAGCCAATTGAGGTAGGTTTGGAATGACAAATCAAAACTGAGTGTGTAGTGTAGAGTTATTGTAGTTTAGTGTAGAAAATAATAATCAGTGTTGTATGAAGTGTAATTGCTTATTTTAAATTTTCATCGAAATTATTGAATTATTATCTATTGTTCCACAAGTGCAGTAGAAACTAGTTAAAACAGAGGATCAGATGAGATCTCAAATAACAATTAATATAATGGTGCTAATAAGGGTCTGGATTGAGAAACTATATTTTGTGGAACCACACACTCCTTGGTAGGGATATGAATCTAGTATATAAAAACATATTCCCTAATGAATTTTAAATTATTTATAGCATATTTCATTCAAATCACACATGGGTCTATAAATGAATAAAATAAGACACCTACTCTCTGATCAATATGTAAGTAGGGAAAAGCATGTTAGGTGAAACAGACAATAATTTCTAAGCTGCATTAGTGATTTTACCTCTAGATATGTATATTTGAATGAGAATTGTTACAAAGAGGACAAATAGTCATGTCTTTTATGTCATGTAGAAATATAAATTATTTAAAACTGGTTAAGAAAAGCAGAATACAATGAATAATCTAGATCAAAAGTTTAATGTAGCTGAAACATTCAGAAGAATAAGATGATTGATAACAACATTTAGAATTATCGTAGCATTCAAAGTGTTTTAAGAAAGATAATGAAAGTTGATGATGCCGGATTTACAACATTGAGGTTTCAAGTTTGGAAATAGAAAAAAAGAAAGAAAAGTAATGCTAATTTATCAAATAAATTAAACATGATCTAAAATTTGTTCAGTATTAAAAAAAAGGTAGGAAGAATGAACAAATCTAAACAAATTTGAAGAAAAAATTAAATGTAATTTAAATAATCAGAAGAATAAGATGATAGAAAACAAGACTAGAAATTATCTAAGCTTTCAAAGTTCTATGAAATTGATTATTTTGAAATGTTTTTGATATTGTTTTGTTTAAGTATTTTCTTCCTTTTTTATTCCCTTGAATAAATTTAATGGATAAGTTTTGGTAAAAACGTATGAGGAAAAGTTGACTCAGATTTTACATCGTGACCGTCTTCACTGGCTACAAAATCAAAATGTTGATAATCATACATAAATCTATTACGTTTGCTAAAATTATTGCTATAATCTTGTCTATGTGAATTATGTGCAATGTTAACATCATTTAGTTTGGAACCTATTTTTTTATGAATTCGTTGAATTCTGGACACATGTACGCTGTCCATTCCATTAGGACCACCTTCAACATTTGCCAGAGTTAATCTATTGGTTTGGTTCCTTGTCTGAATATTTTTCATCCAAGGCGGAATTGTAGATCTAGGTGAATCATAAATCTGAGGCAATCCTGTTTTTGGATGGCGTTTAACCTTTCTGCCAGATTCAAGTTTTTCATTCATATCTATGATCTGGTCAGGTTCAAATTTAGGAATGTTGTTGGTCTTTATATGATGATAAATTTTTGCACTGCCTTGTGGCCTTTTGATATCAGCACCTGGGTATGGAGAAGAATATACTGCTCTTGGTTTATCTTGTTTTGCCAGAAGTTCTTTCTCTAAAAATTGTAGTTTTCCTTGCTTTTTGAGTACATAAAGCATTTCTCTTGCAACAGGCATTCTTTTCTTTATTTTTGTTCTTACAGAAGACGTATTTGCTGCAGCAATTTTTGGCATGAAAAGCCAATATAATATTGTTAAAACACAATTCAAACTTCCTTCTGGTAACTTTCTAGTATTCCAGACTGCATTACGAATATCTGTTGATGATGGATTATTAAGCGGAATTTTTATTTTTTCAAGCCATTTATTTCCCAAAATAAAGAATGCCTCAAAGTCATTTGCAGGATGGAAGAAGATAGAATTGCGACAGCTAATGCCACACTCATATAAGATATTCTTTGGATGGTCTGTAATTGGTCTTCCAGCTACAATTAAACGACTTGATTTTAAAGAGTAGCCAGTTTTCAGCTCAATCTTGTGTTTAAAGCTTGCAACTGTTTGATCAGATCTTAAATATGTCTTATATATAACTCCATCGGGAGCATGAGCAAAAACAGGATAAGTTTCTAATTTTAGCACCAATGGAATTGAGAGGTCAAAGACTAGATCCATTACTTTATTGTTATTAGATAGTTTTTGATTGCCTATTGTCAGTTCATATAAGGAGGCATTAGGCACTCCCATTCTTTCAAGTTTACGTTTTAACTTTCTAACAGTTTTGTTTGCCGATATTCGTAAGTTTTCTATTATTCCATGCCCAATGCTGATTTTTAGTGGAACTCCAAATACAAGGTCCCTATCTATATGTGTCATGACCACATTCATTACAATTATTTGATGTCTTTCAATTTGCCCTATTGTTGATGAAAAGTTTGCTCTTTCCCCATCTTTATAAAGTCTGATAAGATCCACAGGTACATTTGTCAGACCATGGAGCATGAAGGCAAGAACTGACCATCGGTCATATTGGGACACAGTGATGTCATATTTCTCTCCTGATTCAGTAACAACATTGACAGTCTCTAATTGAATATGACTTTGATGGCCGACCGTTGTAAGGACTAGTTTCTCGCCTGTATGGATGCCTAGGTATGCTATACAGTAATCCCAGTTGACCAACTTGTTTTGGTATTGTAGAACTAGAACATGAAGTGGGACATAAAGTTCGTGTAGTCCAGCATCTTCTGGACCATTAGCACTGAAAGCTCTATTAAATACTGCATAAACAATATCTGTACCGGTACTACAAGGGTCAAGGTAGAAACGATAAGTCTTGCCCCAGAATGTCTCTACATTTATCAATAAATCAAAATGTGCTTGAATCATGACGTGAAGAATTGACCTACTTTTAATGCGATACTCAAATAATCGTTTATCATTTTCAAGAGCTCGGTTGGAATACAAGATTTCTTGTCTTTCAACAGGTATTCCTTTCCTCTTTCGGATATTTGTTTTAAGTTTTTGGACTGTCATTGATAAATCCAGATTTAATTCAAAGCTTGTTTTTAATTGACCAATTTCAATGGACACAATTGCATTTTCTTCTGGCATCACCATGACAACTGAACCAGGTCTTATACTGTACACACTGTTCAAACTAACAGGTGATAGTTGTCCTGGACTTAGTAACATTAGTCGGTGTTGAAATCGTTGGAAACCAAAATGCTTTTCTGCATATTCTATAATATTTCCAACCAAATTGTGGTCAGGAGGAAACACAGCTATACTATCAAATTTCATGAATGACCATAGTGCTACAGTTTGTCCATGTGCTGGGTTCAATTGTAAAATAGTATCCGAGTCATCCAAATCAAAATTGTCCATGTCTGAATCATCATCCTCTGAATCATAGGTTTTATCTTGCATTCTCTGTAAGTGTAATCTTTGTAGCTGTCCATCATGACCAGGTCTCTGAAAGGAATGATCAATATTAGGTCATTGAGTTTCTTTTATCTAAATAAACTGTGGATTCAATATTATTCCTTGGAAACCAATATGGTTGAGTTTAATGAAGTACAAATTTTCAATAGACTTGTATGCAGAATTTGGCAGAACCACAAAAATAAATATCCAACAAAATACAATGAGCATATTTCGAGAGAAGAATGTAATTCATTTGTAAGACTTTCATCTAAATGAAGAAAATTATGTGTTTTATATTATTTGTTTCGACTGATTTTTACAAATACAGAATATTTTTGGTTTTAATCAAATTTTTTTTCACAAGTTTGCCACATAAGGGGAGATAACTCAAATAATGTTACTTTTATGAAGGAATGTGTAGTAAATTTACCTATTTTGTATTGTAACAAGAAAACGAGTCCTGTGACCCTAGATTTTATATGTATTTTCGGACAGTACATTATAAAAGCTATCTTATATTTTAATCATCAAGCTTTTTTTTCTATCACACAAATATTGGATATCCCATGTGTAATCTATACATATTATGACAATTTTGCATGACCTGTAGCTTAAAAAGAGCCCTGTGACCCATACTTTTTATTATATTTTTGAAAAAAACATGATATAAACTACACTTTGGCTATTATTAGATAAATCTATTGATTTAATTTAGACTCCTATCTAATTTAATGTGCAATGTCAATTTGTAATATTGACAACAAATAATCATGACCAGGATTTTATATATGTAAAGCATTGTCACAGGAACAAATTGGTTGATTTTATTGACAGGTTTTTAGATCTTTAATTATAGATGTCTTTAGAAATTCTGATATTTTTTCTGTTCATTAGATAAGAAAAGCCAATAGAACAATCACACCCAAAAAATTGATATTTGATATTAATTTCAAACAATTTAAAATGTTCTACATAAAAAAAACAGCACAATGCAGTGAATATTGAAATAGACAAATATGAATAAAGTATATGCCAGATAATAATGGTTTTATAAATACATGAAATAAACAAACAAACTTACTTGAGTATGCACTGGAAATATCCTGTCTGTTTCACTTAGTGGTCCATTCATATAATAGTCATCCATTTTAGTCTCACTTTAATCTAAAGGAATTAAAACTAGAATAAATGTATTTCCATTGATATTTTGTGGAGGACTTCAAGAAGCACTTTGTTTAAGTGAATTTGATTGATTGAATTGATTATTTAATTTAGTAAAGTAAATAAACAATTGTGTTGTCTAAAAGTTTTCAAGTGTAAAGTTTACATTTAAATTCAAATGCAAACATTTCACATTAGAATTTACATTCTTATTATTTTTCAAATGATAATTAATTTTTAATATTTTTTCATCAGAAAATTGGTCTTAATACTAAAATTTAAGCTATGATACTAAATGTGAGCCATTTTGTCATCCAAATATCTAATAAGTCATAAGCTGATGTGTGAAATCATATTTGAATTACCTTCATAAATCACTGTGTATTAATTTCCCACTTTGAAGTGATTTGTAATCTTGTCGACAAATTCGTGCAGGAAGATAGTATCCGTCCTAGGATACCAAACACTGTTTAATAAATGGTAATTTTAATTCCATGTTTTGTCCTTAGATCAATACATTTATAACTGCAATTAAATGCTCAGTTCAATTTTAAAATCATAATTTAAAAAAATGTTCTATTAATACTGTTTAGTTTCACAGATAATGTCCGGGCTTTTTCTGATTATTATAATTTTTTTCCCTTCAATATCTTGGTGATGAAATCCATTCTGATGTTTCATTATAAAGTCCTATATTTGAATGTTTATATAACCTACGGAATTAAATGTTTAAGCTATCTATAGTTGAACAAATATGTAATATTTATTCACATCTCAACCATCTGCAATTAAATGTGGCGCTGCAGTGATTTTATTGTCACACTTCTATACAATATATACGGTTACTGTAGCATTGTGATTATATATGTATTAACTGGTATTAAAGTTTCCAATCTTGAATTCATACATAATTCTGTATATATTTACATTTTATAACAATCTTAGCCAATATATATTGTAAATGTTGAAAAAATTGGTCTCCCAATACAATTTTATTCCTTATATCCAATCTTGAAATTTGAACTAAAATTCCTTATTACATCTTGAAACTAATTCTTCTGTTGCCAATTTTAATTGAATAAATTTTAGATCTGGTTATATTTACGCATCATGTCACCACATTTGTTACACTTTTAAAAAATAAATCCTGACAATACCTCACAATAGAATATTAATGTTGATAGTAGTTGTGAAGATTCCCAGATAGATACTGGTACAATATTATAACTAGCACTTCATCAGTACAATTCATTAATTGGTTATTAGATTTTGAATTTGTGAAATTAATGTTTACTGAGGGGCATTGGTGAGAAATGCTGATATAATTCTTTAAATAGAGACTAGATATTTGGGAAAAGTAAACTTAACTTCCTGAAAAAAACCCTTAAATTCCTCTTTCTCAGTTTGTTGTCATTTTTTGAAAATTTTTAATTCTTGATGAATTTATTACCCTTTTATGGCCTCGCTTAAATCAAAATTTTAATTAAAGGTAAATATAACAATACCTGGATGTCAATGTTAAACTGTTATTTTGAAATTATATCTATCTTAGTGTATATCTGATACTTTTTGGTTCAATGGATGATCAAATTGGTTTCTAAGGCAGAGAATAAAGTCACACTTAGGCATGAGTTACAGTGAAAAACACGTCATTAAATATTCTATCAAAACATTTAATTGTCTTCCATAGGGAGATTTCAAATAAAATTTTCAATAACGAAATATTTATTGTTTGGTTATTCATAAAGATTGTTGAATGAATTATTCTTGTCAATTTTTCATTCTTTGTAGTTTAATTTTAATTTATAACATATTTCAATAGAAATGTCAAATAGAAGAAAATTTAAAAGTACTGATCTTAAACAACAAAAGTTCAATTTCGTACAAAATGTACTGGTTTCCACAAATATAGAAAATACTTCTATTGACTCTTTGTTATGCATTTGCTATTTTTAAAGTTTCATTTATTTTTTTTAAATTTGAATTTGATCTCTTTGAGTTAACAGATACAATGTGTATTTATCTTGATTGCTCAGTTATATGTTTTGAGTAGGTACAAATGCACTGTATATAGATTTTAGTATAGAAGCATGGTTCTAAATATTAACATAGTTTGTTCTCTGTTGCATTCATTGTAGATTCCAAAGCCAGGTGACCCAGAGGTATAGATCTTTACTGAATAAATCCCATCCTTAAATTATACAGTCCATTTCTCTTAAAATTTCACCAGGAATATTCTTTTTATTTCATATATACCTTTTTCAAGAAATACTATCTACTTATTTCCATTAGGTCATGCGCTATGCCATATATTCCATATTTTAGTTTACAAATATCACCTGCCAAAGCTATACAGCTTCACTTATAAATTTTATGTCCATAATTGCACAGTTTATTATTATTATTGCCTTATCTATTGTATTATTTTGCCATTTCGCTTCCATTCATATTCCCTCCTAGAAATGCTATAGCACACATTTTTTCTCATTTTCCCATCATTTATTATCTGCCCTTGATCTCTATCATTTATTTCACTTTCATTTACATTTTTATTTTAAAAAACTCACCCAATCATTAACAGTCATGATTAACAAACATAAATTTAAGGAAAAGTTTTAATACTTAGACATTTAGTTGGCTAAATAATAATTAGTGTTTAAAAAAGAATCTTCTCAAATTGCACCATAGCTATTTTAAAGGAAAAAGTCTACTTTGTTTTGAAAGGAAGCCATGAACATGACAGTTTAAAAATAACTATTTGTACATTGTACAAAAAAAAAATACAGGTAATAATATTGTATTGGGAAAAAAATAAAGTTTGTTTTAATATTTGTTGTGCTTTAGAACAGCTGAAGTACAGTTGAGAGTACTTGATCAGTCAAGTTTAAGATTACAATCACGATGATGAAAACAAACAAAACAAATCTGAATTTGTTTGTTGTAAAAAGTAATTGAATTCTATGAATAAAAGATAAATGTTTGTGAAATATGAACCTCACTTCTGACTTGCATCAAAACCTTGAGATATTGAAATACTTAGTAATCTCTGTCTATTTTCTTTCTTATCATTTTTATTCCAGCTGATGAAGAAAGAGATGAAAGTTTTATATCATTAATCTTAATTTTGTTAGCATTTGAAAATTAAAGCATTCAATCTGTTATGCAGAAATTGATATGCATTTTCCAATATATTAGAATTTGTTTTTCTATTAACTTAGATGTTTTGTTTAAAATATGTTATGATAGAAAATATCCAAACATTTGATTGCTATCAAAATTAGAAGCTAATTTTATCAGTGCTCAGCTAAGTTTGTAAGATAAATCGTTGTTGATTCTAATTTAGTGTAAATCTTTTCTTATCGTTTATTATTGTAGATCATTGTAAGATCTGTATGATCTACTGGTGCCAATTCATTCACAGATTTACACAAGTTAGGGCACAGGATAAAGAAAATGTGATAAAATTTGGGTAATTTCATTTAGGAGTTTGCATAGAATTCATTATTAGTAGTGACTTCATTGGATTTAGATATTTTGGATCTAAAGCCATGGGTTCTCAATAATTTTATAAATTTTATTATTTTTTATAGTACCAATCTGGTAAAATGGAGATCCAACGTCGTGAGAACCGCTGTATCCTCAGAATCAAAGACTGCCAGCCAGAGGATGAAGCTGAGTACACATGTACTTGTGGTGATGCTAAAACTACTTGTCAGTTTAAAGTCACAGGTTAGTTTTTATAAGAATTGAAAAATGTTAGATCAGATCACAAGTGAATCATTCTAAAATCAAATTTTTCCATAGAAACAGAGTTCTGTAGTGTTAATATCAGTGGAGTGCTCTCATTGATGAGAAAGTCACCATTTTTTAATGCATTCCTAAGAACTGAAGTTGGAATGGTATGCAAGCATTTTGTATTGTGAATCTCCTACAGTAAAAAATAATGTCAGATAATTAATGTTATTTTGATAAATGTTGTATTAGAATGTCATTGTTAAAAAATCAAAATCACATTAATTCTGAATTTAAAGTAAATAATTACATCGGAAATACCTGCAATAGGGTATTGAGTTTTCATTTAACTGTGAAACTAAAGATTCTGTATGAAGTATGAAAAAAATTCCTATGTCCAGATTTGGCTGTATTTTATGTCCTTTTTGTTTTGATCAGCTCTTCCAAAGTTTTTATTAGGTTTTAGATTTTCAAATATTTCGGCCTCGAGCATCACTGAAGAGCCATTAATTGTCGAAATGCCCATCTGGTGCATAAAAATTGGTACTCTTAATGTTATTATAAAAAAACATGATAGGTAATAGTATCATGAAATATAATCAGGTGTCTGCTTTAGCTTAAGTACTTTCTCCTATTGTAAGGCATTTATGAATTTAGCAGTTAATTTGAGAATTATTGCTGACTTATGATTTAATATAGATATGAAATTTTACGTTTTTTTCATCTATATCTTCTATTTTTGTAATCTGTACTATCTATACAGTTGGAAAGTAATATTAAATCTTTCTTGTGTAATACATGTTGCCAAAAATATAATCAAAGCAATGATGTTTGATTTCCTATGTTTATTTGCATTTTTAACTAAACCTTTGTGTTTAATTTAAGTTATTTAGGTTTACCAATTCAGACATTCCAGTAACAGTATTAAACCTGATGTTTATAGACTTAATATAAACCTCCATTGAAAGTAATCAAGTTTAAAGAATGCTATTGCAAAACTGCTTAAGTGTATACACATTTACTTGCAATATATCAAATTTGCTGAGATTCTTTCAGCATCTATTTAAATGATTATTGTTAAAAGAGCATTGCTCCATTCCAATCTCATGATTTGAATTCCAAAAGCATCAGTTTGTATGACATTAGATTAATCAGTTGCAAGAAAATGGGTATGTAATTAACAGATTTTAACCAATTTTTTGAGACAACTACAGTCTTTCTTGCTCATAATGAGCATGAAACACAAGGACATGGGATCGTTATAAGCGGATGCTATTTATACAGAGGTGCATTTTACATGCCTCATACAAGAAAGGCATTATATTTTCCATTATCAGCAATTTGTACATTTTTCCTTTGATGATACTGCCTAATATTTTTAGGATCATGGACACGACTTGATACTGAAAAATATTAGACAATGACGTCATGTATCAGTGCACAATGACACATGCTCAAGTCCATCCGCGTCAATTTATCAATGAAATGCACGCAACTTCATTCATACAACTGAAACAACTGCAACGTTTTGTACGCATAAAATTAGTTTTACTTACTATTTCATTTTACTTCATATTCTCAACCAAAAAAACATACAGTTAAGACAAATTGCAGATAATAAGAATAATGGCATTTTGATTTTTGATACTGACTTCATCAGCTCTAGTATCAGCTCACCCTAGTGGGCTAGCTTGATATTCCTGCTGATAAAGTCAGTATCAAAAACAAAAATATCATTATTCTATATAAATCCATTTCTTTCTGAGACAGGTTTTACTGTACCTCTATAAATGTATATAGCTGTGAGTTCAGAAATTATTGTACGGTTTTTATTATTGCGAATAATGCGAGTGGGTGAGTATCGCAACAATAAGAACTTGCAGTATGATATATGATACATATATCTGTATGCAACGTTTCCTGCGATTGGAATAATTAATTTTGACTTTTTGTTGGTCATATCAGTTTCTCAATAATGAATTTTCGGAATAATTTCTGAATTTACAGTTTATAAGAGTCAAGAAAATTGTTGCTCAATTCTTTAGACTTGTATATAAGTATATATATATCTTGAATTTACCTGAAATATTTTACACTTGATGTTCATCAACAAACAATAATACAATATACCGAGTGAATTAATTTGACAGAACCTGAATGGGACTTCATGAAGTTGTTAGATGATGTTGAAGGTATAGAAAGAGATAGAGCAACATTTGAATGTGATGTCAATGATCCTGAGGCTGAGGTTAAGTGGTTTAGAAATGACAAGGTATGTGTATTTCTATTTAGGGACAGACAAGCATGAATAGTATTCCTATGATATAAAAACCCCTGACGTTTCTCAGAAAAAACCTGTGCATTTATAAATATGGTTAATGAAAGGTTTAAACGAAACTTCAAAGTAAAAAAGACAGAAATGTTTTTGTCAATTGTACATTTTTTAATGACAGTATTCTTATTGGAGAAGAAATTACTGTTGGTCTCATTTTAACCTCCATCTCACTATACAGTATTAGTATGGGAAAAAAGTGCTTCTGAGACTTTATGCTAAAGTTTACATAGTAAAAGTCCTAGTGCTAGATTAAGATTTATGTTTTTCAAATATTATGATTGTTCATGTCTGATTTGTCAGATTTTTGACTATTTGCGAACAGGTTTATTATTTTTCGTGTGTTCATACTAATTACAAAATGTTTATGTCTCATAGTTGTAATATCTAAAAACAATATTGTAATACCGGTATACAAAAACAGAAAATTCAAAGAAAAACACCTTATTTAACCTTACAAATATTTGTTTGACACACATCCCAAATGTTTTAGTGATTCCACCATTGAAGTCTATTCACAGTTTTGTTCAGGCCAGTATAAATTAATTCAAATGCAATTTTTAAAGATTATATGATGCTTATTAAGCAATTCCTTACTTGAAAATAAAAACTGAGATAGATTTGCAATTAGGTGTGGTCATATTGTATGAACAATAAAATTTTATCTGTTTGGGTAGGGGGTCAAATAGATTTTTCACTAAGATAATTGTTGTATTAGTTTATATTGGCCTTGCCTTATACATGTTCCTACTGTATATATGATGATTTTCTAGAATAAAGTCAAGGTAAGTTAAGGTGTAGTACCTCTGTTGTAGTGGGGTTACAGGCTGTAGTATTACTTGTACCTTCTTTCCATTCCTTATCAGAGGCTGCAAGGCTTTAATTTGTTAATGTTATTTGAAACCAAAATCTATTCATCAATTCATTCCACAAATACAATTTAGCCAATATGCAAGTGTATTATAACTCAGTGGTGTCCTACAAATATAACAAAGAAAAAATCTATGCAGCCTCTGTCGATCTTGATAGAATAACTTTTAGACTTCCATTAATCTGATTATTTTCTATACGTCATAGACCATTAAAAGAAAGTGGCTTGTCTCCCCTTAAAATAATTGTTAAAATGAAGATACTAAGTAATATATATATATATATAACAATGTTTTAAAGTATAATAAAATACCATATTTACCTAATACTGAATATTAAAGCAATCGTTTTTGTTTATATTTTATTCATATTTCTGTTTACCTGCATTGTTTGTCCATATTTTAATGCTTCAAAGAAGTCCTGATTTGTTTTTACTTAATTTTTGTCGAGCCTGCGACTTTTGTCGCAGAAAGCTCGACATAGGGATAGTGTTCCGGCGGCGGCGGCGGCGGCGGCGTTAGCTAACTTCTTAAAAGCTTTATATTTTAGAAGGTGGAAGGTCTGGATGCTTCATACTTTGTATATGGATGCCTCATGTTACGAAGTTTCCGTCAGTCACATGTCCAATGTCCTTGACCTCATTTTCATGGTTCAGTGACTACTTGAAAAAAAAGTTAAGATTTTTTGTAATGTTAGATTCTCTCTTATTATAAGTAATAGGATAACTATATTTGGTATGTGCGTACCTTGCAAGGTCCTCATGCCCGTCAGACAGTTTTCACTTGACCTCGACCTCATTTCATGGATCAGTGAACAAGGTTAAGTTTTGGTGGTCAAGTCCATATCTCAGATACTATAAGCAATAGGTCTAGTATATTCGGTGTATGGAAGGACTGTAAGGTGTACATGTCCAACTGGCAGGTGTCATCTGACCTTGACCTCATTTTCATGGTTCAGTGGTTATAGTTAAGTTTTTGTGTTTTAGTCTGTTTTTCTTATACTGTATGCCATAGGTCTACTATATTAGGTGTATGGAATGATTGTAAGGTGTACATGTCTAGCGGGCAGGTGTCATCTGACCTTGACCTCATTTTCATGGTTCAGTGGTCAAAGTTAAGTTTTTGAGTTTTGGTCTTTTTTTCTAATACTATATGCAATAGTTCAACTATATTTGGTATGTGCGTACCTTGCAAGGTTCTCATGCTCGTCAGACAGTTTTCACTTGACCTCGACCTCATTTCATGGATCAGTGAACAAGGTTAAGTTTTGGTGGTCAAGTCCATATCTCAGATACTATAAGCAATAGGTCTAGTATATTCGGTGTATGGAAGGACTGTAAGGTGTACATGTCCAACTGGCAGGTGTCATCTGACCTTGACCTCATTTTCATGGTTCAGTGGTTATAGTTAAGTTTTTGTGTTTTGGTCTGTTTTTCTTATACTGTATGCCATAGGTCTACTATATTTGGTGTATGGAATGATTGTAAGGTGTACATGTCTAGCGGGCAGGTGTCATCTGACCTTGACCTCATTTTCATGGTTCAGTGGTCAAAGTTAAGTTTTTGAGTTTTGGTCTTTTTTTCTTATACTATATGCAATAGTTCAACTATATTTGGTATGTGCGTACCTTGCAAGGTTCTCATGCTCGTCAGACAGTTTTCACTTGACCTCGACCTCATTTCATGGATCAGTGAACAAGGTTAAGTTTTGGTGGTCAAGTCCATATCTCAGATACTATAAGCAATAGGTCTAGTATATTCGGTGTATGGAAGGACTGTAAGGTGTACATGTCCAACTGGCAGGTGTCATCTGACCTTGACCTCATTTTCATGGTTCAGTGGTTATAGTTAAGTTTTTGTGTTTTAGTCTGTTTTTCTTATACTGTATGCCATAGGTCTACTATATTAGGTGTATGGAATGATTGTAAGGTGTACATGTCTAGCGGGCAGGTGTCATCTGACCTTGACCTCATTTTCATGGTTCAGTGGTCAAAGTTAAGTTTTTGAGTTTTGGTCTTTTTTTCTAATACTATATGCAATAGTTCAACTATATTTGGTATGTGCGTACCTTGCAAGGTTCTCATGCTCGTCAGACAGTTTTCACTTGACCTCGACCTCATTTCATGGATCAGTGAACAAGGTTAAGTTTTGGTGGTCAAGTCCATATCTCAGATACTATAAGCAATAGGTCTAGTATATTCGGTGTATGGAAGGACTGTAAGGTGTACATGTCCAACTGGCAGGTGTCATCTGACCTTGACCTCATTTTCATGGTTCAGTGGTTATAGTTAAGTTTTTGTGTTTTGGTCTGTTTTTCTTATACTGTATGCCATAGGTCTACTATATTTGGTGTATGGAATGATTGTAAGGTGTACATGTCTAGCGGGCAGGTGTCATCTGACCTTGACCTCATTTTCATGGTTCAGTGGTCAAAGTTAAGTTTTTGAGTTTTGGTCTTTTTTTCTTATACTATATGCAATAGTTCAACTATATTTGGTATGTGTGTACCTTGCAAGGTTCTCATGCTCGTCAGACAGTTTTCACTTGACCTCGACCTCATTTCATGGATCAGTGAACAAGGTTAAGTTTTGGTGGTCAAGTCCATATCTCAGATACTATAAGCAATAGGTCTAGTATATTCGGTGTATGGAAGGACTGTAAGGTGTACATGTCCAACTGGCAGGTGTCATCTGACCTTGACCTCATTTTCATGGTTCAGTGGTTATAGTTAAGTTTTTGTGTTTTGGTCTGTTTTTCTTATACTGTATGCCATAGGTCTACTATATTTGGTGTATGGAATGATTGTAAGGTGTACATGTCTAGCGGGCAGGTGTCATCTGACCTTGACCTCATTTTCATGGTTCAGTGGTCAAAGTTAAGTTTTTTTAGTTTTGGTCTTTTTTTCTAATACTATATGCAATAGTTCAACTATATTTGGTGCATGGAAATATTTTATGATCTATTTGTCAGTCACGCAGGTTTTATTTGACCTTGACCTCATTTTCAAGGTTCATTGCTCAGTGTTAAGTTTTTGTGTTTTGGTCTGTTTTTCTTAAACTATAAGCAATAGGTCAACTATATTTGTTGTATGGAAGAATTTTTAGCTGTACATGCCTGCCCAGCATGGTTCATCTGACCTTGACCTCATTTTCATGGTTCATTGGTCAATGTTTAGTTTTACTTGGTTAATGTTAAGTTTATGTGACAGTTGTAATAAGCTTTATATTTAGGACTATCAACATAATATCAATGATTAGTAAAGAAGGCGAGACATTTCAGCGTGTGCACTCTTGTTCCTTTTCTTACTGTTTCAAATCATTTCAGTATATATTTTATTTATATTTCCGTTAACCTGAATTTTATGTCCATATTCTTATTCTTCAAAGAAGTCCTGAATTTTTTTTTAGTTTTTAGATTAGATTTAATTTTCCTTCCTCTTCCTGTTTTGCTTGTACATTGCAGTACCTCATCTTAAAAATAAAAAAAATTCTTGTAAATCTCGTTTGTTTCAGTTTAATACTCACTTCTTAGCCACTGAACCAGTAGATTTGCAATAGTTTTTTCAGTATCCTATCTATTTCCTCCTATTTTCCTATTTAAGCTAGAGAACACCATTACACCAACTTTCAGTTTCCTACCTGTTTCCTCCTTTTTTCCTTTTTAAGCTAGTAAACCACTACTCCAACTTTTAGTTTCCTACCTGTTTCCTCCCTTTTTTCCTTTTTAAGCTAGTAAACCAGTACTCCAACTTTCAGTTTCCTACCTGTTTCCTCCTTTTTTCCTTTTTAAGCTAGTAAACCAGTACTCCAACTTTCAGTTTCCTATCTGTTTCCTCCTTTTTTTCTTTTTAAGCTAGTAAACCAGTACTCAAACTTTCAGTTTCCTACCTGTTTCCTCCTTTTTTCCTTTTTAAGCTAGTAAACCACTACACCAACTTTCAGTTTCCTATCTGTTTCCTCCTTTTTTCCTTTTTAAGCTAGTAAACCAGTACTCCAACTTTCAGTTTCCTATCTGTTTCCTCCTTTTTTCCTTTTTAAGCTAGTAAACCAGTACTCCAACTTTCAGTTTCCTATCTGTTTCCTCTTATTTTCCTTTTTAAGCTAGTAAACCAGTACTCCAACTTTCAGTTTCCTATCTGTTTCCTCCTATTTTCCTTTTTAAGCTAGTAAACCACTACTCCAACTTTTAGTTTCCTTTCTTCGTAGCCCTCATACCTAATTATAGCTTTATGATTCATTAAAAAGAATGATATGGGTCAAAGGACCAAGTAAAAGATTTACGCATTAGTTAGCCTTTCTAATAAATACTAAGCATTAAAAAAAAAAAACGTAAATTTTGTTTTCATGTTTTATACGCCCGTTTTATGGTATACCGTTGTCCGTCAGTCTGTCGTCATTATGTCAGACAATAACTCAAAAATGCTTTAACCAATTTGCATGAAACTTTGGTGAATTGTTTATATCAATTGATGTGAGATCCCTTTCGATTTTTATGAATTTTAGATTATACGTGTCTGAATTATGAGGTTTTATTCATTAAAAAAAGGGGGTTTCCAGTTTTAGGACAATAACTCTAAAATTGTTTGAGCAGTTTTTGTGAAGCTTTGATGAATTTTTCATATCTATTAAAGTAAGCTCCCTTTCGATTTTTATAAATTTTAGATTTTATGTTTCCCTATTATGGGATTTTATTCATAAAAAAGGGGGGATTTTCCAGGTTTGGACAATAACTCAAAAGTGCTTTGAGCAGTTTTCATGAAACTTTGGTGACTGGTTTATATCTATTAAAATAACCTCTCTTTAGTTTTTTTTATAAATTTCTGATATGATATTGAGTTATGGAACTTTATTCCTAAAAAAGATTTGGCATATCATGCGCTCATGGTGCAGCTCTTTATTATCAAATGTTTCAACAGATTTTTGTTAACTATTTATTTGCTCTGCTTTACTGAAGTTAATTTAATTTATGCAGGCTTATTTTAATTTAGCATTTAATATGCAGTTGTTATCAATCAAAAGTTAAAACTAAAAGTATTTTGCTATTCATTCGCGTTATTAAAACTTTCTAATATTTTTACATGTAATACATACAGTAGAGTCTGATCATTTCATTTTTCTAGCAAGTCTTTGCCAAATTAAGTCTACAGACTTAGGGACAATCAGAATCACTGGAAGTATGATATTACATGTATTTAATTTAACTTCCTGCAACTCATTTTTGTCTTCACTTGTTTTCATATTAGGAACTTACATCTGGTGGAAAGTTTGAAATACAGGTAGATGGTTTTAAGAGACGTCTTGTTGTTAAAAATTGTCACTCGAAGGATGATGGACCTTACACCTGTAAAGTCCTTGACAAAGAAACTACTGCAAATCTGTTTATAGAACGTAAGTTGTCTCATTAATTACTACCCAATCGAGTCTTTATAATCCATTTAAAATTTAAAAGTTTTTTTCATATCAAAGAGCGACCCTGTGTTCTTTTTTTATAGAAAGTTGAAGTAAAAGATAATGACTAAATATGCATTTTGCAAATAACAAGATGGTAAATCGCTGGCTGATAAAATGCCAGGACCAAAATTGGTTAAAAGTCCTTAGGACATTGTCAATGATGTCTCATTTCTCTTCATAGAAAGCTATTTATTAGCACTAATTGATCTATATGTATTATGATATAATGTATTTTTTAAAAAGCTGATGTCAAATTCTTCAAGAAGTTGGAAAACAAGAGAGAAAGAGAGAAAGGAACCCTTGTATTGGAATGTAAAGCTTCTAATCCTCACAACCAGCCTGTAAAATGGCTTAAAGATGGAGAGCCAATCAACAAGGATGATCCGTATGTATACACCAATGTTTTACACCAATGTTTTATATAACGTTGCTAATTGAAATTCTTTACAGCAGTTTATGATCCGTATGTATACACCAATGTTTTACACCAATGTTTTATATAACGTTGCTAATTGAAATTCTTTACAGCAGGCTACTGATATTTTTAGAAAATATAAAGTTTATAGTATTAGACAAATTTTATCATACAAATTTTGATATTGATTTTGTAACATTCCAAAGCTTATGAAATGTGAGCTGTGAAATATTTAATAATGTTGAATTGTTGTGGTAAAATAGTCCAAGTGTACAAAGACCCTCATCAGGTTGTGAGGAGGATTTTCTAGGATGCAGTATCTTCCTATTAAAATTTGAGAAAAGATTGCCTAAAATACAATGTCTTTTATTTAGTAAAAAATACCATGGAAGTAGATTATAGATAAAATATTGAATGAAATTGTTTTTTTTACCTTTCTAAGTTTCATATGTAAGTTAACTATGTCAATTACCTTTCTTTTCTACCATGCTACAGTTGTATATAATTTTACTTTACAGTCGTTTAGAAGTAACGAGGAAAGGAGAAATGTATAAGATTGTTATCAAAAATCTTACCAGAGAAGATGCTGGACAATATGCTTGTCAAGTCGGAGAAAGATCTTCCAAATGTGATGTTATCGTTGATGAGTGTAAGTTATTATAAATTAATGCTCAATTCAGATTTTATGTAAAATCACAATTATTTTAGGAAATTTGATTGATGGTCTTTTTCTTACACAGATTAATTTATGTACAGTAATAAAAAATTAAATATTTTTACAGTACCCAAACCACCACAGATTAATGCCAAAGACATACCAGAGGAGATTATTGTAAAGAAGGGTGAAGTGATTGAGATCGGCATCCCATTCGTTGGTGTACCCATGCCTGAGGGTCACTGGAAAAAAGATGGCAACCCACTAAGTGAGGCAGATACTGACATCAGAATATCTGATAGCATGGCCAGCATCCGTATCCCAGATGCACAGAGAGGTGACACCGGACAGTATGAACTGACTCTTACAAATGAGGTCGGGTCAGAGGTCATCCCTATACCTGTCAGGGTTTTGGGTAAGGTTTGAATAATATTCAATAATTTCCTGTATTGTTAACTTTTCTTCTAAAAAATTGATCTGATAATAAGAAAATTACCTGTATTTTGGTCAATATTACGTCTTTTATTGCTACCATACATATTTGTTAATATGAAATTGACTCTCTATCCATTTCATAGTTCTGAATTTCAGCAGAACTAATTATAAATGATTTGTTATCTTTTAAAGTTATGAAAAAGATTCTTATAATTGTTTAAACTAGCTTACTGATCCAAAAGATGTAGCTTATAAATATACATAGTTCAGTATTGCTAAATGAAGATGACATTAATAGATTTATAGTCTTTAATTGTACTTTCGGTTTTCAGATGTACCTGGTCGTCCAGGAGAACCATTGGACGTTGTTGATGTGTTTTCTGATAAATGTGCTCTTCTCTGGGACAGACCCAAAGATGATGGTGGATCTCCAATCAAACATTATATCGTGGAAATGAAGGATTCAGAAAAAGGCTCAGACCAATTTGAACAAGTTTGTACCACAGAAGATTTGGAAGTGGATGTTACAGGCCTGAAGGAAGGACATCGTTATCAGTTCCGTGTCAAAGCTGTCAATGACCAGGGCACCAGTGAACCTCTCTTGGCTGATGGTGAAATTATTGCCAAAGATCCATGGGGTATGTTATATTTCATTGTATGTAGGATTTCATCACCCTAATCACTCCTTTGGATAATAGACTACTTTCAAATTCGTGCACTTTCCTGTACATTTCCTTTCACAATGCTTATGTTAATACGTCACAGTAAGAACTGATTTATAAATGACATTATTTACACTGTTAAAACTCGAGTCAATTGGTGCAACTCATTCATAAAAAACAACTGGAGATTGATGTGGTTTTTTTTTATTACTGATGTACAGGTTACTTGTAATTGAAAAATTGTAAATTATTTGATTTTGATTAAATACATAAAAGTTCATGGTTTGAAACAAAATATTTGGAAAGAGGTCAAATGCATACTTCTCTAGAGAAATTTTATTATTCAAACAGGCAATTTTAATAAAACACCTAATTTATCTGCATGATATTCCTAAGCTTATATAAAGCATGCACACAGAACTTTCTAAATAAGAAATAACTTTGGAGATCCTTTTTTCAAACCCACAATATTTTTATGATTTATACTGATGATACTTAAATCTCTAGCATCCTGTTTTTTTTTCTTCTATTGAATAACAGATTATTACTTTATGGTCCATTTGTAATTCCTATATTTAAACAACCATGATGCAAAAAATAAAATTTAAATTGTTTGATGTGGCCTACTAACCCACCTTAAAAGCAGCCTAGTACCCGTAAAAATTTTATTTCACAAATTGTTGATTTTTTCCTGCTCTAACGACATGCCTAAAACATGTAACTTATGTTGTTGGCTAAAATAAAAAAAAAACTCTTACCTTCCTTTCCAACCCTAGAAGGCATGGGTAGGCAAACAAAGAATTTCTTAAGGGTGGCCTGAGAGACCCTCATGAGTAATGGTAAAACAATCCTTTGTTGTAGTGCATATAACAGACATACATAGCATTTAAAAAAATTAAAGAAACATATGTGATGCATTTTTTTTCTATCTTTTGACATAATTGAATCATCATATTAGTTTAAATATGACATTATTTGTATTCTAGATCCATCTGACCCACCACAAGATACTACCGTAGAGGATTATGACAAGGATTATGTAGAAATTGGATGGAAACCACCAATAAATGATGGCGGAGCTCCTATTGAGAAATATGTCATCGAAAAATGTGAAAAACATAGACCAGAATGGGTGCCTGTAAGTATAAAAAGAAAAAAATTAAAAACATTGTAGACTGAAATGTAAACTATAATACATTAAAGCATACAGAATGATAATAGGAATAACCAAAAATTTTAGACATTACAACAGACAATACCAACACCCAACTCCCCTCTAAATACAAACAAAACATTACATGCAACACATGGTCAAGATAGCCAGACATGAGACAGTGACCCAACAACAAAAATAATCAGAAGTTAAGATACTGGCTTCAACAATAGACAGGTATCTATACAATATGTCAAGCTTTAAATTGTCTTGAGTGTATAAAAGTTGTAAAAATTAAACAGAAGCAAACAAACATTAACACTCAATTCTCCAAATAGAAATTAAAAATAAAATATTGAGATGTAAATGCATTCCTTTCATGTCATTATGTTTCTTTTGCCTCATTATTGCCATTATTAATTACAAAATTGTAGGTGTTCATATTGACATTAAAACAAAAAAAAATGTATTTTAAAACTCCACTATACACTGATTTATAAAAAAGGAGATAATGTTGGAATAGAAATTATTAAAGGGATGTTTTTATCAGTTGTTTAACTGATTTCAATTATTTTGCTTCTTGAAATATGTTTTCAAAAGTTGTTGGCACTGAACGTTAAGTAAACATCAATTGATGTATCATAAGTTGTTGGTGGAAAATGAACCTTTTGATGGGGTGTTTCAGTTAGTTTTAAGATTTTCAGATAAGTTAATTACTAGCCAATATTGCATCCCTGTAATTTGTGCAGGCATGAGTAATAAAATAACTATTATACAATTATAGGGCATTGAAGTACCCGGAGATAAAAGAGCTGGAACTGTAAGTGGCCTTACTGAGAACAGAGAATACATTTTCCGTGTTAGCGCTGTTAACAAGGCTGGTAAATCAGAACCTAGTGAAGCTACACCACCTGTCCTCACCAAGTCCAGGAGAGGTAACTAAAATAACATGTTTAGGTTTTGTCACCATTTAATTGACTTTGAAAATCCATACTGGTCTCCATGTTGAAGCTATAAACTTGCTTTCAAAGTCAAAATGATTTCAAGTCCCAAATCCAAATTTTGAAAATTGTATATGCTAAAAAAGAAAAAAAAAGAGATGTGGGGTATATAAAGCAACCAAAACCTAAAAATTAACTGTGTTGGAGGCCTTTCTGTGACTTTGAGAAGAAGAACAGCAATAAAAGCGCTGTTCCTTTGCACTTTGTGTTTTTGCTGTGCATGTACAGATTTTGTTTCATAAATGGATACCCCATATTCTTTCTTTTCTAAGACATTTGGAAACCAACACAAGGTCTTGGTCAAAATATGTATGTCAATACCATGTGTCTAGCTCAATATTGCAAGAGCCTAGGAATGATCTGCTATCAATAGCAATTTCTTTATAGGCCTAAAACACCAAGATGAAACTAAAGACAAGTGCTTTTGACTGTTGAGTTTCCTGGCAGGCCATGGGACTTGCCCATTAACATGTGGCAGTGTTAAACTAGCTTGTTGTACCAAGTCCTCCCAATTGAATCATATGTGTCAAGTTTGGGAGGAATTTTTCACATTATTAAGTAAAGTAGCAGTCTTTTTTTCCAGCTAAACTTTTAAGTATATTTCAAGAATGGGAAAAATCAAAGATATTTAGCATGTTTAGTGATTGAGATTGGGGTCAGTCTTAAAAAGGAGACATTAGAAAAATGTTGCAATAAAAAGATGATAAATATTAGTGTTGTCAACGGTTAACCGGTTAACCGTCGAAAGGACCAATATCGAATACCACAAACGCTAACTGGTTAACCATCGAAAGGACTGAATATAGAATACCACAAACACTAACCGGTTAACCAAACCTTTTTTCAATTTTTATAGATTTGATATAAATATGTATTAGAATCATTAATACATTTTGTTGAATTATAAAATGATCGTCATGGTAATTAATTTTACAGATCAGTTGTCCAGTATATTGATTGCCATTGTTTAAAACCTTCCAAACATTCCAATTTTATAAAATTAATTAACACAAAAACAATTTGTACATCAGCTCAGGACAAGATCTAAAGTAAACATAATTAGCATACATGTACAATTTTTTCCGAACAATTATTAGCGGATTAAATTTTATGATTTAATTCATTATTTCATTTTTTGATTTAATATTGGGTAGACCTTCATGTAAATACACCACCTCAATCGCTCAAAGCTTTGTCATACTTTAAAGGAAATGCCGATTAAAAAATTGTGAAATGCAAATCATGTGAATGGAATTAACTTATACTGGGTGGTACGAGTAACACGCTGAATCATCTCAAATTTAAACACTCCGTAGATTTTCTGAGACACCAGAGAAAATGAAACAACGGTTTTGGACATTTTCAATTCGACAAGATCAAGAAGGTTTTCATATTTTCAATCTGAAGTTATTACAAACCCCATTGTAGAAGATATGATAATATTTGATTATTAAAAGTTAAACTCGCAAGGATTGCTCAAAGCCAAGCCTTATAAAGACAAAGGATACACTTCAATTTTTCGTATCATTAAAGTGTGCATTTGTAGAGTACTTTAGGTAGGGCCTTTAAACATCAACTTAACTACCGGTTAACCAGTTAATCAGTGGAAAGATTATTTGAGTAACAGGTTGGGCAAAACTATTCAATTTAACAACACTAATAAATATATATAGTTGATGAATTATACTAAATTTTTTAGTGTATCTTTTACATGATCAATAGAGATAATGATAGTTCTTCATTGATAAAGTCTTTTAATATTGAATATATATCGGCATTGACAATATGAAAACTCGTTTTATAATAAGAAAAGGGGGATGTGTTCTGATTGCAATTGAGACAACTATCCACCAGAGTCCAAATGACATGGATTTAAGCAACTATAGGTTCATTATCTGAAAAAATTTCAGAGTGCACATAAGAAATAAGAAGGTAAGAAAATAAAGTTAAAGCATTAAAGGACAATGTGAGAAATGTTTTTATGACCATGTGTAATTCCAGTTAAACCAAGAATTATGAACAAAGATGACCTGAAACCAATCCGTGTCAAAGTAGGAAAAGATTTCAGTATTCCTGTAGAGTTCATTGGTGAACCAACACCAAAGATTGAATGGAAGAAAAAAGGACTGGTTAGTATAAATCAAGCTTTATAAATGACAAGGCCAGTTATTATTCACATGGCATAAAATTCCAATATTAATTGCAGCAAGCCAAGCTAGAACTATCCCTGATTAACAAGTATTTTTCCCATATTGCTGATAACTCTTAAGTTAACAGAACATATTTCCCTAAGGATTTCTCTTCTCGTAGATAAGCTTTTTAGCCAACAGCTTAAAAACAGACTATTAATAAGATTTACTTACAGCTTATGTTTACTATGCAATTAAACAAAATGCACAAAAGATCTTAAATTTTTTGCAATTTTAATCAGGAAGGCAAACTCCACATGGTAATAAATTGAAGCTGTGGCAAATTGCATGACTTGATCTGCTTTATCAGGCGCCATTAAGTTTTTATAGTATGTTCAGATTTGTCAGAATTGCTTGAACCAAAGTGAAAAATATTCATCAGTGTGATAAAAAAAAGAATTCTTATAGTGTGTATGTTTTGCTGAGCAGTGTGTTTATAGAGAAATTTTCATAACATATTAAAGGCAGATATGCTGTTGATAAAAGCTTGTACACATCTGCATCCATATTTTGATACTGTTTGAAAAGGAAATGATACTTCATTTGAATTCATTAATATATACTCATAGTGAATGTTTTGAGTGAATTTCTCCTCTGACATGGATGTGTGTTTTTTCCAAAGCACTGGACTCTGTACATCTCCTTTCATTTCTGTATATACCAATATCAATCTCCAATTTTAAACTATGAAACAGCCAAATGATTCCATGTTCCATTTTATGTACTTTTTTCCAACAGGCCTCCAATATATTGCACCATTTTTGATAGACGAAAATTTAAAGAATTAATTTTAATAACTTAACTTTATCTAGGTTAAGATATTTAAGTGTAACTGTGAAAGGATAACAACATTTGATGAGGATAGATCAAAGTATAAGTGTATTTTTGTTCTTTATATATATCATAAACTAAATGCAAAATTGTGTGCTTAATTTAAACAAGTGCAATGAGAACATCATGATCACTCAAAAAAAATGCAATTCTCAACATGGTATGAATTGTGAGTGGAGGTGACATTTACAAATTCTATCAATAGTGGTATTTCTAAGCATGATAATGACCTTTAACCTCTATCCTAGGATCCAACAAAGGTAGTAAGTATTCCATGTATCTCTCCTCTGTTGTATATAATGTGTACTAATGTTTTATTGTGCTTAATTAGTCATTAAATGTACAAATGCTTTGGAAAAATATTTCAGCAAGGGTTTTTAATAACGGTTAAAGATTCAGAAGAAATATAGTATGATTATCACATATTTTGTTAAAATTGTGACAAATGTTAATTTCTACATTATTTGGTTTCTGGTGGAGAGTTGTCTCATTGGCAATCATACCACATCTTCTTATTTTTATATAAAAGGAAAAAGAAAACAAAAATGCTTCAGCTTTAATGACTTTATAATAATATCTTTTTAAGCACAGTGTAACATTATCTCTCCCCAATATATCAAAGTAGTACAGTAGATATGTACTGATTATATGTATAGAAATATGTTATCACCATTGTCTCATAGTCACCACAATTTGATCTCTGGTGATGGCTTCAAGATCTTTTATAATGAATTGTATCATTGTGTTACATTAATATCTCTATTTGTGAGATAAAGCAACAGAGAACAGTCATCAATAGAGATCAAATAAAGTTATCTCCCTTTGTAATTATTTTTTATTTTCTTATTATCAGCAAGGCATGATTAGCCAGGTAGTTTTTTTGTTTGTTTTATAGATGATAGGATTATGATTTGACTTTGACTTTTATTTTTTTGTTTATGTCCTAATATTTAGTAATTTCTAATATACATTGTAATTTTTGTATATTATTTATTTAAATGCCTTTATTGATTTTTAGCTCACCTGGCCCAAAGGGCCAAGTGAGCTTTTCTCATCACTTGGCATCCGTCGTCCGTCGTCGTCGTTAGCTTTTTACAAAAATCTTCTCCTCTGAAACCACTGGGCCAAATTTAACCAAACTTGGCCACAATCATCATTAGGGTATCTAGTTTAAAAAATGTGTCCGATGACCCTGCCAACCAAACAAGATGGCCGCAATGGCTAAAAATAGAATATAGGGGTAAAATGTAGATTTTGGCTTATATCTCTGAAACCAAAGCATTTAGAGTAAATCTGACAAGGGTAAAACTGATTATCAGGTCAAGATCTATCTGCCTTGAAATTTTCAAACAAATCTGACAACCTGTTGTTGGGTTGCTGCCCCTGAATTGGTAATTTTAAGGAAATTTTGCAGTTTTTGGTTATTATCTTGAATATTATTATAGATAGAGATAAACTGTAAACAGCAATAATGTTCAGCAAAGTAAGATCTACAAATAAGTTGTCATGACCAAAATTGTCAGTCAACCCCTTTGAGAGTTATTGCCCTTAATAGTCAATTTTTAACAATTTTTCATAAATTTTTGTAATCTTTTACAAAAACCTTCTTCTCTGAAACTACTGAGACAGATTTAACCATACTTGGCCATAATAATTATTAGGGTATCTAGTTTAAAAAATATGTCCGATGACCCCGCCTTCCAACCATCATGGCCGACTTGGTTAAAAATAGACCATAGGGGTAAAATGCAGTTTTTGGTTTATATCTCTGAAACTAAAGCATTTAGAGCAAATCTGACATATGGCAAAAATGTTCATCAGATTTAGATTTATCTGCCCTGAAATTTTCAGACGAATCCGACAACATGTTGTTGGGTTGCTGCCCCTGAGTTAGTAATTTTACAAAAATTTTGCAGTTTTTTGTTATTATCTTAGATATCATTATAATATCTAATATCTAATACTATTAATTATGATTTTAACCTTATTTTACATGATTTCCAAAGCATCAGTAAATACAGGTGAGCGACACAGGCTCTTGAGAGCCTCTAGTTTTATTTTACTTCTATTACTTACGTTGCTTAAAATTAAAAAAAAAAGACTTATTTTTATTTTACTTTTAGTTTATATCCTAATATGTAGTAATGTTTAAAATACATAGCAATTTTTGATAATTATTTATTTTAATTTCTTTTATTAATTTAAAAAAAATTAACTACTATTACTTATGTTGCTTAAAATGAAAAAATAGTATTTATGATATATAATTTACTAAATGAAATAATTTATTAAAATCTTGATTTCATTTAATTCATACAATAACATTTTTTGTATCAGATTTTAATTCTTTCAGCATAGAACCTTGATTAAATTATATTTTCAGGTTTCTCAAATTTTCACATCGTCTCTTGAGCTAAATTTATTCAACACATAATAGAATCTAGATGTACCATAAATTGATTTATTTTTTCAACTTTTTTCACTATAAAAAGGTCATGCCTTAGTCAAAGAACTTATAAACCCATTAGGATTATTTGTATTTCACATATGATTCCTACATAAATGTATCTGCCAAGAACGGGAAAAGTCGCACCAAAGTTTTTAAAAAAAAAAAAAAAATTTTTTTAGAATAAAATAATTTTTCAACTTATTTTTTACGCCTGAAAAACCTAATTTGTAAGTATTTTGCAAATTTGAAATTTTGACTGGAATGCCTAATTTGTAACAATAAATAAAAGAAATGCAAATCATTTATTGGAAACGGGAAAAAAAGAGAACAGTTTTGAAAATTGACCAAATTCAATCAATTTTCTTTTTGAGCCGTTGTACATCTCTAAATCATTCAAAAGATATTTATTCTTGTGAATTTATTTAATGAGCTTATTGAAGACAAGAAATACATTTAAAAAAAAAGATACAGTGAAAATGATTTTATCAGTATTTATTTCTTGTAAATTCTAAATTGTAATTATTTGAAAATTGGATCTTTTTTCAGGACAAGAAAGAAGAATTAATAGAACCATCAGACCATATTTCTATTGATAATAAGACTGAGAAGAAAACAACATTGACCTGCAGAAACCCATCAAGAAAGGATACTGCTATGTACAATGTTACAGTGGCTAACAAACATGGATCTGATACAGCTGATGTCGAGGTCGTTGTTCTTGGTAAGAACTTTTGTAGCCATAGGTTAAGTTATTTTCAAAAATTTTGAATTGAAAATGCTTCCTTGCTTAATATATGCATCTGAATAGTGTATTTTGACGGAGTCAAAAAGCGAGACATAGGTATGCTGTTTCCGATGTCGGCGATGGCAGCATCAACAATGTATTAGTTTGTGATTAGGTCTAGTTCAGGGTAAACCACTAATGGTAGGTCAATGATATTTGGTATGCAGTTGTATTAGCATTGGCACATCTCATTACCATGGAGATTATTTGGCCCCGCCCCCTCAGTCAAGGTCTATGTACTTTGAAACTTTTCATAGTTTACATGTATTAGTTTGTGATTAGGTCAATGTGTGGGGAACCACTAGTGGTAGGTCAATGATATTTGGTATGCAGTTGTATAAGCATTGGCATATCTCATTTCCATGGAGATTATTTGGCTCCGCCCCCTTAGTCATGGTCTACAGACTTTGAATATTTTGCTAAGTTTACATGTATTAGTTTGTGATTAGGTCAGTTCAAGGGGAACCATAAGTGGTAGGCCAATGTTAATTGGTGTTCAGTTGTATAAGCATTAGCACATCTCATTTCCATGGAGAATATTTGGCCCCGCCCCCTCAGTCATGGTCTATTTACTTTGAAACTTTTGCTTAGTTTACATGTATTAGTTTGTGATTAGATCAGTTTAAGATGAACTGCTAATGTTAAGTCAATGATATTTGGTATGCAAATTTATTGGCATTTGCAAGTATCGTTTCCATGGAGATTATATAGCCCCACCCCGGATCAGTGTTCATTGACTTTGAAACTTTTACATAGTTTACAAGTTAATGTTTGTGTTTAGGTTTGTTTCAAGGGAACGACTTAAAATAAGTCAATGGTATTTGGTATGCAGTTGTATTAGCATTGGCACATCTCATTCCATGGAGATTGTTTAGCCATGTACCTTCAGTCATGGTTCATCGACTTTGAATATTTGCATAACTTACATGTAAAAGTATTGCTATTTTAATTTCAACATTTATATTATCAAAATTACAAAAAGGCGAGACATATCTCTGTGATAACAGTTTATCTAAAGTTTGAATAAAAAGTCTTGAAAATTAGGAATACAATGTTTTTATTAATTGAAACATTTTATATTTCAGTAATAGACTACACATTCTCTCCATGACAACATTACTACAATGCTTAAGAATTAAAAAAAAAAAATTTAAAGAGCTTGATTTAATTCATACTTTCCTTATTTTAGCATTTAAATGTAATAAAGGGAATTGAATGATTCAGCTTTATATGGTTGTTAATGCATTGACCATGCACACATTTTTAGTATGAAGCGGTTCTGTGCTTCATACAAAATGTGCTTTGGTCAATGCTTTTACACCATAAAAATGACACAAAATGAAGTACAGTATATTCAGAATTTTTTTCCAATTGTTGAACAATGGACATAAATGAAAGATTAATTATTGCAGTTTTCAGGATATGCTGCATAGAAATAATGATATCAAAATTTAAAATGTGTGTTTTCATTCTTGTGAAACCTATCCCCTTGCAATTTTCCCAAATGAAAAAAAATCATAAAATTTTCTGAATTTACAGTATTCATTTCTTAAATAAATGACCATAAAAGGAAAAGAATTTAAAGATTAGACAATCATTGCCATTGTGGAAACTGTCATTCTGTATGATAAAACTGTATATTTATGATTTTTTATAGGTCCACCAAGCATGCCGAAAGGTCCCATTAAGGTGTCTAACATTACAGCTGAGAGTGCAACACTTGAATGGGGAGAACCTGAAGATCTTGGAGGTTCTTCTATAGAGTGAGTACATTATGCCTTTCAATTTACTGTTACTGCTATAGATGTTTACCAAGATCTCCTTTAGTTCATACAACAAAGATAACTCTTCACATATTTGGAATTTTATAAACACTTTTGTTTTTTTTTTATACAATAAAAGGAATATGATATATATAGATTCTACAACTGCATCAAGTGTGATACGATACTTATCCACTTGAGACAGTTAAATTTTCAAATTTAAAACGTTAGGCTTGCCGAGCTAACTGTCGAGAGTGGATAAATATCGTATTGCAGGAGATTTTGTTGTGGAATCTGTTTCTCTAATAATTTTTAAAAGTCGAATTCCAGACAATCCTAATCCTTCTTTTCGAATGATCTGCAAAAAGATGTGTTCTTTCTATGTGACGTCATCAGACATGGTCACCTTTTTTCATGACATCACAATAGGAAATTTAGAGGAAAGCAAGAAAATTTGACGTCATAATAGAATTTTGACCAATAAAGAACTGAGATCAAATGAACCACACGTTGATTTGATAAAAATAATCAACAGGTCAAGAAAAGGATTAATCGACAAAGAATTAGAGAAATATATATATAAATGTGTTTAGGAGTAAACCTCAAGCAAACCTGGAGTTGCATCATGAATCAATAGTCAAATCAAATCATTGATTGGTATAAAATCAATAATAATTATTTTAATGCAATTATTTTGTATCAATGGTTCTGATTGGATGACAATAAGCGTAAAATTCTCTATCTCCCTGTCTGAAACTAAGAAAGCAGACATTTTGAATTCCGGAATGTATTGACATGTAATTTCTCCAATAATAAGCCAAAAATCTCACATTTTGCACCTAGAAATCTTCTTTTTATCAAATTTTATTACATTCTGAAGCAGACAAGAAGCCAGAAACCCCCATTTGTTTATGTTTGATGCCGGAAGCATACCTATGACGTCACCTAGTATAGGATCCAAAAAAGATAACATCATTTCGCGGAATTTTCGTTAAATGAAAATTTACACTAGGATGATGACTAAAATTGAATGATTTGTTTATTTTGCATTCGAATAGAGATAACTGTATTGTATTTGAAGCTTTGCGGACGTCCATCAGTAGTTTTACTGTCGCAAATATCCGTTTACCTGTCTCCGCTGCGCTAACAGGTAAACTAAATTTGCAACAGTAAAACTACCAATGGACGTCCTCAAAGCTTCAAATACAATACAGTTATCTCTATTAAAATTGGATTGTTACTGAGACAAACATGACATACAATTGACAATATTTACAAATTAACAAACATCATGTGAGTTTATATGTATCAATGTTTATATTTTAGTGGCTACAAGATAGAGAAGATGGATACTAAGAAGGGACAATGGGAACCAGTTAGGGAAGGAGTGAAGGGCACTAAAGTAACAGTACCTAAACTGAAGGAAGGACAAGAATATAAGTTCCGTGTGGCAGCAATGAGTCAAAACGGAAACAGTGAACCTTTGGAAACAAAACCCATAATTGCCAAAAAACCATATGGTAAATAGTAGCTACTTTATTGGTTAATTGTTCTTTCATGAGATGAAATTAATGCATAAATATTTGCATTTCAATTCAGAAACTAATAGACAGCTGACACATTTGTGTATTTTGTCACAATGCTTTATGTCATTACGTCACAGTAAGAGTCGATAGTTCACTTAGGTCATTTAAGCAGATTAACCTCAAGTCAAAAAGGCGTAACTCATTCATAAAATTATGCTTAATTACAACAGGATGAAAATAGCAATAATTAAAACTCACATTTCTTTATTGCATATCATACTATAGTATGCATATGAATCACTTTGATTTTCCTCACATTATGTTAGTTGTTCACGTTTTGCACTAATAAATGCAAGCATTAAATTTTGAATTGACACTAATATAAAAATAAGGAGATGTGGTATGAATGCCATTTAGACAACTATCCACCAAAGTTCAAATGAAGTGGATGTAAGCAATTAAAGGCAACTGTACGGCCTTCAACAATGAGAAAAGACCCATACCGTTTAGTCGGCTATAAAAGGCCCGGACATGAAAAATATGAAACAATTCCATTGAGAAAACTAATGGCCTAATTTATAAAAAACAATTTACGAAAAACAAATATGACAGACATGAACTAACTACAACCACTAAACTAAGATTGTAATCAGAACAAAATAACTACCAGCATGTCAAAGATCTTCTAATAAAACACAGTGTAGGACATTGATATGCAAATTGTATTTTACTTTCCCTTAAAAAAAACACCAGCATTATTCTAGTAACACAATATACTCCTCCTTTGATTGACTTTGCCAAATCAAAAGAATTTGAAACCTCTCATATAACAACTTGTTCAAATCTTTGGGACAGAAGAATTCCATTAAAATAATACTGGTTAAATAACTAAAAGGTATTCAATCTGTGTTGGTATTAGAATTCTGTACAGGTTTCAGGTTTTCTGAGAATGTCTTTTACCATAGATAGGCTTCACTGTGTACAGGGTGTACTTGAGTATCTGTGACAGTTTGTAGCTAGCTAATTATATTCCTAATGAAATTCTGACATTATTGTGAAAAAGACAGTTTATATTTGTTTACAGATGAACCATTCCCACCAGGACAACCAAAATGTGTTGACAGGGACCGTACCCACATCAAGATGAAATGGGAGCCACCAGAAAATGATGGAGGTAACCCAGTCAAATCATATGATGTGGAGAGGAAAGAACCAAAAACCAACAGATGGGCTAAAATCAACAAAGAACCTATTACAGTAAGAGAGTTGAATTTTTATTTGATTTATTCATAAAAAAAAGAATAAAAGGCCTTTTCTATGTGAAAAATAATGAAAGTTGAAAGAATTTGTTACTCTCATGTTAAATGGTTAATAATAATATTGTCTATTTGTATATAACATTGATGCTTAATACGTTGATCTATGTAGTGATAGGTGGAAATAAACAGTTTTATCTTTTATAGTAAATGTATGTTTTAAATATATAGTTCTTTTTATTTAACCAATAAAATTTTAAATCCAGAATAGATATGTAAAAACACAATTAGTCATAAGAAAACAACTTAACTTTTTTACTTATTTTTCTTGTAGAATTGTGAATTTGATGACAAGAAAGTTGGCAAAGAGAAAGAATATGAATACAGAGTTGTTGCCATCAACGATGCTGGACCATCTGAACCTAGTGTGGCATCTAAAGTCATACAGGCTAAACCAGAAAAAGGTTTGTAGGCTAATGAGTTTTTTTCAGACTTACAGGAGTTAAAAGGGCAATTAAGGTAGCTGGGATGTCTAAATGTTTGACAATAGATTTTTCTTAAACTTCTGTAAAAGACTTCTAGGTTAATGTACTTTCAAATTTCAATATAAAAACTAGTGGTCATGGACCTTGTTTTTTCCTTAAAATACATTGAAATTAACAAAATCATAGTTATTAGTCCCCTACTGATGAAGTCGAAGGGGACTTTAGGTTTGCACTCTGTCCATCAGTCTGTCTGTCTGTCTGTCCGTCAGTCCAGCAAATCAGTTTTCCGCACTTTTTTTCTTCGTACTTGAAGATATTGATTTGATATTTGGTATATTGTTTTGTCATGACAAGTTACAGATCAAATTTGAATTTTGTTCTGGTCTGATGATTTTGTGTAGAGTTATGGTCCTTGGACTTACAAAATTCACTTAAATAATCAGTTTTCCACATTTTTTGTCATCATGCTTGAAGATATTGATTTGATAATTGGTATATAGTTTTATCATGACAATTTACAGACCAAGTTTGAATTTTGTTCTGGTCTGATGATTTTGTGCAGAGTTATGGTCCTTGGACTTAGAAAGTTCACTCAAATATTCAGTTTTCCACACTTTTTTTTCGTCATGCTTAAAGATATTGATTTGATAATTGGTATATAGTTTTATCATGACAAGTTACAGATCAAATTTGAATTTTGTTCTGGTCTGATGATTTTGTGTAGAGTTATGGTCCTTGGACTTACAAAATTCACTTAAATAATCAGTTTTCCACATTTTTTGTCATCATGCTTGAAGATATTGATTTGATAATTGGTATATAGTTTTATCATGACAATTTACAGACCAAGTTTGAATTTTGTTCTGGTCTGATAATTTTGTGCAGAGTTATGGTCCTTGGACTTAGAAAATTCACTGAAATAATCAGATTTCCACTCTTTTTGTCATCATGCTTGAAAATATTGACTTGATATTTGTTATATAGTTTACACCATGACAAGTTTTAGATCAAGTTAGCATATTGTTCCAGTACAATTGATTTTTAGCCGGTAGGGGACTATGTATTGCCATGCAATACTCTTAGAATGCTTGTTTTATATGGGTTATATAGAGGAAACTTAACTACTGTACCACTAGCCTGTCAACACTGAGGTTGTCAGTTTGAACTCTGCGCATGGCATTGTTCTTTTGACTCGAATCTTTTATGACTAAATTTACCAGTTTTCCTGTCAAAGGTCAGTGGATCTCTCCACGGCTTCCTTAAACATAAAAAACTAGCCGCCCCTTAAGCAATAGTGTTAAAAGTAGCATTAATCATCAAAAATCAAATCAAATCAAAATCATTTTTTGTTGAGGGTTACTAATTTTTCATATAATTTCAGAATCCTTTCCACATTTCACAAGCTCTGACACAAGGGCCTTCCAAACACACAAGTTAATTCTGCATGTTAAATACAACCCTCGTTAAGATCTTGCAATGCCTTTCATGATTAGGATATGTTTTATTGAACAGATTAATTAGTAGGAAATCATTTAGTTCATTTCTGATTAAAATTCACTTTAGACAAGATGGAGTTTTAGTTAACAAAATGTTTGTAGACTGTTGATAATGATGAAAGTTTGTGTTTTTAATGAACAGAGTCACCAAAAGTGAGTCTAGATGGTTTATTTGGAGCTAATGAGATCCGTGTAAAGGCAGGAGAACCCCTGGATATCCCTGTTGGTGTTAGTGGTACACCTACACCCACGGTAACATGGGAGAAAAATGGAAGACCTGTAGATAATAGGGTAAGAGTTTTTGTTTTGTCTTGATCTGTTTTAAACAATATTTTCTTTAATGAGTTCCCTTTCATTAAGGTACTATTTAATAATATTTAAGGAATGACTGTAATATTTTTTCTGTTTATGAAGAAATAACATCAAAAATGTGGTGCACACTGAATAACCCGTGTAGCTGGTTATTTAAAAGTTTGCACCACATTTTTTATGTTATTTCTTCATAGACAGAAAAAATATTACATTCATTCCTTAGGAGTAAATCATGAAAAACGTGATGACGTCACGGTCACAATGACAAAATTATGTCTATGAGATGATAGACAATAAACTTTCAGCCAATCAGAAGACGTGTTACATCCAAAATTAAATTATATCATAATGTTATAGAAATTGAAAGCTATCATAAATTAACTTGCCATTTCTGATGTTTTATAGGATTTAAATGTAGAATGTTAAAAAAGTTCCCTCTAAAAAAATGTCACAAACAATCTGTATTGTATTTCTAGGCTAAGTGCACAAGTACTGAGGAGGATGCTAAACTCCATGTTGACAAAGCAGAAAGAGGAGACACAGGAAAATACACCATAACTGTCACTAATGAAAGTGGCTCAATGTCTGCTGATGTTAATGTTGTTGTTCTTGGTGAGTAAAATATTACTTTTCACTTAAAAAAAATCACTTTTTGTCCCCCGCATAACGCGTTGTGGGGGACATGGAAATACCGGGCATCCATCTGTGTGTCATATCGTGTGTCCGTCTGTCCTGTATTTTTAGCACTCTCACAGGTACAATTCTTGCCAGATTTTTATAAAACTTATACTATAGGTTAATATCAGGAATATCTTGGACAAGTTCTATAATGGTGGCCGATTGACTTTTTTAAAAGAGTTATGGCCCTTGGAAATATTAAATTTATGGAAAACGGCCTCGTTAGCGCTCTCACAGTAACAATTTTTGCCAGATTTTTATAAAACTTATACTATAGGTTAATATCAGCAATATCTCGGACAAGTTCTATAATGGTGGCCGATGAACTCTTTTTAAAAGAGTTTTGCACCTTGGAAATATTAAATTTATGGAAAATGGCCTTGTAAGTGCTCTCACGGATACAATTCTTGCCAGATTTTTATAAAACTTTTACTATAGGTTAATATCAGCGATATCTCAGACAAGTTCTATAATGGTGGCCGATCGACTCTTTTTAGTAGAGTTTTGCTTCTTGGAAATATTAAATTTATGGAAAATGGCCTTGTTGGCGCTCTCACAGGTACAATTCTTGCCAGATTTTTATAAAACTCATACTATAGGTTAATATCAGCAATATCTTGGACAAGTTCTATAATGGTGAACGATCGACTTTTTTCAAAAGAGTTAAGGCCCTTGGAAATATAAAATATGTGCAACGCAGGGGACATTAAAACTCTGTTTTTTATTTTAAAGGAAAAAGAATAAGCATAAGAGATATGGGTAAACACCAATGTTAGCTACTCCTAGAAAAAGTAAACAACACAAATAACACAGATATTGATATTTGATTTGATTGATTGATTGTTGTTTGCTTAGTGTCCCTTGGTAATTTTGTATGTATGTTAACACTGTGAATACATTAACAATTAATACAATAGTTAGCTTCTGCAAATGTAGGTCTACCCGCATGAGGAGAGTGTGAAATTTGGACTATCACAGGAAAAAGAGAGTATGTTGGATATTGGCAAAATTTTGCCTTGCAACAGGCCTCAAACTGACCACTCAAAGTGTAAGAATTCTTTCAGCTGCAGAGACTATGGCACTCTCTTTTCACAAGGCATCTCCATTTCGACAGGACATGGCTAAGTATTTATACATCCCACACAGCCAAACTGATGCCCCACTTAAGCAAGGGTTACTGCTGGATTGGGGGAAATTCAGTGATGACCTTATTGATATTAAATATTGATAATTTAGACAGTACTGTCATATATATTATTTGACTTTGTCTTCTACTTCACAGACAAACCTGGAGTACCTGAAGGACCTTTGGCTGTTAGTGATGTATTTGCTGATATGTGTAGACTTTCATGGAACCCACCAAAAGATAACGGTGGTGCTGAAGTTACAGGTAAAGTAGGAAATAACCAGTGCCTGAACTATGTTAGAAAAAAAACTTTTCAAGTCGTGTATTCAAAATCATTAATAGGAACCACTCTCCTGGAAGAACATTGAAGTTTTGAAAAGCAGTACTTGAAAATTAGTCTAGATTTCTTTTGGATTTTTCACAGCTGTTTCTGAAACATGAATGTGTTTATTTAGTTCCATTGGTTAAATGAAAATATTGTACCAGATTTTGATGTATTTGTATGTCTTATTGTCAACTATTTTATGACAAGTCAGTTTTTTTACTTTGCAAAGATGTTCAAATCCAGTTGGGGTTCCATGATTTAAAAAAAAAAAACACATCAAAAAACCAAAATGATTTTACAATCTCATAATGATGAACCACCATTTTATCTGCTGAATTGCATTAAGAACTGATAAGAATTTGAAAACTCATTTAACTTTGAACTCAGGTGGAAGCTTTTTTAATATTGATTTAGGCTATGATGTTGAGAAGAGTAGATGAAAATTTTTGTTTAACGAAATGTAAATAAAAATTTTAATTCTAATGCAATAGGTCATGTAACACCAATTTTCATTGAATGGAATCGGCTGTCAATTCTGCATTTGATAGTAGGAGTCATAAGCCATTGCTGTTGATGAATCTTGGATATTTGAAATATTCAATTTTGATCATTTTAAGAGTGTTGCATTAGAATGGGAATAATATCCATGAATCAAGTAAAACAGATAATTGTGACCATCAAATCCCTCAACTCTTCAAATATAGTTCTGTTATTGAATAAACTATTTTAGGCTATGTTGTTGAGAAATGTGAAGATGGCAAAGACTTCTGGGAAAAAGTACCAGGACTTGTAAATGGAACATCACATCCAATCAAAGGATTGAAAGAAGGAAAGAAATATAAATTCCGTGTCAAGGCTGAAAATAAGTATGGTGCTGGCCAACCTCTGGAAACAGATAAATCAATACTGGCTAAGAATCCATTTGGTAAGTTAAGTTTGATATTTTGATGAGTGAGTGAGTAGTGATGAATAAGATTCTAAAGTCATCTGCCAGATATTTTTTTTTTCTCAATAGCAAGTTAACCACTTTGGCATCACTATCTGTTGTCTAATATCTTGAATTTTTGTTGCTACTCCAATGCCTTTAAAGGGAAATTAACCAAACACATAAAATAAATTAGTAACTACTCCAGTTCTTCAACCAACAATATGTTGGGGCTTCAATTAGCAAAACAAGATCTTTATCATTTCTCAATATTGGAATAAAAATCCTTAATCTGCTGTAATTATGACAGATTGAAATGAAACATTCACAAGATATCCTGATAATGCTTTCTATTTTACTTTTTTTATCATCATGATTTTGGGAATTTCCACCAAAACTAAGACATAGATATTTATAAAAATGAGGTATTTATCTGTTATGCTTAACTCCTTGTGTAAGTGAAAAATAAAGAATGATCATTATAATATTTCCATTTGTTTGTGTTATTCTATTCAGCTCTTCAGGACATCCTATATCATGGCTTTGTGATATCCTAAATATTTGAAAAAAAGATGATATTCGAAACACCAGCTGCTTTCCACTGCACTAACTCACTTAAGTAGCTACACATTTGTGACATTTATTATATTAACATGTAGAATGCCTGAAATCTACACTTCAGTACTACCATTGTGCATCTATTTTATGTTGTGAAAACTATATTTGACAAGCTTGTGGTGATTATCTTGGTGAACCTAAGTTAGATAAACAGAAGAAACAGGTTTTAAAAGATTTATATATTTTCAGACACACCTGACTCACCCAAAGATCTTGAAATTGACAGATTTGACAAGAACTCATGTGACTTGGTGTGGAAGAAACCTGAATTTGATGGTGGAGCTGATATTACAGGTACGTAATAAAACTTTATATACAAATTTTTTGTTAAAAAATTTAGAAATTACTAAAAACCTAAGGTTCCAACTCCTCAAGCAAAGTTGACCTCAGAAGATGCATTTGATCAATATTTTAGATCACTATTGTTCATGTAGTTCCTCAAGTATTGATACATCTTTGGCTTTCAAGTTTTTGGGTTTAAGTGTTTCAGATAAAGGTTAATCCAGTAAACTGCTTCAGATGCACTAAATTTTAAATTGTATTCTTATTTGATGTAAAATAGTTAGAGAAAAATAGAGCATCATTATTTTTATATAATAACAATTGAATTTTTTATACCCCACGGAACAAAGTTCCATAGGGTAAATTGTTTTTGACCCGTCCGTCAGTCTGTCCCTCAATCCGTCCGTCTATCTGTCCCTTAGTCCTAATAATTAGTAACTCCTCTGAAACCACACTACAAGGTTCTTTAATTTAAATGTTGTAAGTCTCATACACAAAAGTTTTGGCAGGGAAAAAAACAACCATATATGACATTACAAACAACATTTATATGGAAAATAAAGAGGTTTATTGAAATCACATGAAAAACATCAATAATATAAGATATGTTTAGATTTTATAATTATTGAATCAAGATGCAAGTAAGGCTTATATGATTTCTAGGTCTTAGTCTATGAAAGGCTGAATTCCAATTCACTAAATGTATCCTTTATTATTTTCTTTTCAAATTATAACATACAAATCAAATCTCTGTCCTTTCTACTATGGCTTGATATAATAGCTTTAGTTTGAATAATACAGCATTGTCCCAATTATTGACCTTACTTTTCTTTACAATGTCATAATATGTCATAATATAGCAGCTCAAGATGTGTGTCACTTTTCAGGATATATTGTCGAGAAGAGACCCAAGGGTGGTGACTGGGTAGCTGTTAACAATTTCCCAGTTGCTGACACCAAATTCTCTGCTCTTGGATTAAAGGAAGGACAAGTTTTAGAATTCCGTGTATCAGCTGTTAACCAAGGTGGCACTGGAAAACCAAGCAAGTCAACTAAACCACATACAGTGAAAGACCCAATATGTAAGTTTACCTCTTATTTCTTACAGGAAGTTTTATTATTAACATTGATTTCAATTTACTCTGTAGTTAAAACAAAAATATAAGTTGTGCACATATAAAGAATTAATAAAATGATAATAATACTCAAAGTAGAGACCAATAAAATGTGTATCAGATATAGAGGTTAGGGTTGGGTGAGGAAACTGTAGTTACTAAAAGTTCAACGGTATACACAGAAGGATCTAAAAGATAAGCTACAGAAATCCATGGTGCTTCAGAATTTGTTTCCTCTAGAAATCCATATTTTATATTATTGCTTCCAATCACAAATTTTAGACTTTTCACAAAATTTCTATTTTACATTATTTAACTATTGCTCAGAATAATATGATGTCTTACAATATGCTATCTAAATGTCTTACAGCCTGTACAATGAAAATCAGATATCATTCCATGTCATGGAAAATACTATTTAAAAATCTTTCAACTAAAACTGTGCACAGAACTTGGATAAGTATATCAATATTTGGTTTTACAAATTATATCTTGACTAAATATTCAAAATGATCTTTAAGTGATTACTTCATACATCATGTCCTGGATGTTAACATTTTATTCACTGTCTATTAACTTTAGTTGCTGCTGGAGCACCTGGTACACCAAATCTAGACAAAATTACTCCAAACTCTGCCGAACTTTCATGGACAAGACCAACCAAAGACGGAGGCGGAAAGATCCTAGGATATGTGATTGAGAAAAAGAAGTTACATGGGGATTGGGAACCAGCTACTGAAGTTCCTGCCAATGCTCTACATGGTAAAGTCAATGATTTGGTAGAAGGTGAACAGTATCAGTTCAGAATTAGAGCTATTAATGAAGCTGGACCTGGAGACCCAAGTAAACCAACACAAGCAATCACAGCTGAATATCAAGCAGGTAATTAGACCAATCACTGCTGAATATCAAGCAGGTAATTAGACCAATCACTGCTGAATATCAAGCAGGTATATATTTATGATATAATTACAGCAGAATGTAGGCAACGGTAATATCTTTGGTTAGCTTGCTTGTTAGCTGAACCGTGAAGTCATTATTAGGTTAGGTAAACTACCCTCCTTTAAGAGTAGACTAGTCCGACCGATAACCAATCTATCTGTCTGTAGGACTATACTACTCCGAAAGGAGGGTAGTATACCTAACCTTATAATGAGCTAACAAGCAAGCTAACCAAAGATATTACCTTTACCTACACACTCAATGCATTCTGCTGTAAACCAATCACTCCTGAATATCAAGCAGTTATATATTTAGAACTTAATTAAACCAATCACTCCTGAATATCAAGCAGGTATATAGGTATAATGTAATTAGACCAACCACTGGTGAATATATATGAATGAGTTTGTTGTATATAAACATAATCAACAGTAGAATCCATGCCAGTTCCAAATTCACTATTGTACAAAGCAATCATGTTATAGCTCTGTTCAGGAGTTGTACATAATGAGTAACAAAAATGAATAAACAATTGGTGTATTATATCAGTTATAGACAAATAATTGAACTTTATCAATATTTCAGAGAAACCTCACTTGGATTTGTCTGGAATAAAAGATATCACTGTTAAACAAGGTCAGAAATACCAGATCAGAGTACCTTACAAAGCTTGGCCTAAACCATCAGCATTGTGGACTATTGATGAGGAAGAACTGCCAAGTGTGGCTAGAATACATACAAAGGTAGATAACTTAGTCTTAAAATAAAAATGGAAAGATGATACATAACCCATAAATCCAGACTTGCCTGAGATCAGGGCCTGAAAAGCACATTTATGATAATATAAGATATTTAAAATGAACAGTCACCGTACACAAAGCTTTAATATTTTATGTTGCAACAAAAAAGATTTTGAATTTACATGCCACAACAGAAGAATATTTTTCTGGAGAGATTAATTTGAAATTCTATAAGTAGAGAAAATTGAACAAATATAAAACCACTATGAGAATTTGTACATAAGATAAAAATTGCTAAATTGACAATAACACTTAAGTAAACTGCAACTATTATTGTTTTGATTTGCTTAAAAAGTGTCATTCAAATTAGAAAAAATTGATATAGAAACTGTACACTGTATCTTTACAAGCGTATTTATACACAATGTTGTATTTTACAACACATTTTTGATTTATTTATACATTTACCGCCAGAACTTGGGAGTTTACAACATTGTTTCAAGATGAAGTCTCTGAATTCTGAAAAAAAATCTGAATTATAATAATTTTATTTCATTGTATTCTATTTTAATTCATTTTTCTGTACAAAATTACATAAACACATATAGTATCCTATATGAACACAAACAATAGACAATACATGATTATGGTCACATACTTGATGCCGTTATTTTGCACTTCAGGGATTCTAATTAATACCTTTTTCTGAAGATGCCGATCAAATAAAAGTTGCAGTTTACTTAAGTGTTGTTGTCAATTAACCTTTCATTTGACAACCCTGCATACCATCTGTATCAATTTAAGGTGGTACCTAACACTACAGGGAGATAACTCTGAAAAAATCAGCTAAACGTTTTAATTACGTTGTATTGTTAAGAAAATATTAAGCTTCTAAATGATCAAAATTAGTGTTGGTAAAACTGCTATATAACCAATGAAATTTTTCTGATAAAGTGGTTGGTTCAAATTTTTTGAAATTTTTATTTTTTTGTCAAAGGGTCAAAGTTAACATTTTGTCAAAATTTTATGATAATTAAACGAGCCAAATTAATATTAGTCAAGGTGTTGGGTACCACCTTAAGGGAACTCTACCAAAAAAAGATTTAGAAGGCATTGGTTCAGCAGTTATTTATATAAGATAAAAATTTAGCAAATACAACAAAATATGGCCATTCAGTTAAATGTTTCAACCATTTGTATTGACTAAGTGTGTGACACTTATCAAGTTATGCATTTGTGTGTGTGTTTGTTTCAATTCTAAATATTTGTTATTGATTTTAGGTTGAAGATGATGCTGTCATGTTGACCAATGATAAGTCACAGAGAGCAGATTCTGGCAAATACAAGATCACTTTAACCAATCCCTCAGGAAATCATTCAGGATTTGTTAATGTCAATGTTCTATGTAAGCATTACACTGTGCCTTATACTATAAAGGGGTTGGAATAAACAGATGAAAACATTTCCTAAATCATAATTCACCATTATTAAAAACTTATGTATAATGTCTTGCAATATTGAAATAAGTTAAGAAGAAGTTAATAAAAGCAAGATGAAATCAAGTGAGCAATCAAAATTATAAGTTGAAGGAACCCAGACAACAGCATGATCAATAGAGAAATTGGGAAAAGGCACGCAATAGTCTATGAAAAACTTCATAGAAAAATCAAATTGAGCAACAAGAATCTCACTCAGAATATAGAACTGGCATGTCCTAGAATGATCAGAAGATTCCATGCTGTTGCTCATGGTAGGTAAAAATTTGGTGATGAGTCTCCTTCTGTTTGGTCATCTGTGTAACATATGTAATATAAATTCTGAAATTTTTGTGTGCATTTATTATTTCAATTGTGAACAATTGATAAAAATGTGAGATTAATTGCAGGAAATGCTGCATAAAGATAATACTATCAAAATTAAGACTCAAGTTTTATTTTTGTGAAACTGATCCTGTCCAAATTTTAACAATGATAAAAACCTGGCAAAATTTTCTACATTACAGTACCTACTAATTATGCGTTTCATGAAACAAAATATAAAATATATAATTTTTATACCCTGGATTTCAGCTCCACCTGCTAAACCAGAAGGACCTTTCACAGCATCTGATATAAATGGTGACGAACTGACATTGTCATGGGGCACACCCAAAGATGATGGTGGTGAAAGAATAAACAATTATATCATTGAAAAGAGAAAGAAAGGATCTCCCAAATGGAGCAAAGTTACTGGTACAGCTAAAGAACCAACTTGTCAAGTTCGCAATCTAGAGCCAGGAACAGAATATGAATTCCGTGTAATGGCTGAAAATGCTCAAGGCATTAGTGAACCTTTAGAGACAGATAAAGCAATTCTTGCTAAATTGCCATATGGTAGGTGTTAAAAGCATTTTTTCTTTAATAAAGAAAAAGAAAAAATCTTTGCTCACATTTCTCTGTTATTGTGAAAGTATTACTGTTCAACTGGTTTGATGAATGTTGAAATACAATATCAAGTAAAATTGAATAAATGGAGATTTGGGGTATACCATGATAAGACACCAACTGAATGAGACCTGTAGCCAAAAGAAATTTCTCTATTATAAGCAATATCTAAAACCACAACTTTTAATATCCTAAATAAAAATAACACCACATTTAGATGATAAGCCCTTCATTTTTTTTTTTTTTTAATTATAAAAATGCTTGGTTTTATTTGTATGTCTTAGTAAGTTGCCAGCTACTACACTATTAACTTAAATACACATTACAAATATAATGTTTAATAAGTTCACGTAATTGTGTTTAAAGTGATATTGCATTTTTTTCTGAATTGAATTTTATAAGGAAAAATCTAGACCCAAAAATATAAGTATTAATGTAACCTTCACAATTAGATTTCAGTTTACCAATGTGTAAAATGCCCCAAAATGATGCAGGTATAAAAAAGTATGTCTTTTTTATTAATTTGAAGATTAATCATGCAAATTTGTATTGCAGTTTCCTTTCATTTTTTCTATTATTTACATAGACAGAAATAAATAATGTTGAATTTGATATATTCTTTCTGTCTAGATGCTCCTGGAGCACCAGGCACACCAAAATGTTTGGAATACACCGAGGATTCTATAACACTTACATGGACTCCACCTAAAAATGATGGTGGTAATCTAATCAAGGGATATGTAGTTGAGAAAAAGGAGAAAGGAAAGCCAGATTGGACCAAGTAAGATAACAAACACATTGTCTACTTTAAATTTTGGAGGGGGGGGGGGGGGGGGGGGGGGATTGTAAAACTTTGTCACTAAATTTCATGCTTAGATATTCTTACCATCAAGAATATTTATAAGTATTTACACTCATACTTATTTGTGCAGGCAATACAAAATTACAAGATGTTAAATTGAACTTGATACACCAAATGTGCATTTTAAAAATTTTCTCTTGTCAGAGGTGTGGAAATCAATTATTGGAAAAGCGAAGGCTTAAAATATTTTTAGCAGAAAACAAAAGCACAAAACACCTTAAAAGATGTTAAAACCAGGCAAGGAATGAATACCTGTAGATTAGAAAGGATAAGAATAAGAATAAAAAATAATTTTACATTTATTTTGTTGATTGATTATTTCTCAAGTATTGCATTCTGTATAAATGAACTGACCAATATAGTACTTTCAGTTTATGAAATGGAAACACACTTTGGGAATTGACTTATATTTCTGCTGTCAAACAGACAACTCAATTTTCATAATCAGCATAAAAAATTTGGAACTATTTTTTTCAAGGTTATGGTATTCTCTTCAATATTTGCGCACATTTTAAGAGTTTATGCTTCCTTGTTCTTTTTTCACAGCTAGTCTTTCTTATTATAGCTTTTGAGACTTATATTTTGATATCCATTTGAAGGGCTAACATATCTGATATTCTGACCAATGAGTTCCAAGTAAAAGGATTACAGGAAGGAAAAGAGTATGAATTCCGTGTTGCAGCTAGGAATAATGCAGGTGTAGGAGATTGGGCGCAGACTTCAGAGGCAATCAAAGCTAGAGCAGCACCAGGTAAGATTATGACATATTTGGTTCTGTAGAAATTATGTACAACTATGTCATATGAACTGAGATTTAATGGTCTGTTCAACCAATGCTTTTCAAATTTCAATATGCTGTTACTGATGACAAAGTGGAGGTCAAGTTTGATATTGACTATTTTCAGTTTTACTATTCAGGACATATGATCCTTGATTGCTTTGAAAATAAGCACAGAAGGTGGCATGTTATACAAATTGTTAAGCTCATTATACATTAATTTCATTCGTACTAACTGCCTTCTTCTGTTCAACAATGGTTACCTTCAAAATACAGAAAATCCAATTTGACAGCTCCTCTCTTGTTAAAATTTCTTACAGTTTAATTGTCAACAAAACTTGAATTAAGGGAAGAAAAAAATTATAATGATTACTTGTTTGTGAATATTTGAACATGAACATTTTCAACATTGTTTTTTAAAGTTGCACCAAAGGTTGACAAGAGCTTTACACCAAGAGATGTTATTGCTAAGGTTGGAGAACCATTCAAGATAGTCATTCCATACAATGGAAATCCCATTCCTACTACTAACTGGACTATTGTAAGTACTGTTAAAAGTTGTGTATAATTCTTTTTCAACACTCTTTATTTTGTTGTTACCTAAACTTGAATGCGGAAAAGATTACTTGGCATTTTAAACACAGGAAATTCCATTCCTTTAACTGATTTTTAAAAAATGATATAATTGAGAAAAAAACTAATTTTCTCAACAATTTATTTTCATATCATTTGTGAGTAGAAAAATAATATGAAAACAAATCTCAATTACAAAATCACAAAATAAAATTAGGTGGCATTCTGTATGAAATTATATCATGAAAAATGATTATCTCTTTCCAAACTTTACAAACATATATTAAGAATTTGACTGTTTAAAAGAAGATTAATTGTTCTACAACAGGGTACAAGGGACCTTTTTGAAGGAGACAGAATCAAGTTTGAGAATACACCAAATGAGCTGAAGTTATTAAACAAGAAGGCAACTAAGGATGATGCAGGCAGATACACACTGACAATGAAAAATGAGAAAGGACAGGATACTATTGCTCTCAATGTGGTCATTGTTGGTCAGTATATTTCCTTGTTCTTCATGTTTATAACCAGATTCATTTTAAATTTCATCTTAATTTATACAACTGAGAAAAAAAATGTAAAGATGTATTCAAATATTGAAATAATCTTTGAATGCAGGGCCATTAAAAATCTGCAGCAATTACTTTACACCCTTTTAAATCATAGTGAAATAGTAAGTTTTCAATCTTTTATACTACATATAAAATTTATCTATTGTAGGTATTGGTCTTGTACAATGTATCAAATTATGTCAAGTTCATAGTCTTATAGAACATTTTTAAAAAGCTCTAAACATGAAAACTTTCTTTTTTATGTTATCATCCAACAGCAAATTTAGATAAAAAGAAATGAAAAACCAAAAAAGAAACCTTTCAAAAATTGGAAGTAAACACAAACTGACTCACAGTGGGCTTGCAAAAATCTGGTCTTAATGCTTGAAGGTTTTCTCAGGGCTGTTCCATTAAAACATACTTGGTACCCAGGGAAGGCACTTTAAAAATGGGGTAAGGAATGAGGGATGGATATATATCCTGCCACGTCCTGTCTGTGTTTTTGTTTGATGTTTTTCTTTGTATCGATCTGATGAGTTAAGCCTTTTTTAACTGATTTTTATAGTTAGTTTTTATGTTGTGCTGTTACACCACTGTCTCAGGTCAGGGCAGGGTTGAGTGCTCACAAACATGTTTAACCCCGCCATATTCTTTATGTGCCTGTCCCAAGTCAGGAGCCTGTAGTTCAGTGGTTTTCGTTGGTTCATGTCTTACAAATTTTTTTCGTAAATTGTTTTGTTATAAATTAGGCCATTAGTTTTCTCTATTGAATTGTTTCATTGTTCATGTCGGGGCCTTTTATAGCCGACTATACAGTATGGGTTTTTCTCATTGTTGAAGGTCGTACAGTTGCCTATAATTGCATACAAACACTTCATTTGAACTTTGGTGGATAGTTGTCTTATTGGCATTCATACCACATCTCCTTATTTTTATATTAACCACCTATAGAGGCAAATTAAAATTTTACTAACATTTCCACTATGCAAAAACATAGATGACACCCACCCATAGTTGAGATTTGGAAGTGCCTTCCCTGGGTCCCATGTATGTTTTTTATGGAACAACCTTCATGTCTCAGTTGTATTCTATATTTATAGATTATCAATGGTTCTGAAAACTAGAGCGATTTTCAGAGCTACAGTCTTATCGATGGGCTATAGCCTGAGATATTAAGATGTAGCAGATAAACTTCCTAGAGTTGGAAAGACTATAGATAATCTGTCTATTGCTATTTCTATAGGCAGTATCAAGGACTCATCTCGGTCAAGTAGCTTGAGATGGAAAATGATCACACAGAAAGATCAAAGGAAAATTTAAGAAAATATCAAATTTCTGTCTTTCATATTCCAATCACTTCAAACATATATAAAGATGTTAACTGTTTTAAAGATTATTTATTCATTACTATGGTACAAAGGTCATTTCTGCTGAATTCAGATGACTTGGAACGTATGGTAAAAAAAGGTTTTCATAAGTGGTCATATTTTGTTTATATATTGCTAAGACATTTTATAAGTACACATATGATATGATTATTAAAATGTTTTAGACAAACCAAGCAAACCTGAAGGCCCATTGGAATGTAAAGACATAACACCAGATTCCTGTGTATTGACATGGAACAAACCTAAGGTAACCAAATTTATACTCTTTGATAGATATAAGATAACATTATATACTATACCACTGTCTGGTATTCTGAGTGTCTGTTCTACAGTCCTTTCAAATTTTCATCTTTTTTCTCAGAAATTGCAAATCAGAGCTTCCTGAAAGTTGGTATCAGGCTTTTTTTTAGCATGATCGCTATGGGATGCATTTGCACATTCAAGGCTCAGCAACTTCCGGTTAACTGAATACTTGCATGTCCTTACACATAATTACCATGTATTAAATTTCATCATATTTTTGCCAGGAAGTAGGAATCTTAACACACTAGGATTTGGTGTACATGTGACCATGCTTCACAAAGTGATGTGTTTTGACATTCATTGGTTGTCGTGTTCCTGTTTACCAAGTACTTATATCAGGGTGTCATTATTGAGCAATAACTCACAACTCAACTTGATTTACAAGTTATGTTCAACTCAAAAAAGCCAGATCAAGCAAATTACAAATAGAACTGTCTGTACCAACCTGTAATCTTTTTATACAAAGTGACACATTTTCTAACCTTTTTATTGGTCAATATTCTTGAGCAGTTTGAGTGATTCTAAGTATTTGATTTATCAAATATAACCTCTGCACTTAATTATGAAAATAATTTTGTATTGCAACAAAAAATATATTCATTTTAGTGTAAGATTTTAAAAAAAATCTAGATATTTTTTGAATATTCTTGTTTAAATTTATTTTGCAAATTCCATAATTTTAAGCCAAAGATAATTTGAATTATGAATTTTGCAGGATGATGGAGGTAGTCCTGTTTCTAATTATGTTGTTGAGAAATGTGACACCAGAACAGGTAGATGGGAACCAGTTAGTAAATTTGTTCGTGGAACTAAATATGAAGTCATGGGCTTGGATGAAGGTCATCAGTACAAGTTCCGAGTATCAGCAGAGAATGAAAATGGAGTCAGCGAACCATTAGAAGTCCTGGAACCAGTTGTTGCCCAGCATCCCTACAGTATGTAATGATGATTTTTGTAACACCTCCTGATCTTAGATATAAATATAAATAAAAAGCAATATAAAGGTATATGTCAAGGAGAGTAGCAGGATAAAAAAAAAGTCTGCAAGCTTACAATCTTGATGCAAAGCAAAATTAAGAAGAAAGAAAAATATAGGACATGAAATTGAAACAACGTTTGTCTCAAACTGTTGTTTTAATTATACATTTAATTTAGATTTTGCACCATCTTTCAGGTCTCATTACATTATTTAGTGGTTTATAGTTATTAATGCTGTTTGTTGCAATTAATTGCTATATTAATGGGGCATATATTGTACAATCTCATGATTGAATTTCCTTTAACGGATATTTGTTGTAAGTATGATGATTTAATTACAAAGCCATATAATTTTTCCAGCTGCCCCTGGAGTACCAACGAATGTCCATGTTTTGGATGTGGACGAAGACAGTGTAACATTATCTTTCAATCCACCAACTCACGATGGAGGAAAGAAGATCCAGGGATACTGTGTGGAATACAAAGATCCTACATCTGGACGATGGAAGATGCATAACGACATAGCTTCTCCAGATCTTAAATACACTGGTAAGATTTACTGTTAAAGGATTCCATATCTCAAGTTAGAAAAGAATAATTATTTCATGGGATTTTTTTGGTTTCCTTCCTTATTTCAATTAAATGAAGATTTGCTGAAAAAAAAAGAAGGTGCATATCATTTAATGTTATAAAAATTTCTGGGATAAATATATAAAAAAATAATACGAATATGAATATACATAGAAATATACATATAAAAAGTGAGAAAATTGACAAAACTGAATGCTCAGTCATTGTTTTTTCACAGTTGATGGACTGAAGAAAGACAAAGATTATGAATTCAGAGTCCGAGCTAAGAATATTGCTGGTTTAGGAGAGCCAAGTAAAGCAACAGAAGTTGTCAGAACCAAACCTAAATACAGTAAGTCAACAATTATGTTATGGTATAGTGATATTTACATGATAATAGAAAACCAAGGTAAACTTTACAGAACAATAGTTATTAAGGTTCTTCTGTAAACTTGACAGAATTCTGCTCTAACAGATACTAGGGACCTTCTTGAACTTGCAGTAATGAGGTGTAAGCATTTTCTCCATGTTGAAGGCCTCACTGTGACTTTGAGATGAAGAACAGCAATATAAAAGTGCTGTGCTTTTGGTCGTGTCAAGTGGAATTAGTGATTTGATTTCATGAATTGATAAACATTATCTTTTCTTTTCTATTGTGTAGTACAACATTAATTCATTATTGTTTTGTTAATATTAAACAAATACCAGAACTAAGAAACAATAGGAAATTTATTAACTTCTTTCATAAAAAAAACCAAACATCTAACTACTATTTATTAGATCAAATATTTTGAGTTGTATTTATTTGTAATGCAGTTATAGATTATCTGAAGATCTGCAACTCATTTCACAAAAATTCTTACAAGAAAAAATACTCATAAGCCAAGTCAGTTCAGTATTACTTACAATTAATTTTTGTTGTAAGATTTTTTTGTGAAAAGAGCTCCTGAAGTTATTTTGAGTCACATTATTACTGTTTAAATCCTCAATTTAAAAGTGTTCTTTCACTGACCATATATATTATCTGTTGTAGCAATAGCAGGATCACCTGGTGTTCCAACTTACAATGTTGGTAAAACATTTGTTGATCTTAAATGGGACAAACCAAGAAATGATGGTGGAGCTAAAATCAAAGGTACATAACTCTTACTAGTTTTGTAGCTATGTTTATGAATTCGAAAAAAAATGTAACTAAATATACCGTGGTATTTCGTTGAATTTAATTTTTTTCCATAAAAAGATAGCTAGGTTTACAGAACTGAAATTACAGACTTAGCTTGGAATTGCCCATTTTAGAATTTAGTGATTGGAAATGGAGAAATCCATTTGTGTAAATGGCAAAATCTCATTCATTAATGAATCAAATAGAAAAACTGTTCACATATTTGTTACAGGTGATATAGAATAGAAATCCTTCCCAAATCTCAGGCTAGCATATGGAAATAAATGTTTCATTACTAAAAGTTTAAATTTAATGACTTCTGACTCAAATGAAATTTTTATTAAATGTCAGACTGGAATTCAGGGAGAAAACAGGACATCTACACCAAATGATAACTTTAGCCATACATAATCTATTTATAGGATACATCATTGAAAAGAAACCAAAAGACAGTGATGTGTGGGTGAAGGTCAACGATTACCCTATATCAGATTGTGGTTACACTGTATCTGGACTTCCAGAAGGAGGAGAGTTTGAGTTCAGAGTCAGAGCTGTCAATCAAGCCGGAGAAGGAGAACCTAGTGGCTCTACTGGACTTATCAAAATCAAAGAAAAGATTGGTAATACATTGTCATTTTTTTATATTTTAACATTAACTGAAAATTAGCATTGAAATGAAAGTAATACAATTTTGTTAATTTGAACTATAAGTAAAGGCAGGTAATGTTGTTCTCTTGAAAACTAATGATAGAGGTCAAAAGTTGAACCTATAAAAACATTTTTATAATGATTATTTGAAATAAATAAAACATATTATCTTATTCTGTTGTATATTCTTTTAGTTGGTAGTGCACCAGAATTTATCAAGAAACTACATCCATCAGAGATGGGTCCACTTGGAGGTGAAATGATCTTCAGTGTACAAATTCATGGCAAGCCAATGCCAGATGTGTCATGGTATGTCCAATTTTATAACTACTGTGGATTCATTTATTTTCATGGGTATCAATTTTCATGGATTGAGTATAAAATATATTTTCGTGGATATTGGATTTCATGGTTTTGCAAAAAAATCTACATACAAACCTATAGAAAATTTGTTCTTTTTTGAACATTTAGATTCGAGGTTCACCTCTACCAAAGAAATCCAAAAAAACTAGTATTCCACGAATAATAATGAATCCACTGTAATTAAATTTTCTTTTTTTATAACATATATTTTGAGACAAATAGTTTGTTGAATTGAAATAGATTACCATCTTAAGTGGAAGTTGGAAAATAAGTTCTTTCTATTTTTGTCTTTCAGTGTAACTCCAACCTGGTGTTTCTTATGGCGTCAAACTTATTAACTTAATGATAATTAGAAATTACACTGTGGAAATTTCTTACAACCAAAAATATTTCAGAATCAAAAATAGAATTTTGATTTAATTTAATTGCCAAAACAGAATATATTCTAACCTACAATGACTTTTTGTAGGTATAAGAACGGTGTCCCCATTGGTAGCACAGCTCGTACAAGACTTACACAGAACGATGACGTCTTTACTTTACGTTTTACTGAGTTGTATGCCAATGATGAAGGAGAAATTAAATGTGACATCTCTAATCCTCTTGGAAGAGACTCATGCACTTGTAACTTCAAAATACAATGTAAGCTGTTTTGTTGATAAAGTTTAATGTGTTACTTAATATATAAAGTATTGTATTGAAAAAAAATAGTTTTTTCTGTCTGGTATATAGTGTGTTATTTTCTTGACTTTAAGCGACTTATTAGAATTTTTTTAAAGAACAGTATATAAAAATTATACAAACATTCAATATTTACTTTTTTTGTATTAATTAATCACATTCATTATTACAATTTGCTTCTGAATGTTAAGCTCCCATCAGTCATTACTCACCACTACATAAATATTGATTTTTTTATGACTTTTGAAACAATCATTTTGAAATTATTATTGTTCATCTGTATAGAATTATGTATGTCATATCCAAAAAGAGTTGTACATCATAGGAATGTAAGAGATTGTAGATTTGATACCCAGTAAAGTTAAATCAAAGACTTTAAAACGAGTATTTACTGCTTCTCAGCTAAGCATGTCAAAAGTATGTCTAAGAGATATGATTGGCTTGCTTGAAATCTAAATAACATTTTTGGGTGGGGATACATGTCTTCTTGCAGATGGTAAATATATTCAATAAAGTTTTACAAATTTAATTCACTGTGTCTGTGATACACAATGATTCTGTGATGCACAATGACTCTGTCATACACAATGACTCTCTCATACACAATGAATCTGTCACACACTATGACTCTGTCATACACAACGACTGTCACACAAACTGACTCTGTCATACACAATGACTCTGTCACACACAATGACATATCCTCATACTCAATATAGTTGTAATATTACCAAACTGGATGTTGAACATCCATCCATAAAAAGACTACTAGTTGATTTGTTTTTTCCATTCTTTAGCACCACCTAAGTTCGGAAAAGATTTCCATGATCAGCAAGTTGAATTAGGAGAACAGTTTAAGATCAAGATTCCATTCTCTGGAACTGGACCATTTGAAGTCAAAGTTAGGAAGAATGGTCGTGAACTGGTGGAGAATGGACGTGTTAAGATTATGCCATTTGATGATTATGTTAGTCTTACTGTCAATGGTAAGTTTAAGCAAAGATAAATTATATATTTACTCCATATCCTTTCTTGCTTCATGTATCAAAAATTATTATGTTCTCAGACAATGTAAAGTGGGGACTGGATAAATTCGACATCGTGTTTGTATTTATAGAAAGATAAAAAAGTTTATCTGAAATTTTGTTTTGATTTCCATCCATTTTCTAAATTGAAGATGGGATAAACAACTTGATCTGTGTTTTTCAAGTTGGAAACATATTTTCATTAGGATTTATATTTTTAAAAGCACTGACTGTCTTAAAAAATGACACCAATAATCTAATAATTAAATTACCTGCTTTTTTATATGAGTTCTTGCACAAGTGTGGCATTTTTCCCATTTTAAAGGTGAATTAAACAACATATTCAATTGTTTTATCCACAGATGCTAACATAGATGATGCAGGTCAATACAAAGTAGAAGTTAGCAATGCCAGTGGTGCAGCTGAACTAGGATTTGGTCTCAAAGTCGTTGGTATGTTTGATGTTATTTTATATGAAAAATTAATACAAAATAAACGGGTATCAATGTCAGGGCTAAAATTACATGCAATAAATATAAAATTATATTCTAGATTGTGATTTTTAGAATGTGGATAATACTTTTAATTTCTATAGGATATGAAATTTGCTCAAACCCATAATTGCTTTGGTTGACTAGTGGTAATGTGTGCACTTAAAGTGTCCAAGCTCATGGATTTGATCAAGATGTTAAGTGTATATAATGTTTTTCAAAGTGTTAAATTCTCTTTTCAACAGGAGCTCCAGAAAAACCAACCGGTCCTCTTGGAGTATCTGACATCACCAAAAGTACTTGCAGATTGTCATGGAAACCACCAAAAGCAGATGGTGGTTCTAAAATTACACATTATGTGGTAGAGAGACAGGAAGTGGGAAAACCATACTGGGTCACTGTCTCTTCACGATGCAAGGTTAATATTCTGTTTTTTTATTGTTGATTGAATGTATAAACTTCTGTGTCGATACATGTAGTGTTAAATTTCTTTTTATTCTGTATAGAACTATCAAAAAAATTGGCATCATATTATGCTGTTTAACTGATGATTTATTTTATAATCTCTTTTTGTTCTTGAAAATCACCCAAAACTTTTTCATAACTTTCTATTTTAATGATGAAAGTAAGATGTGTTAAATTTTAAAAAATAATTGATTTCTGGTTTTAAAGTTAATTTTTTAGTGATAAAACTTATTTCTTATTGTTAATAAAGCTGTTCATTTGTTTGTTTAATACATGAAATACTGCCTAAAACATCAATAAAATGAATATATACATTTACTTTCCAGGACTGTAATCAAGATGTACAAGGATTATATGAGAACAACCAATATGCATTCCGTGTATCAGCTGTCAATGAATTTGGCCAATCAGAACCACTGACAGCAGAGACACCAATTGTCGCTAAGATGCCATTTGGTAAGGGACTTTAATATTTATTTTTAAAAGACTGCTTTGCAATAGCTGATCAAATGAAACTGCTGATAGATTTCAAGAAATATTTTTATGGTTAAGCTTTAGACTGTAAATTTACATAGAAGAATATTCAAGCTCTATTGTTTCTTGTACCCCTATTACTGTCCAGATTCAGCTGCCTATAATTTTGAATAGACCTAATTTAGAATAAGTAGTATTAGATAACGAAAACCATAATTTAGAGCAAAAAACTGTGAAACAATACACATCACACCATTTTAATGTATAGAATTATATATGAAAGGATTTTTCTAAAAATGCCTATCTTAAGCAGTATTTCTGAAACAGATTTAAATCAAAGTATTGATTTGTTTAAACAGTGTATATTTTACATTTATACAGACCGTCCAGATGCACCTGGAGTCCCAGAAATTACTGAAGTTGGAAGTGACTTTGTAAGTCTTACTTGGGAGAAACCAAAACATGATGGTGGTGGCAGAATTAAAGGCTACTGGATAGACAAACGTGAACATGGTCATGACAACTGGACTAGAGTAAATCTGCAGCCTTGTATAACGAACATTATTAATATTCCAAAACTTATTGAAGATAAACGTTATGAGTTTAGAGTTTTTGCTGAAAATGAGGCTGGCATGAGTAAACCTTCTATGAACTCACAAGCTGTCAAAATCAAAGATCCTAAAGGTAAAATACCAGATATATATGTCTGCATTTTTTGTATGTCTCTCTTGCAAATTGTCATATAATTTTTTTACAGTAACATCAGGCTTTCTTGGAAAATAGTTATAAGGATTTTTAAAATTAGTTGATTCAAAATTAGAGGAGATTAGTAAAAGCAGATTAAAAATCTCTTGAGGAGATTTTTTTTCTATAAAAATAACAAAAGGTAAAAATAAGTTTTTTTTATGTCTTTTTATACCTCATTAAAACCTTTTATATCCTACCGCAGTCTATAATCGGTCATAATGTTGGTTCGTTCGGATTTTGTTATTGTACTTATCACACGGGAAAACTCTGCATTGACGTCACTACGCTAATACCAGCGTACAAAATTAGTGCAGAATACATTTTTTCTACTCTTCTAAATAAACAAACATTTCTAAAGATATGTTTTCATTGTTATTTTAAAGTATTGTACAAAAATGCCAATTTTCTAATGGCCGTTTGAAACCTGACTTCCGAATGCCTATAAACATTCCAGAACTTCAGAAATCCCCTCTTCAGGCCTCCATTGCTTTGTTTACATTCCATTTGGCGTCATCAATGTTAATGGCAGACCAAACAGGCCAAGCAAATCGTATTTTTAAGAATTTCAAAATGGCAAGCACCTTACGTCTTACGCGATTTTCCCGCGAAAAAAACCATCCAAATTGAAAGAAAAACCTTGGGAAACAAACGATAATCATGCCATATTTTTGTTCAGGAATATAGAGTAGGTCATTAAAAAACAATATACATATATTTTTCATAAAAAAAAAAATTGGTTCAATATAAAGAGATCGATATTCTGACCATAAGTAAATATTCATATAAAATTCCATTGATATCAAATTTCATGGCTAATAAAGAGATTTCCTATTGAATAAACCCCCAATTTATTGCAAACTATTTCAAAGCAATATCATACAAACAAATAATATAATTGCCTTGTACTAAAAAATCACCTAATTGACGGAAGAGCAATTTGATTGGATATAACGATTCAATGTGTCACGTGGTTTTGAAGCCATTAGAATTTGAATGTAAACAAACCGGGTCAGCTGCTGCAGTATGGAACAACATCGTACATTCAGTGACTGAGAAACAATTATGAGTAACCAAGCTTGACAATACACAGTAATAAAAAAAACAAAGCTAAGTCTACAGAAAAATAAAATAAAAAATGGCCTTAAGTGCACGACTTACCACCATTGCAGGATACCAGAGCAATTATTTAAGTCTGGATAGCTTTGATATTATTGTGTGAGTCAATTATCCAATGAATTCAATGAATAGTTTTTTTATTTTTTCTATTTTAAGCTGCTGTTATTCCTGAATTCTCTTCTGGACTTAGAAAATGTCATGCTCAACAAGGAAAATCAGCCAAATTTGAATGTGAAGTATCTGGTAAACCAGCACCTGACATTCAATGGTTTAAGGGAACCAGAGAAATTTATGATAGTCCTAAATTTGAAATTTACAATGAAGGTGACAAACAAGTTCTTGTTGTTCATGATGTTTTTGGTGAGGATCAAGATGAATATTCCTGTCGAGCATCAAACAGTGGTGGCTCAAGAATGTCCAGAGCAAACCTAGAAATCAGTTGTAAGTTTATGTCATGTGGACAGGCTGTACAACCTTCCTGTATCATTTTTTAAACAACGGATAAAATCATGCACTGCTGTATACTTGAGGAGAATGCAGGAAGTCAGAATGTATTTCATTTTTATGCCCCCTTCTGTAGCGGAGGGGGCATTAAGTTTCACCCTTGTCCGTCTGTATGTACGTCCCAAGATTGGTTTCCATTCTCTAACTTTAGTTTGCCTCAACCAAATGTTATGAAACTTATACACAATGCTTATTACCACAATACACAGATCAAGTTCGAATTTTGGTGACGTTTCTTTTACCATTCTGGAGTTATGCCCCTTTACAAATGGAAAAATTGCTGAATTTCTCGTTTCCATTCTCTAACTTTAGTTTGCCTCAACCAAGTTTTATGAAACTTATACACAATGTTAATTACCACAAAACACAGATCAAGTTTAAATTTTGGTGGCGTCACTTTTACCGTTCTAGAGTTATGTCCCTTTACAAATGGAAAAAATCCTGAATTTTTCGTTTCCTTTCTCTAACTTTAGTTTGCCTCAACCAAATGTTATGAAACTTATACACAATGTCTATTACCACAAAACACAGATCAAATTTGAATTTTGGTGGTGTCATGTTTACTGTTCTAGAGTTATGCCCCTTTACAAATGGAAAAATTCCTGAATTTTTCATTTCCTTTCTCTAACTTAAGTTTGCCTTTTACAAATGAAAAATTCCTGAAATATTTGTTTCTGTTCTCTAACTTTAGTTTGCCTCAACCAAATGTTATGAAACTTATGCACAATGCTTATTACTACAAAACTCAGATCAAGTACAAATTTGGGTAGAGTCACTTTTACAGTTCTTGAGTTATATCCCTTTATAGTGTTATATGCAAGTGGGGGCATCTGTGTCCCATGGACACATTCCCCATTTATTTTAATTTTGATTCAAAATTCTTGAATTGACCGGAGTTCTATTTAACATTTTTAGACTAAAAGGACAGGTGTAGTGGTTCAATGTTTCATTCTGTAATTTGTTATTTATGAAAAACAAAGTTAAAACTTGTGTATTTTGAATTTTATTACAAGACATTTGATGTGTTTGCAGATTTCAGTTTATTTACATTGCAGCACCACCAAAGATAACTGTTCCAAAGAGATTCCAAGATGTAGCTATTTTCGAGAAAGGAGAATCAGCTGTCATAAAAATTCCATTTACTGGTAACCCTAAACCTACCATTACATGGATGCATGATGGTGAAGAGGTCAAAGGTCGTAACTATCACAGCGAAGTCACTGAGAGGCATGCCATCTTGACCATCAAAGATGCCAACAAAGACCAAGATGGACCATACAGAATCACAGCTACAAATGACCTTGGTTCAGATTCAGCTGTAATCAAAATACAAATCAATGGTATTTACAATTTCATTAGTTTTCTTTTATTTTTATGACTGTAAATTTCAGAATTTATGCATGTATTTATTATTGTGTATCACTTATTATTGATAGAAAATGTAAGAACAAATAAAGGTGTTTGTGAAAATTTTTGAAGGGAAATCATTGCTGAAATTATGGATGAAAGTTTTTGTTTTTCTGCGAAACCTGAAACTGTCACATTTTTTTGCATTAATAAAAACATCACAATAATTTAGGAACTTCTGATTGCCTGCTCAGAAGGTTTCGCCTTTCTTTCTAGACCCCTATTTGATTATGCTGTGATACCTGGCTTAACCACACCCCCTTTTTAAAAGATTTTGTTGGGATTAGAAAGGTGTTTGGTTTTAGCAGGTTAAAACACTAATCAATAATCACTGTATAGCTTGATATGTGTGCAGTATTCGGTTTAGGCAGATTTCATTGTATAACTCCTATTAATATATACATTTTTAACTGCCTCATCTTTTGACTCTTAGCATTCTTGATAAAAGTATTTATGAAAATTAGCATTGACCACAAATGATGCATTTTACTTTGATTTAAAATTGAATATAGTAATTTGTTTCACATTTGATTTTAAGTTTGAATACAGTACATTGTTTCATTTTTTACCAAATCATGGCAATGTTATATTTTGTGATGTTAATGTTAAAATGCCAGAATAGGAAAATCATAACACCAATGCCTTAAATCCATTGAAGAGACCAACAGTTTATTTAGTCATTTATCTTTATCATGTTATTTTTATGGACAGCATTTTACAAAAAGTGAATCAGGTTCCTAATCCTTTGAAAGTTATTACGAAGTGCTTTACACTTACAGATCGGCCAGATCCACCACGCTACCCAACCTGTGAAAACATTCGTGATGAATCTGTCCTGTTGTCATGGAAACCACCATTGAACGATGGAGGAAGTTTCATCACACAATATGTTATAGAGAAATGTGAACCACCAAATTCCAACTGGATAAGAGTTGCAGTTTCTAGGTAAGGCCTTTTCAGTATTAAAAAGTGAAATATTAATTGGTTTAGACTTTAAAGTGGCACTTACTATATATGAAGGAAAGCCTGTTTTATATTTAGCTTATTTTGTTTTTAGGTGCAAACACACTTAATAAAGACATTATAATGAAATATAATAGACCAAGATTTATTCTATGATCAAGTAGTGCTCCAAAGGAATGGATATAACAAGCTTACTTTGTAATGGTACACTCAAAGGGAAACCTATACAGCTTTTATTTTACAATTGATATTATTGTATTGAAAAATGAGCATGAAAGTTTCTAAACAGAGTTGACAATATTTGTATTGTTAATTGGTGTAACATAACATTTAATTACAGAATGTGTTTCCATAACATCACATCTTTATCTGCTAACAAAGAATATCAGTTCCGTGTTGTTGCTGAGAACTTTTATGGCAAGAGTGATCCATGTGACCCTACTGCAGTCATCAAAACAGATGAATCTGATGCTATTAAGAAGAAGAGAGCCCTGGAAGGTATGTTTTAAGATGGTTTGCAGCATTTTTGTATACAGAAAGGTTTTATTTATTTGGTTCAATCACAAGGAATGACCTCATCAGGCACTACATGAACTTAGGTTTACTAAATTTTACGTATGGTAAATTTGTTCTATTGATAAGTGCAAGATTTGGTAAACATAATTTGAATGTACAGACTTAAGGGATGGGAGGAATAACTGGTCAGCATTATATAGTATATAGAGAAAACACTTTGAAAGTTGGATTGTCACAGGTATTGCAATTATAGTTTGAAAACTTTATATTAAAAGAAAAGACAACTAAAATGCACCTAAAAACACTATTCTTTTAAAACGACTGAATTAGAACATATTAAACTTCATTAATTTACATTTCTTATGAAATCTCTTTCTTGCATATGTATTATGTTAATGGGAATTTTTAATCAAATTATTAATTATGTATTAAAAATATTACTGGTAGTTGATTCTTGAAATTGTAATAACATTATATATTATGATTGTAGATGGGTTTGGTAGAAAGGTCAGAGGTACTGGACCAAAGGTTGATAACTATGATAAGTATTGTAAGTATTTCTTTCTGTGAAAATTAATGTAGTTCTCTTTCTAATATTTTTACATTTACTGTAATACGTACTATTCTTTAAAAGTCAAGATATATATGAACTGCGTCGGATAGAAATTGACCTTATGCAAGTGCACATATATAAGATGTATGTACATGTATAAGACTTTGATTGATTTTGGAAACATTCAAATAAGAATGAAAGATGAATTTTGGTCTGTTTTGTAGGGTTCTTTAATATAACAACTCAATTTTCAAACAGTTACAGACTTTGCATAGAGATTTTTCAACCTGAAATAGGTTAACAGATATTGATATTCATTTGTATAAGATGTTTTCTATCCGATGCAGCTCATATATTATTTCAATGCAGCTCATATATTATTTCAAAGGAAATACATTCTTCTAACCTGAGTATAATTTATTAGTCACTATCTACTTTTACTTTCTCTAAAAACAACAAAACAAACAAACATGTTGGTTTGTTTTTGGTTTTCTAGGTGTGTGTAGGGATTTTATATTATAAATAAATACACAATATCCATCTTTTCCATAATGATACTAATATTTAGTTTAACCACACAATTCAGTAGTAAACCTATTCATGTAATATTAAAGCAAGAAAAACATACACAATAGCACACATATACATGGATAAAGATGTATATATATATATATTATAAACCAACTAATTTCCTTGAGTAGAAAGATATCATGAATATGTAAAATTTGGATCTTGCCTCAACAAAATGAAGTAACTGCAAAAACAAGAAAACTACCAAATAATGCAAAGCTGCCTAGAAAGAAAAGTTAAATAGACCACTTTTGAGTTCGTTGCATTTCCATCAAAACTTTGGTTTTTATTGAACATCATTCATGCGTTTAGGGGCATCGTCACTTCCTTCCCATGTTGAGCGAGTGGGTGAAAAAATATGATGCTATATTGCACGAATTATTCTGCAAATTAAATTCTTATAATTGATAATCAGCATTGCTGTCATTAGGGAATTGTGATTAAGTGCATATGGAACAAATATTATTTATAGTTTATCCTGCATAATGGAGATCATGAAGACGCTTGATGAACTTTAAAAGTGCATGGATACAGGCGGTCCCCTCTATCTGGTAAATGACGTCATAAAGGCGCGTATAATTGACAAACTTTTCCGGTGAAGGACATAACTCTAAAGTGGTCTATTTGGCTACAGTATAAATCACTGAGAACATAAAAGCAAATACGGACTTAAACAGAATAACCAAAACTGAATAAAATCACTTGCCTGAAGGACTCCAACATGAGTCATATAGCATAATAAAAAACTATTGCTTCAGAGTTGGCATGAAATAACTTGCTTTGTTTTGAAGTTGGGGTCAAACTTTGTCAATCAGTCATTTCTTAGGTAGAACAAGTTGGGGCTATCCTGGTATTGTATACTGAAATCATTTTTGTAGATCATGACTTGTGGAAGAAGTATGTTCCTCAACCTGTTTCGGTCAAGGATGCTAATGTTAATGACTACTACGAAATCCTGGAAGAGTTGGGAAGGTTTGTAGTTTATTGACTAGATTATGTTTCATATAAATTGCTTATTTCAAAAAAAAATCTTTAAATGTCATTGCGAGTATATATATATATATATTTATGTTATTCATAGAATAGAGAATTGAGTAGTCAGTAATGTAAAGAGGCAGTAAATATTTAAATGAAAACTAATATTTGAGTATCTATTTCATTTTAAAGGTTTGTGTACCATTTCAGATACGGATTGCTGTTGTGTCTAATTGGTTAAGCAAGCTTGTCCAAGTATGGTTAGGTACTCTTATAAAATTTTATTTCATAAATTTTTGCTTTTCACCATTTATCTGTTTATTCAAGGAGATAATCAGTGTAATTTCAATTTATATTGTAGTGGTGCTTTCGGAGTTGTTCATAGATGTGTAGAAAAGGCAACAGGACGAGTATTTGTTGCTAAGTTTATCAACACTCCTTATCCATTAGACAAGTTTGCTGTGAAGAATGAAATCAATGTAATGAACCAGTGTCACCATCCTAAACTGTTACAGTTAAAGGATGCTTTTGAAGACAAATATGAAATGTGTCTTATTTTTGAATTGTAAGTAGATATTTGCGTCTAATTTTCACACTTTTCATACTTTTCATGATATAATGCCAACAAGCGTCAGATGTTAATAAAAGAAATGGTGCTTTCAATAGCTATATTAGTACATGTATAATGAATAAAATGTAAAAATAACATGAAGATAACCAAAACATTTCTATGAGATACAGAAACATGAGAAAAGTGGAAAATTTTCACGAGAGGTTAAGGTAAAATCACAAATTTTCCCTATTGTTGATTGGAATGCTATGGAATATTCCAATCAGGGATGAAAAAAACATGAAAAAATAAAACCTCACAAACAGGTTTGGTCTCAGCAAATCGCGAAATTGTAATCCTTCAAAAAATAGACCACTTTACAATAATAAAATCAAAGGAAGAGGAATTCTTATTTAAATTTAAATCTCTGTTTATTCTATGCTAGTCGAACTCTTTATGATTCACTTATTTAAAAAGAATTGGTCATGCAACAAATTGTTCTTACCTGGTAAAGTTTATATGTATTAATGAAATATTTCAGTTTGGCTGGTGGAGAATTATTTGACAGAATAGCAGCAGATGATTACAAAATGACAGAATGTGAGGTTATCAACTACATGAGACAAGTCTGTGATGGTCTTAAACACATGCATGAGAACAGCATTGTCCATCTTGATGTTAAAGTAAGTCTGAAAAAATTATGAATGTTTGGAAAGTGCCATATTGCCAATTATTTCATAAGTCTTTATCCATGCCATACAAAATTTGTTTTTAGGTTAATTCTGATATAAATAAAAGGAGACGAGGAGAACAAGCCAATTAGACATCATTCTAACAACAGAATTACATCTAAAAAAAAAAAAATTTTCAACAACAGACATATTATTAGGGCTATTGGTGTTACAGGAAAAACAATATACAAAGGTTAGGGGGTTAGAAGGAACATTTTTTCACTCCTAATACTCATGCAAATTTTAAAAAAAGACAGATTTTAAAAATTCATTCAACATGCAACACCCATGCATAGTTGAATTTGTAAATATTTTCTGTAACATTCATCATTGAATTTAAGAAAATTTATATTTAATGTACACTTATGCAACACAAAATTCATACATTCTGAGAAAGCTAAAATCGAAAGAAAATCTGGTTGTGTCTTCAGTATTGCATGTCCCTGCTTCAATTTTAAAAGTTTTTCTTTTCAATAAATTAAATGAATTAATATGTAATTTAGCAAATCAAAAAATGTAATTATGAATTAATTTATTGCATTATTTATTTTCAGCCTGAAAATGTGATGTGTACAACTAAGAATTCCAATGAAGTGAAAATGATTGACTTTGGATTAGCTACTAAATTAAACCCTGATGAAATTGTCAAAGTTACAACAGCAACAGCAGAGTTTGCTGCCCCTGAAATCGTAGATCGTGAACCTGTAGGATTTTATACCGACATGTGGGCAGTTGGTGTGCTAGCTTATGTTTTGTAAGTATAAGAAAACAGTTCCTATATTATTTTTTTGTTGAAACATTGCTATCTTTTATAAAAAAATGAAATGTTTTTATTGGTTGACACATCATTTACAAGAACTTTGAGATTGTACAATGTAATTTAGGAGGAGAAATGTTTAATATCTGAATCAATACATTCAGGTTTGTCATTATTTTAAAACTTTTTGTAGTGAATAGGTGTTGTCTATATGAATTCATATTTTATGACTTTGAAACCAAAAATTGTACACTACTTTCTGCAGTCTTTCTTCTCCACTACCCTGAAGAAGTATAACTTCCAAGTTTTGAAGTATTAGTATATTGTGAAAGAATTTTAATGTATAATTATCTATTTTCCAGATTGAGTGGATTATCCCCCTTTGCTGGAGAAGATGATTTGGAAACATTAGCCAATGTACAGAGATGTGACTGGGAGTTTGCAGATGATGCTTTTGCAAATATATCTCCCGAGGCTAAGGACTTTATCAGAAAACTCCTTATCAGACAACCACAGTATGTACTTTTATCTTTAAAAATATTGAAAAGTATCAGTTATAAATATTAAGTAATAAATATTTCATAACCGGAAATTTGAATGTTTCTGGTTTTCCCGGTAGACATTTTACCGTGTAATTAACCATACTCAAACATTACTGTTTATTATGATACATTGTACAATGCCATAAAATGCAAATAATGAATATAGTGAAAATTTAATTGCCTTGTCTAAGGCTCAAACAGCAAACAAAACTGGAAACAAAAATAGCTGACATGGAGTAATTGAGTGTTATATTACTATCATTTTGCACAATTCTATAATCTGACTATATTGGAACACATTTAAATTTCAGGAGGAGGATGACAGTCCATGAATGTTTAGATCATGATTGGATGAAGGTATGTGAAATAAAACACTTATGAAATGAGGGTTAAAGTTCAAAAGGTTGTAATGGACTATGTGCCAAATTGAATTGACTTAATTTACAGATAATGTTAGTTTAAACAGTATTTATTAATGAAAAATTACAACAATAAAGTATTACAATGTTACATGAAATTCAAATATGGGATTCGGAAACAAGTTTGGAAAAACTTTTATAAATCCGTCTCCCAAAAAAATAAATAACATCTATTTAACAAACAATATGACGTGCCAACAGTATATTAAGTTTAAGGTAACATATAATAAATTTGAATAAATACCAAAAAAAAACAACGAAACAGTAAACTTACTTTCTTGATAGACAGTCACTGGAACCACCACACGTGTCCGATTTTAGTCAATATGGGCAATCCACTCGATTTGACATCAATTTATATAACTAATAAAAACATATACAAGGTCAACTTTCAAAACTTTTTGTTTTATTTATATATTCAGAAACTTTATGAAATATTTGCATATTGTCCTCATCAGACTTTAAACTGTCCCCATATAAGATAATCTTAAGATTAATACAAGAGACTGTCCGATAGTATCCCTTCGAATTTCATTATATTTTGGACATTTGAAAATAATGTTAATTGAGTTATATTTCTTTCTCACTAGCAGGACAGCAGTCATAATTATTTATTTTAACATCTTGTTTTACTTTTTTAGGGTGACCTTAGTGGTCGCACAACCAGAATTCCATCTAGTCGCTATGACAGCATTAGAGCTAAAATGAGAGCAAAATATGTAAGTGTATCTGTTGAAATTGCACGAAAAAATGTTTTCAGGTGAATTTTCAAGAAAAAATATACAAAATGTGCACTATTTTTGTATTTGCTTCACCTCTTACATTTAATTTAATTAAATTAAATAATATATTAATTTTCTTTGTACTTTTTCCATAAGTAATTGATCATAAAATGATTCTTTTAAAATTTAAGATGAAATTGTTTAATATAATCATTGTCTGTAATTTTCAAAAATGTAAAATTGTATGTTCCTAGATTATTTTAGACTTACAATCTATTATTAGGCTGACTGGCCAGCTCCAAACCCAGCTATTGGTCGTATTGCAAACTTTGGTGCTCTTAGGAAAAACAGACCTAAAGACTTCTCAATCTTTGATTCTTACTTTGGTAAGTAACATTTATTGTTTTATTTTAATTAATTGATTTTGAATATTTTTATATTGCTGAATGAAATGAAAAATGATGGTTTCTATTTGCTAAATATGGACGTATTTTTTAGATTGTATTTAGAATCACAGAGATTTTATATTTTCAATTTTAATTTTTTTTTAGATCGCAAAGAAGCAGCACCCAGATTTATCCGTAAACCAAGAAATGTTCTGGCTGCTGAGGGTCAGTCCACCAAATTTGATTGTAAAATCATTGGGGCTTCACCACCAATTGTCACTTGGTAAATATATATTACTTTTTGAAAAAAAAAGTCTGTGTCAATAATTGTTCTCTCTGTTTTTCATAGGTTAATTTAAGTTTTTTATACACAGTAGATTTGAGTTCATTCTGTCAGTTAGTATGTTTAAAAAAATTGTTGCTGAGATTTCCTTGATCTTCAGATTAAGATTTAAATTAATAAAAAAGAAGTAGCTGCCTTACCTTATTTAAAGTGATTAAAGCTTGCTATGATTTATGGTATGATATATTCCATTTTGATTTCAGGTCATATGACAATTCAGTTCTGTCTCAGAGTGTCAAATACATGCAAAAATATCGTGGCAACGAGTATGAGCTGAAGATCAGTAGATTGAAAATGGCTGACAAGGGAGTTTACACTGTTATTGCAGAAAATTCATTTGGAAAACGTGAAGAACACGCTACACTCAAAGTTGAAGGTTATTATGCAATTTTTGTCTCACCTTGATGTAGTCAGAAAGCGAGACATAGGTATGCTGTTTCTGGCGTCATTTCCATGGAGATTATTTGGCCCCGATCCCTCAGTCGTGGTCTATTGACTTTGAGACTTTTTCTTAGTTTACATGTATTAGTTGGTATTAGGTCAGTTATTGGGGACCCACTGGTGGTAGATCAATGATATTTGGTATGCTTATGTATTAGCATTGGCACATCTCATTTCCATGGAGATTGATTGACTTTGAATATTTTGCATAACTTACATGTTAAAGTATTGTTATTTTCGACATTTGCATTTTACTATCAAAATAACAAGAAGGCGAGACATATCTCTGTGTTAACAGTTTATTTATTTTTTGTCATATTTGTTCCAAAAATTACTTTTATTCATTATAAATAGTTATTTGTTTTATTTACATTCATTATGTAGTTGTCTATCAGTGATTTTGTTTTGTATCCCAAATATTGTTATGGAGATGTCTCACTATATCTCTCTTTTATTTTAGTCAATCCAGAACTACAAAGGATACCAAGCAGTAGGGATACAACACCAATGCGAAGGTAAGCTCTCTGGTCAGAATTCCCAAAAAGATCATTTATGATTTACAAAATTTTGAACCATGAAGTGATATTCTTGAATATGTGCATGTGTATAACATACTCACTTTTAGATATCTTTGATTAAAACAACCATCATAAAGTTTTATTTTCAGTACTATTTATGCAGAACATTGAATAGGTTTATGATAAAATCATAGGGATGAAGACATTTCTTGAAACAACTGAATATAAATGAGCAGGTTGAGGATGTACTATAAAACACAAAGTGCTTTTTTTTGTCAAGCTGTTTATATATATATTTTTTTTTGTTCTTCAGGTCAAGAAGACAATCAATGTCACCAGCTCCAGAAATCAAACCTGTCGAGGAGGCACCAAATATAAGCTTTGGTTTACGTCCTCGTTTGATTCAAGCAGGATCAGAGTTCAAACTTCTAACATGTGTACAGTCAACACCAGTACCAAAGGTAGATCTTCATCACTTTTTCTGAAGACTATTACTTACATTTACCTGAAAATTGTTTGTGACCTATAAAAGAAATATAAAATCTATGTTGAAAAAAAAAACTACTTACAAGACAAAAATGACATAATTAGTAGAGATTTCAAATGTCTGAATACTAATGAAAAATGCTGAGGATCTGAATTTTATGAGATCATTTCAAAATTATTATTGTGTATTAATGAATAATGATACACCTGAAATAAATATAAATTGATTTTTCAACAAATGCTGGTTGTGTTTGGATATTCTGTTAAAAAATCATAAATGAACAGAAATTTTATGAACAAGTATTAAGTTTTGTTATTTTTAATAAGAACCTTTTATGTGTTGTTTTATTATAAATAGGTAACCTGGTACAAGGATAATAAGGATGTGTCAAAAGATCCTCACTTCATGTGTTCTTACTCTGGTGGTGTCGCCACTATTGAGGTACAGTCTGCTAAACTGGCTGATACTGGTACCTACACATGTAGAGCCATCAATGAGCTTGGAGAACATGAAACATCATCTCGTGTTGTAGTTGAAGGTAACTAAAGAAGGTTTTTCAGTACAATTAAAGTGTATGCAACATTTGAATAAGGCAGTAATTGTACTTTATAAATGCTCATATTAATATGGCAAAAATTGGAACACACAAAAACTAAAATGCCAAAAAATACAGTTAAGGAGAAAGTCTTGTAAATGAAATGAAGTCATTATTACAAAAATAGTAAAAACAAAAGATAAAACAGAATTTTATCTGCAAGAAAAAAGTCTATAGCTAATTACGTTGGAATATTAAACAATAATGTTTTTTTTCTTTGCCTCTCTGTTTTTTTAACAGAAAAATCAATAAAAAATGTGTATTTCCCTGTTCTAATGAATAAAAAAAAATTGTTTCTGTTTATACTTGAAACTTATATTATTTATTTGTTGAATTACAGATCGAGCTCATGACTTTGACAAGTCAGACATCTTCAAAAGTCACAAACAATCCAGAACGTCAAGGACAACAAAATCGGGATTTAGTTTCGCAGATTCCAGTAGTAGTTATAATGAAACATCATCATCATCTTCAACACGTACATCAAATAGATCGTCCAGACGTGTTGAAGAATCATCATATGAAGATTCATATTCATCTAGCAGGGGTTCACGTAGAGGTAACACAAATTTACTTGTATGCTTCTTTAGGTTCTAAATCAGTATTTTTTTCAAGTTTTATTCTGTTTTTGACTGACACACTTCCTTTAATCCAGCGTGTTGAAATGTTAGCATATTAGTCACCTATCTAGGATTTTGCTGATTCCCCTCAATCCCCTAAATATGAAATAAACATATAAGTTTACTTTACTTTGTTTATTCAGCTTAGTATGAGAAAATTATTCAGTATAAATTAGTTTAAGTATTTCAAACTCCTTGGTATAACTTGTAAATTGCTTGAAATATCCATGAGAGCAGAAGATAATTATTACGTAAAAAAATATTTCAAACTTTTTGGAATTTCATGTAAGTGTCTTGAAATATTTGTCATGAGAACATTAGTTAATATTGCAAATACAAACAAACAAAAAAACAAGTATTGCATTAATAATTTAATCATTTTTTTAAAGATAAAAAACGAGAGCCATCTGTTGAAGCTCCAGAATTTACAACACAACTGTCACCTTTGAGTTTAAATGAAGGGGATAGGTTGAAATTGACATGTACTGTGAAAGGTCAACCTGAACCAGAAGTAGAATGGTTTTATAATGGTCAGGTAAGTTAAAATAAATATTTTCAACAGTTTGTCAAAATGTGTGTTGATAAGTCTGCAAGTAGATGTGTATGGATACAACTGTTTTATATAAACAGTCAAATATTGAATTAGATTTTGTTTTCATCTTTATTTCAGGCATACTTTTCCAGTATATATTTTTCGATATAGTTATGTTTTCTGCCAATTATTCTTGACTTCTGTGAACAGTGAATAGTGATATTTAAATACTAAAATTGTAACAAATTGTTTCAGATATTTCTAATATAAGTTAATTTAAGCAAGAGAAGTAATTGTGATAACTGGCCAGCTCACATCACAGTAACAAAGTACAATTTTTCAAGAAGATCTTTACTTTTTTTCAAATATGATTTTTTAAGATGGTGAAGTCTTATAATTTGATGACTACTATAAACTCAAATAGAATTCACACATACATATTTATGTCTTTTCAGCTCATGCAAAGTGATGATGCCATAAAAATATCAGCAATAGCTGGTAGACATACATTAACAATAGACAGTTGCATCATTGATGATGATGGAAATTATGTGTGTAAAGCTAAAAATCCTGGAGGTCAAGCATCCTCACGAACATCGGTTCAAGTTACTGGTAAGTTTGCATACATTTACGATATAGCTGTGGTGGCCTAAGTTTTTTCTTATGTTTGTTTATTTAAAATCATTGTTCATTTCAGTAGCAAAGCATCTTACTTTATATTTTTTATTAATTGGTGCAAATGTATATGTGCATTCATTTAGAGAAGAATCATTATACAACAACACATCTCAATTGTATTTTGAAGATAAAACTTAACTTGAGGATGCTACTTTTGTAGTAAAGAGAGAGTCCTCTTAGTCCCTATGCTGACATGTAAATATGGGGTTCTGCTCATTTTGTAGTAAAGAGAGAGTCCTCTTAGTCCCTATGCTGCCATGTTAATATGGTGTTCTGCTTATTTTGTAGTAAAGAGAGTCTTCTTAGTCCCTATGCTGACATGTTAATATGGTGTTCTGCTCATTTTGTAGTAAAGAGAGAGTCCTCTTAGTCCCTATGCTGACATGTTAATATGGTGTTCTGCTTATTTTGTAGTAAAGAGAGTCTTCTTAGTCCCTATGCTGACATGTTAATATGGTGTTCTGCTCATTTTGTAGTAAAGAGAGAATCCTCTTGGTCCCTATGCTGACATGTTAATATGGTGTTCTGCTCATTTTGTAGTAAAGAGAGAGTCCTCTTGGTCCCTAAGCTGACATGTTAATATGGTGTTCTGCTTATTTTGTAATAAAGAGAGTCCTCTTTGTTCCTATGCTGACATGTTAATATGGTGTTCTGCTTATTTTGCAATAAAGAGAGTCCTCTTGGTCCCTATGCTGACATGTTAATATGGTGTTCTGCTCATTTTGTAATAAAGAGAGTCCTCTTAGTCCCTATGTTGACATGTTAATATGGTGTTCTGCTTATTTTGTAATAAAGAGAGTCCTCTTGGTCCCTATGCTGACATGTTAATATGGTGTTCTGCTCATTTTGTAATACAGAGAGTCCTCTTAGTCCCTATGTTGACATGTTAATATGGTTTTCTGCTTATTTTGTAATAAAGAAAGTCCTCTTGGTCCCTATGCTGACATGTTAATATGGTGTTCTGCTCATTTTGTAGTAAAGAGAGTTCACTTAGTCCCTATGCTGACATGTTAATATGGTGTTCTGCTCATTTTGTAATAAAGAGAGTTCACTTAGTCCCTATGCTGACATGTTAATATGGTGTTCTGCTTATTTTGTAGTAAAAAGAGTTCACTTAGTCCCTATGCTGATATGTTAATATGGTGTTCTGCTCATTTTGTAATAAAGAGAGTTCACTTAGTCCCTACGCTGACATGTTAATATGGTGTTCTGCTTGTTTTGTAGTAAAGAGAGAGTCCTCTTGGTCCCTATGCTGACATGTTAATATGGTGTTCTGCTCATTTTGTAATAAAGAGAGTCCTCTTAGTCCCTATGTTGACATGTTAATATGGTTTTCTGCTTATTTTGTAATAAAGAGAGTCCTCTTGGTCCCTATGCTGACATGTTAATATGGTGTTTTGCTCATTATACCCCACGCAACGAGTTGCGGAGGGTATAATGTTTTTGACCCGTCCGTCCGTCCGTCCGTCCGTCTGTCTGTCCGTCAGTCCGTCTGTCCGTCAGTCCTGTTTCTTGTCATCGCAACTCCTCTCAAACCACACAACAGAATTTCACGAAACCTTTTTAGATAATAAGGACATACTATGTAGTTGTGCATATCGACAGGAAATTGCGATTCAATTTTTTTTCTAGGAGTTACGCCCCTTTGAACTTATTTACTTTAATGTACTACTGCAACAGTTTGTCATCGCAACTCCTCTGATACCACACAACAGAATTTCATGAAACCTTTTAGATAATAAGGACATACTATGTAGATGTGCATATCGACAGGAAATTACGGTTCAATTTTTTTCTAGGAGTTACGCCCCTTTGAACTTATTTGCTTCAATGTACTATGCAACAGTTTGTCATCGCAACTCCTCTGATACCACACAACAGAATTTCATAAAACCTTTTTAGATAATAAGGACATACTATGTAGATGTGCATATCGACAGGAAATTACGGTTCAATTTTTTTTCTAGGAGTTACTCCCCTTTGAACTTATTTGCTTCAATGTACTATGCAACAGTTTGTCATAGCAACTCCTCTGATATCACACAACAGAATTTCATGAAACCTTTTTAGATAAAATAAGGACATACTATGTAGATGTGCATATCGACAGGAAATTACGGTTCAATTTTTTTTCTAAGAGTTACGCCCCTTTGAACTTATTTGCTTCAATGTACTCAGGGGTGAAACTTAACTTTGTAAGGCCAGTAGCCAGCTGGGCTACTAGACTTGGAAATCAGTTAGCCCAGACAAAAAGTTAGTAGCCCACTTTATTTCACTATGAGTATCACCGGTGAAGCCCGCAAAGCGGGCTGAACTTGCTAGGGGGGTTTGGGGGCATGCCCCCCCAAGAAAATTTTGAAATTTTAGACTCAAAACCCTGCATTCTGAGCATACCTGGAGGTGATTTAGATGCTTGGGAAAATGTAAATTTTGTCTTATTTTTGTTGTTGACTTCAATCAAATTTCATAAAAAAAAGAATCATTTACAAAATGGGAATCTTCATGCCCTGTGTACCAGGTTTTTTTTAATATCTTTTTAAGACAACTAAAGAATTCTCTGTCCTAAAATACATGTAGATGATCGATGAAATATTTAATTTCATTTATTTAATAATCTAATTTATTAAATATCTCGATCGATTTATTTTGCGTAACTACGTACATTTGTAAACAAATCATGACCCCCCTTTTTTCTCAAAAGATTTGTACAAGTATTTCAAAAGCATTGTCATAAAATTGATATCTCCTCTGATTTTCTCTTTTTTGTAAACTGTTCAGTAAGTAGGAAACTAAAATCATTTTGAACTAATGTTATTTATTTGTGGTCGACAATATTCTACTTTTGTTTTTGACCTTCATTCTCTGGACACCACGTGGGCTTTGAAAGGGGAACTGCAAAAGGTACTGTTTTCCAGATTCTTAACAACATTATATATTATACGTTCTTTTATTTGACTGATATTATTTCATAACATGCTATTGTCATCTTCTCTGAATTTCTTCGCTTCTTGAAGCCAAAACCGTACAGGGTATTTGATAGCTTCATATTGTAAATGACATCGGAACGTCTCTCTTGTTATCCTTGCAAACATACGATACTTTCCGGACTTTAAGTAGACGACCAATCAGTGACCTGAATTAACGTGAACTATATTTAGTCAAAGGTAAACACTGATTTTACATCCTTGTTTATCGCGACCGCAACTTTGCGACAATACTACTCTCGACACTTGCCTGTATACATTTTAAAAAGATTTTTTTTTCTTTTTGAATTTATATTTTTGTCAGTGAAGTAGCCGGCACTTGGAGCCACGGCGAACAGCGGATTTCCGTCTGTCGAGTACTTTATTTTCAATTCGCCACCTGGGCTACCACAACTGAATAAAAAGATCGCCCAGGTCAATTTCTGGTCGCCCTGGGCGACCGTTAAGTTTTTTCCCTGGTACTACTGCAACAGTTTGTCATCGCAACTCCTCTGAAACCACACAACAGAATTTCATGAAACTTTGTAGATAATAAGGACATACTATGTAGATGTGCATATCGACAGGAAATTATGATTCAATTTATTTTCTTATACAATTTTTTTTCTTACACATATTTTATTACCCAATGACAATGTGAGGACGTGGGGTATGTGAGCGCGCTCACTAAGGTTCTTTAATTTTGTAATAAAGAGAGTTCACTTAGTCCCTATGCTGATATGTTAATATGGTGTTCTGCTCATTTTGTAATAAAGAGAGTTCACTTAGTCCCTACGCTGACATGTTAATATGGTGTTCTGCTCATTTTGTAATAAAGAGAGTCCTCTTAGTCCCTATGTTGACATGTTAATATAGTGTTCTGCTTATTTTGTAATAAAGAGAGTCCTCTTGGTCCCTATGCTGACATGTTAATATGGTGTTCTGCTCATTTTGTAATAAAGAGAGTCCTCTTAGTCCCTATGTTGACATGTTAATATGGTTTTCTGCTTATTTTGTAATAAAGAGAGTCCTCTTGGTCCCTATGCTGACATGTTAATACTCATTCTCTGTAACCACTTAAACTTTTTCGGCACACATAGTCACCAATCTTCCTGAAAATTGGCTGATATGTAGATTCTATTGGACTAGTCGGAAAAATAATGCCAACCGATATATATATTGGTTGGTTACCATGGTAACAGCAGAGAAAGTTGGGATTTTTGAGAAAAATACAATATTTGGTGTAGTGTTGTGAAATTATGCAGCTACATCTATTAAAAAGAAACATAAAAACAATTAATTTCAGTCTTGTTTTAGTCAAAAATTAAAAAAAGTTACGGGTAATCTAACTAGAAACATGTGAAATTAATTTCTAAAAAATGATCATTGTGCAATATTCCTCACAATACGAATTATCTCCCTTTGGTGGGTTACTCTAATGACTGGACCAAAACGAAAATGCTAATAACTATTTTTATTTCTAAAAGGATTGATGTCAAATTTAAATTGTTATAAATTTAGACCATTCAATACATAAATATAAGAAAAAAATATAGAAAACTTTTTTTAAATCTTCATAAAATGTGACCTGACCAACGCTGACAACGACAGGACCAAATGAAAATGCTAATGACTTTTTTATTTCTTAAAGGATTTATGTTAAATTTGAAATATAATAAAATTTGATCATTTAATATATAAATTAATGAATAAATATTGAAAAAAATAATAAAAAATTCAGAAAACGTTACCTTCCTAACGTTGACAATGACCTGACCAACAACAGCAAAAACATGACTGATGAAAATTTCTGTGTTATTTAATATTATTAAAAAAAATCAGAGAAAATAATATGTTTTTGAGTAAAAGACTTGACCTGACCAACGTTTTACTGTGTCCTGGTCGTTGTAATACTTAAAACTTATTTATATCTTATAGGACAAAAATGTAGGATTTGTTTAAAATTTATGAAAAATTAACATTAAGATTGAATGGTAAAAAACTGGGAAAACAGTTTAGACGAGCACTGGATTATTTAAACTTTTTGTGGTATTGAGTAGTATATTGTATTTAACTGTGTTGTAAATTATGTTGTATGTTACTGGTTATAATTTGACACGTTTGATCACAAATATAAAGTAACACACAAAAGTTGTGATTGAAGTAGGCCATGCATAAATACATGTAAGTTGATAAATCCAATATAGTTTGTTTTTTAATATTGTCTTACAGTAAATAATTATTTCCACGTACTACTTAAGGCATGCCCGAGCCTTGTGATGGTTATCTTGGTAGTTTTAAATATTTTCATAAAAAACAAATAAACATTTTGCAGACTACTTGCGGTATGCCCGAGCCCCTGCATGCACGATATCCTGGTAGTTTAAAATATTTTCATAAAATATAAGTATACATATTCGCGGACTTTACTTGAGGGTTGCCAGAGCCTTGTCTTAGTTTTAAATGTTCCCGAAAGTCAATACATTTATCGTTTGCTAATAGGTCTGTACGCATTTTATATTTTCTTATTTGAAAAAATTAATGGTTCAATCTAATGTTTCTATAAATTTGATGCAAAGCCTATTACATATAAATAGGTATAAAGTCATTTTTCCTGGTCATGATAACGGTCAGAATGAAGGACAGAAAGTCACAGACAAAAAATCGCGGACAAAAAGTCACATGTATAATATGTTATTTATAAACATTGACTCCTGTTTCAAAGTAAAATATATTTTTTTTTGTTAAAAGAAAGACAATATACTAATTTTGAGAAACATCTTTCTGTAATGGGCTTTCAGTGAAAATCAAAGTATATGTACATGTATATAATTCTTTTAAAGTTACCCTGTGTAAAGATCTAGAGATATCGTATTGTCAATATTTTTTAATTTGCTGTTAAAAATCCATGAAGATAATTGTTTTTTTCTCAAATTTCAATAATCCAATGCCTATTAGTAATGTTAATATAGGGCGACCATAGGCGGATCCAAGGGGCCCTGAGGGCCCGCCCTCTCCTTTCATTGGAACATTTTGTTGATTACATATGGAATCACTGAAGCATGAATTTAGCGGGCCATCTCTTAAGACAGTCAGTGGGACCCCTTATATGAAAATTGTCTTGATGGTATATTTTCCCCCTGTTGCTCGTTGTAAGACCAGCAGTCACCCACTGTCAGATTTTCCAAGGGTCCTCGTAGGGAAACCGTATTTTTTTGAAAATCTCGAAAATTCTCCCCAGCCAGAACGTCAAACAAGAAATGTGTCGGATGGATAGCAGGGACCATCGAGTAGCCGACTATAACCGCCCTTGCTTGTTACGCCCTCTGTTTTCTAAAGGACCCTTGTGTTTATTCTTTTAGGGGCTCCCTAGTTAAACTATTGAAATTTCTGTCCTTGTCCAATTGATCCCGATTTCCAGTGATATTTTAAATTGTCCGCCTTCATCCCAGCCTAGCCCTATTGCAGGACCTTTTTGAAATTTTCTATTTTTTATAATTTCACCTCAAAAATTATCTTCATGTAGATACTCATCATCCTATAATACAATATTATTCAAAACGTATAGCTATACATGCTTTGACATTTCAACATTGAGTTTAAAAGAATGAATAAGAAAAATAAACAGCTCATAATAAAGGTATTTTTTCCTTTATAGAAAGTTTAGATGGTCATTTATCATTTATTTAGAGGATCAAAGTCTGACTCTTTTGGTTCTATTTTTAATTGTGTTGAATTGCATCAAATTATTGACTATAATTAATTTTTGGCCAGTAGACTAGCACAAAACCTACAATGTTCCTATTAAATTTATTGATTTTGTTCTCTTCTGAAATATGCATGAGATGTTTGACACTGGACATAAATCCAACCACAACTAATCGATCATTTCTTTTTTACAAAATCTTTCCAGCCCCAAATATTGCACAATTGAATATTTAATTTTTTAAATGATTTTACTAGTATTTCTAGTTTTTCTTGTATATTTTTCATGATCATGAAACAGAAATTTCTTCATAATCAGCAATTTTATCCACTTAAGAGAAATTGTATTTGTTTCCTTCAAGTGGTAACACCATTATCGATATACTATACTAGCAAAATCATTTATACATACACATATGTGAATACAGCGAAACTTAATAAGTGTTTTAGTTTTTCTAGTTTTGTGTACATTTAAGAAACTAACTGAAACTTTTTCAAAATTGTTTTAAACTTGTGTATCATCATGAAATTGTTTTCATAGCAACATAGTTAAAACTATTATACCTATATAAATGAATATGTTTAAAATTTTAATGATTACAATAATTTCCACAAATTGTATATTTATTTATATTTTTCTGACTGCAGAATTAGGTTTTAAAACATTTTTTTTCAAAATTTTTCAAAATTTTTTTTTTCTGAAAAAATGAAAACCAAGCATTTTGTATCCATGGTAACAAAAAAATGAAACATACTTCCCCATTACTTTTTCGCATCATTGATAAGATATGACTATGGTATTTATGAATTCATGGTTGACTTTAACTGAGGTGTCCGCAAAAAATTATGGTGAGCATTCAAAAATGACCTCAAAAGGGTATTTTTTTACCCAATGCAAACCACATAAAAAGGAGATATGTGTGATTATGATTGAAAATGAAAATGAAAATACCACTTTTTAAATTACATTAATAAAATGCATATATTTAATAAAATCATAAAAAAATAGTCTTTCTCTTAATCATTTATTATGAAAAAATATATTGAAAATAGCCATTTTCAACTTAAAATCATAGATATCCAGAAGAGGTAAAACTGGTCATTGGTTGCTATGGCAACCGATATGCTTAGCAACCAACATTTTGCCATTTTTTGTTTGTTTCATCAAGACTAGTAAGTGTGTGAAGTTTGAAGAAAATCCATGACCATGCGTGCCACACTCCCTATTTAAGAGTTTAAATAGTTACAGAGAACCAGTATTAATATGGTGTTCTGCTCATTTTGTAATAAAGAGAGTTCACTTAGTCCCTATGCTGACATGTTAATATGGTGTTTTGCTTATTTTGTAGTAAAGAGAGTTCACTTAGTCCCTATGCTGACATGTTAATATGGTGTTCTGCTCATTTTGTAATAAAGAGAGTTCACTTAGTCCCTATGCTGACATGTTAATATGGTGTTCTGCTTATTTTGTAGTAAAAAGAGTTCACTTAGTCCCTATGCTGATATGTTAATATGGTGTTCTGCTCATTTTGTAATAAAGAGAGTTCACTTAGTCCCTACGCTGACATGTTAATTTGGTGTTCTGCTTATTTTGTAGTAAAGAGAGAGTCCTCTTGGTCCCTATGCTGACATGTTAATATGGTGCTCTGCTTATTTTGTAGTAAAGAGAGTTCACTTAGTCCCTACGCTGACATGTTAATATGGTGTTCTGCTTATTTTGTAGTAAAGAGAGTTCACTTAGTCCCTATGCTGATATGTTAATATGGTGTTCTGCTTATTTTGTAGTAAAGAGAGTCCTCTTAGTCCCTATGCTGACATGTTAATATGGTGTTCTGCTTATTTTGTAGTAAAGAGAGTCTTCTTAGTTCCTATGCTGACATGTTAATATGGTGTTCTGCTCATTTTGTTAATAAAGAGAGTTCACTTAGTCCCTATGCTGATATGTTAATATGGTGTTCTGCTCATTTTGTAATAAAGAGAGTTCACTTAGTCCCTACGCTGACATGTTTATATGGTGTTCTGCTTGTTTTGTAGTAAAGAGAGAGTCCTCTTGGTCCCTATGCTGACATGTTAATATGGTGCTCTGCTTATTTTGTAGTAAAGAGAGTTCACTTAGTCCCTATGCTGATATGTTAATATGGTGTTCTGCTTATTTTGTAGTAAAGAGAGTTCACTTCGTCCCTATGCTGATATGTTAATATGGTGGTCTGCTTATTTTGTAGTAAAGAGAGTCCTCTTAGTTCCTATGCTGACATATTATATGGTGTTCTGCTCATTTTGTAATAAAGAGAGTTCACTTAGTCCCTATGCTGACATGTTAATATGGTGTTCTGCTTATTTTGTAGTAAAGAGAGTTCACTTAGTCCCTATGCTGACATGTTAATATGGTGTTCTGCTTGTTTTGTAGTAAAGAGAGAGTCCTCTTAGTCCCTATGCTGACATGTTAATATGGTGTTCTGCTTATTTTGTAGTAAAGAGAGTCCTCTTAGTCCCTATGTTGACATGTTAATATGGTGTTCTGCTTATTTTGTAGTAAAGAGAGTCCTCTAAGTCCCTATGCTGACATGTTAATATGGTGTTCTGCTTATTTTGTAGTAAAGAGAGTCCTCTTAGTCCCTATGCTGACATGTTAATATGGTGTTCTGATTATTTTGTAGAAAATAAACCTGTTAAATCCTCAACACCTCCACAAATAAAATCCTCATCACCTAGGCCAGGGTTTATAGAACATCCAGCTGGTGTTAGTTTAGAAGACGGTGATAAAGCAACATTACAATCTAGAATATCAGGTGAGGGATTTGTGTGTGGGAACTGTTCACCCCTTTCTGTTTATGTTGTAAATGTTAATTTAAATGCTTATTTTAAGATTGTAAAACAGTTGAAAAAATATGCTTTTAAAAGTTTGAATAAGAATGAATGTAAATACTTTCTTCATTTTATTTAATTTCATTATTTTTAGAATTAAGTTAATAGCACTATGAAAACAGTATTATATATACAATTTAACTTTTGAATTCAAATGATGATTATTGGGTAAAAGTTCAATGGCAAAACTCAGTAAACACTGGACATACATTATATCTAAGAACTGTAAAACTACGGATAATACTTTCATGTAGATATTCTTAAAGTCATTTATTTTTTGTTTAACTGAAATTTTGTAATGATTGTTTATTTGTTGTGTGAAGGTTTCTATGTTCAGAATGGTTTGATTTGTCATTTTGATGTTTGAACTTTTGAAATTGATTGTTATGCATCACTTCCCCATATATATCCACCTTTGCCACAAATGTTTGATTTTGAGTTTTACCTTTCAAAACATACCATGTTCCAGGGAGAACACCTGTTTCAGTTACAATTGTTTTCTATAAGTATATATAGGATATTGTGTTTAAAAAGATATACTGAAAAAACTTCTCACAGAAATTGCTTAGGGACCATTCATTTGTAACCTAAATGAGAGGTTAGGAGGAATTAAAGGTGTTAATGGCTTTTTTGGGGAATCAAAAGGCGAGGTATCCAATTTCTCAAAAGACATTATGACATGACAGAAAATAAACTAGAAAGATGACAATGAAAAAATAAATTCTGAATTTATATAAATTATAAACCCCCACTGATTTGTAGGAAACCCTGAAGTAGAATGGTACAGAGGTAATGAATTAATAAAAGATTCAGCTGATTTCCAATATCACAAAGAAGGCAATATGTTTAGATTAATTATAGCTGAAGTTTTTCCAGAAGATACAGGAATTTATAAATGTGTTGCTAAAAATAATGCTGGATCAACAACAAGTAGTTTTTATATAAAAGTTGAAGGTAAGGAAATCAATAAATAAATAAATGGAGTTGGTTTTCTAATTATGCTCATATTCATGATAGTTAAACAGTATAATACTACAGTGTAGATAAGGAAATAAAATCTTACTTTCTAAAATTGTAAGAAAAATGAAAAACACAAGATATCTGAAAATTCTTATATGGAAAAAAGCATGCAAACGACTACATGAATTTGTTTGTAATACCTTGAAGGATGATGAATGATTTGAAATGCATGTTTCACATGTTTATTTATTTTTGTGTGAGATTTTATGTCTTGAATACCATTACCAGTGTTAAAGAGTTTTCCTTTTGTGGATTTGAAACTTTTGATTTCAAGAACAATGCATGGTTTTTCACATTCAAAATGGATGCCTATTTTTTCATCACGCCAGTACATTTTCCAAATAATGTTGCTTTTTGTATTAAAAGAGATATAATAGTGTTTTTTTTTAAAATCTATTTATTGATTTAATTTGTAGAACCAGATGTAAACCCTTTAGCTCCTGTTTTTATATCACATCCAAAGTCACAGAGTATAGATGAAGGAACAGCATTTAAGGCATCATGTACACTTGACGAGGCTGACTCTGGTAAGATCTTATTCTTGTTTAGAAATATAACTCACCAACAAATAGCACCTTGTTTTAAGATGATTGTATAAATCTGAAGATCACTTTAAGCTTACTTAGACACCTTGTGTCTTGTGTAAAAAATTGACAGATAAAGCTGGTATCTCTTACTTGAATATACCATATCTCTGTATAATATAATTAACAGCCTCAGTGGTCTTGTGTCTTGTGCTTGCCTCCAGTGTGGTAAGTTTGATCCCTGTCAATGTCTAACCATAGACTTGAAAATTGGTACATTTTTCTTCTCTGGTAATCACACAGCATTTAGGAGTAAAAGCATAGACTGGTTGACTTGGAGTACTAATAATTTGTCTGCTGACTGTTACCTTGTGGACTGGCATGTTAAAGATCCTGGCTCTGTGTGGTGATCTAGTACACAGTAGGGTTCATATTCATATGACATTATCATTTTCTTGTCCAAATATGCATTATAGTAATCAAAATTTATAAACTACTGTTATTGTAATATGGTATGGAAAAGAGCAAGAACACATTAAATAAGTGAAAATAAGTTAAAATATCACAGAATATTTACTAAATAAAATTTAAACACAAAAAAAATATTGAGAAACAGGGGGGTTCATTCCCCAAGCGCCTGTGATCCATCTATCTTAATATTATTTCTTGTTACAGTTCAGTGGAGTAAGGATGGTAAAGAAGTAGAGGACACAGGAAGATTTAAATTTTCACAAGATGAAAACAAATTCACATTTGAGATCCCTGTAGCTTTAGCTACCGATTCTGGTGAATATACAGTGACAGCCAAGAATAGCCGAGGCTCCTCCCAATGGACATTTACCCTTAGTGTTGCTGTAAGTTCCTCACCTGTAGCCGATATTGACGTTGTCAAACTTATAGAAGACATGCAGGTGAGAATGACAGTCAGGCATTAGTTCAGTGTTCATGGTCATCATAAATAATGCTATATTTTGTAGTCAAACCTGTTATAAAGGTCACCTTCATTAAGCAAAAACCTGTCGTATCAGGTCATCTTCTTCTTGTCACACTTTAGTAAAACCAATGCATATTGAACCTCAATTCAATGGTCTCCTCTCTTCTGTCAGCTTTCTCTTTTCCTGTTGGTGACCTTTATATACATGTGTGTCTGTAGTTTACTTTAAAGTATGGATGCTATGCTTTAGTCTGTAAAGTCAAGAGCAGTGTGCAACTTTACAATAAAACAAATCAGTTTTATATCAATTTAAAAAAAAAATGGATATAAGAAAAAAATTATTATGATGACCAGTTGAACAATATATATATTTACATCATACGTTACATGGAAGATTGTTGTCTTATCTAGTCTGTAGTGCTTGTCTTACGTAATATGTAGTCAAATGTTAATGTATAGCAATGTCTAGTCTTTGTAGAGTATAATAGTATATTAATAATTAGATGTTAGAAAAACAGTTTTAATTTTAACTTTGAGAAAGTGTATGGTAAATTTTGAGATGATTTCATATTGAAACCTTGATTTTTTTTATGATGTAAAGAAAAAATCAAAAATTTGATTATGGATTTATCAAAAAAGATTACATGCAGTCAACAGCTCAAATGTTATAATCATATTGGATAGAAAATTTTTTTCGGATCCTTTATTTGAGATTAAATGGAATTTTGACAAATTGTTTTAAATCAAGAATTAAAAAAAGAATCAATTGACAATAGCAAGCACAACAAGATAAATGTATTGTATAAATGTATATAGCTATGCCTGAATCATGTCATCTCATGTTGTCTTCTGTTTTGTCTTCATTAGTCATTTAAAGATATGGACCTTATAGCTATTTGAGAATCTGCAATACTTCACCTGAGAATTTGCCACACATGAACTATTGATGTCATTTAATAATCACTTTTCTTTTGTGGCGTCAGACATTTTCTCTTGAGACGTCAAAATGTTACAGGAACGGCTGTGATGTCCAGTAATGGCAGACAAATAGTGATAATGTCTAGTAAAATAAATGAAACTTTTGTTAAAAAAAAAATTGAAGAACGTTGTCATTGTAGAGATGTAAGCTTTTATTGTTTATCAGCAGTTGACTTATTCATAAAAATTTGCCTACATTTCAGGTGGGTATTGAAGTTAAGAATATTAGAAATAATCGTTTGCATGCAAAAATGGCTTTCAATTTTTTATGTAGAATAATCAGTTCTTGTGTTCACACTTTCTTATCAGGATCTGACAACGACCTGTACTACTTTCTGTTCTGATAATTATGTCAACCAATGAAATTTCTGCCCTAAAAAAAGGGGGGGGGGATGTCATCATGACAAAACCAGAGAATCTCAAAATGGTATTCACAACAGAAAGTAAAACAGAGGTATCATCCTTGTTAGAAAAAAAAAAAAAAGGCACATAATCTGTTTTTCAATCTGATTGTGATATCTGATATTTGTAGAGAACGATGTTATGTTGGAAAACAACTTCATGGCAGGGCTTCCAAAACGGTCATATATTCCGGACTTGACCGAAACTTTCATAAAAAGACCGGCTGCTCTCAGCCTCAAACGGTCAAATAGAATTGGTGTGCCACATTTTGTTATTCAAGGCATTTTCATGAAACGGTCATTTCAATTTTTACCAACTATCGATCGATAAAAATGTCCGTTTGGGCATTTTAGTTTATAATTGTGGCAATCTATTTCACAAAGATATTTCGGTCATAATTGGGTTTAATAAAACAGAAGCAGCATATTTCAGATACTTTGAAGTGTCTCAGTTAGTCTAATCCTCTGGGTACATAAATGTACGGCTTGGTCTTTAGCTTGTGTACATCAATAAAAAGTAGAAAAAACACGTTTTCTTTTATTTAAATAACAACAAGCTGTCAAACAATTATCCCTTCAATAAGTTATATTGAAGCCATAAATCATTCACTGATTACAGGTTTGTTACCTTTGATGAGGTGTCCTTAGCTTGTCTTTATCAATAGAATCAATGTACATAAAGGTAATCAGGTAAACGAGGTCAAACATGTAAGCGTGTATGGAACAACATCCTATTTAATTACGCTTTATAGATATTATTTTAAATGAGCATTCAGTTTAAAAAAGTATCCTGATATTTAAAAGTTATTCTTCAAATAAGGATAATTGTAAATGAATAAGTATGATATATATTATTTTATTTAACACTGTACATCGTGTTAAATACTGGGGTACTCTCAAGGGGAAAATTTACTAAAATATATAGGAAAAACTGTACCAAGCTGAGTTGTCCAATAAATAAGGGGGCGTTCTCTATTCTTGTTTTCATATTAAAAACTGTTTTTATAATTAAAATCATAAAGAATAATATCCAATCATGACAATCTCCGACTGTTATAAAGACTTTGTCTCAAATTGAACTTTACAAATCTGCCATCATGGGCAAACGTAAACGTGACGATTCCGATCAAAATTCGAAATCTGCTAGAAGCTTTATTCATAAATGGTTACAACTGTTTTTATGGTTAAGATTTGACAGTATGCTAAATGCCATGTTTTGTGACATTTGTCAAAAACATAAACTTAAAAATAACTTTGTAAAGCCTGGTTCGACAAATTTTCGAAAGTCAGCCGTTGTAGAGCATGATTATAGCAATGACCACATTCAAGCTCTTAAATTAGAGACAGCTTCCAAAAGTAATCCAATTGTATCAGTATTTGAGAAAGTTCATGAAAAGACTGACAACGGCGCAATGTGCACCTTGTTCCGTAATGCTTACTTTATTGCTAAAGACAACTTACCAATGGACAAATTTCAGTCAATAAATGATTTAACTAAGTTAAATGGTGCCGTGATCACTTCTAAATTATATCAAGAGAACAATGTTGCCTCCTCCGAATTTGTTCAGACAATTTCCGATGTTATAGAGAAAGAGGTGATGTCCGACGTAAAGTTAAGTCCCGCCGTGGGAATTATGATCGACGAGTCAACTGATCTGGCTACGCAAAAACATTTAATTTTGTACTTATCATTGTACAAAGAAAAATGTTATCACTGTTCAGTAGATTTTACACGGTTTAAAACAATATCCTTCATTGGGCCTCCTCAATGTTATCTATAAATACCGCATCAGTTGTAAAAGTCACGTGGTCAGGTAATCAATACACAAAAAGAAAAGTATCACGTGTATTGATGATCAAGTTGTACTGCAATTAAAGCCAACATCAACAGTTTCAAATAAGATGGCCTTAATTTACAAAGTGTTAAGTACTCACAGAGAGAAGATAGATTATATAAACAGAAAAAAAAACATGAGAACAGTCAAGTACTGAAGCTGATTGATGCAATGATGGTTACTGTATTACAATACACAGAAAAATGACACAATACCGAGGATAATATTTTATTTATTTTTAGAATGAAGAAAACAAAACAGTTATAAATAAATTTATTGCATATAACACTACTAATTATTTAGACACATATATCAATTTATGCATCCTCTCAGTTACATTTAAGTATCCAGCTGATCATTGACCGTCAAAAATATTTCTTTGAAAAATGTCCGGCTGTCGTCAGGAAATTTTGGAAGCCCTGCTTCATGGTACATGTATTTCATTTTAACTGCAACAGAAAAAAATATACATCAGAAAGTATTAACTGGTGATCACTTTACAGATTAGTGATAAATCATTGATGTGACAATTAATTATAGATATCCATATTTGATATATAGAGAATATCATATGGCTTTTTCAATATCACATACCGTATCAACCCTCAACCAATATAATCCCTCGAGCAGAGCTCTTGGGATTATATTGGTTTCTCGGGTTGATACGGATGTGATATTGAAAAAGCCATATGATATTCTCTATATATCAAATATGGATATCATATACACTTTATTATATACATGTACCTCACGTAGATGTTTTTTATGTGACATGACGTCATACATATAAGGGGATTTGAAATGACGTCATACAGTTAGAGGTTTGACATGACGTCATACAGGTTAGGGGTTTGATAAAGCCTTTGCAACAGTGACGGCAATCGATGATGTGACGTCATACAGATTAAAGGTGTGATAAAGCCTTTGCAACCGTGCTGATATCGATATCATCACAGGTGGCTGATACAGCATGCTTGCCAATGACTGTATTACACATACAATTTATCTGTATATACTAAAAAGATGTATAGTGATAACATGACTAAATGTATTATACTGTTTTAGTGAACACTGTACATGTTACTGGAATAATTTATATCACAATTATATATGTTCAAGAAAAAATACTTCGAAAGCAAATTACACAAAACAATTGGGAGCAGCAAAACTGATAGGACTAATACCGAAGAGATAAAACAGTCAATAGTGAACCATGACTATGGATATACTAGTCTTTTCTTATTTTAAAAAAATTATAGGCCAAGCTTTCCTTATTCAAGATAACATACTGTGGACTCATTGAGATTTTTGTTGATACCAATTTTAATGGATTTAGAAAAAAACTATTTTCAGGGATGTTTGATTTCGTAGTTTAGTAAATTTCTGCGTATAAGCAGGGGTTTAAAGCCTATAGAAAATTTGTACTTTTTTAAACATTTAAATGCATGGTTTTCCTTTACCTGCAAAATCCATAAAACAATTAATGATGAATCCACAGTAGACACCAACAATGGACAAGTTTTGAAGAAAATTACAAGATACTATCAATGATCGGCTATTTAAAATACCAAATTGTTTAAAGGACTAGAAACACCTTTAGAACTTGGTTTTTAAACTAGACTGTTAACATATTAAAACAATATTCTTTTTAAAAAAAAAACTTTTTTTATAACTATTCAATAAGGACTGAGAAATGTCTAGTATATATTCATATTATATATTTTTATTATGATTTTTGTTTTCAGTAAAAGAACAGGCTAGATGATTCTCTCTACATATCATTTACATAATGACAACATGGGATTGTGGCCCTTCAAACACATGAACAGATTGCTCACTAACCTACGAGTGAAAGTTGTGTGATTATCAGCTATTTTTAGACTTACGTGCTTCCTGGATGTGATAAATTTCATCACTTCTTTGGCTATGTGCCAAAAGAATGTAAGATCTGTATGAGGATTGTACCAGAGGCATATATGTTAAAATTAATTGTAACTTTTTTTTGTCATTTCATCATGATCCTTTAAGTCTCAATCATTTTCGCTTCATCAGCTAAGTTTTGCTGAGTGATTCTTGTTTTGAGGCTTTTCTGGAATATGGTGATTTTCTTACAAATTTTTTAACAAAATGAATTTCATAAGAGAAAAAAAATAGGAAAAACATCAGAAGACAATTGGTAAATTGTAGATGTACCGGTAATATTATATTAGTTTTCTTCTCTTTCGCTTTAGCTGTAAGAATGTTACTGTATTAAGAAAAGTCTAATAAAACAAAGTGACTTTATTGGTAATACTATATTGTATATAGATATTGTTTGATTGAAAGAATTAAATTGTATCTTTTGCCTATAAGCATAACATTATTTTTTCAATTTTTGAAAATAGTAACAAGTTGTTGTTTGCAGTTTTCAGTGCAAAGGATAAGCTAAGTGTTTTCTGTTTAATAAAAGTAAAGAATCAAAAGCAGAAATTTTAGTTATTTTTGTATTCCATGGAATTTTCACATAAATTTTATGCATGATTCATAAAAATTTTGAAAGTAAGTTCCGATTTGAAATATACCATAAATGTTATATTTTTTTTTTATTAAGTGCAGATTTTGAAAATGTAATATTATGGGTTATAGGCAAACAAAGGAATGTTTGTAGTTCAATGAACAGATATAGATTTTAATATATTTTTAACTGATGAAATAATTTATTTGAAGAGAAAAATAATTTAATTAAATTATTGCTGTTATTTTTTAACTTATTTTTTATATTGGTGCAATAAGCAATTACTATGTTGTTGATTGAGTTTTTAAACATGATAAGATTATTTGAGATTTTTTTCTATTTTTGCTGAGAGAACATGTAGCTTTATTTGAATTTCATATTGTGTTGATTTTAATTAATCAATTAAGAAATGAATCAATTTAGTTCATTTAAAATTATCAACCATTACTAGAAAATGAAACTAATTTTATTTTGATGATGCTCATAAGATTCGAACTCTATTATAAAGTGCTTTTATCATGTTTCTAAACATTATTATTTATTATAAGTTTGGTGTGGTTTCAAGGGGAGTAACTCTTTCTCTGCCTGTTCATGCAGTATAATATTGATGACCTGTGATAATCAGCCCTTCTGGATAAATGTTTTAATTTTCTTACAGGTCTATAAAGATATATGAACTGATTTTTATATTTGAAGAATAGAGGAATATATTTTTAAAAATTCAGTATGATCTATTTCATTCAATGAGATAAGAAAGATAACATTATTTTTTGATAAACAAAATTGTATTTGATATTTTACAGAAATGTAATTACTAATTTCTTGAGGTTATCAAAGTATATTCATTTATAACTCATAGTTGTATTTCAGCTCTGTACTGAAAATTTTGACATTTAACCATAAAGTCTGGAAGGCCGACCCCAGTAATCCCACCAGAGCTATTTGCTGTGATGTTATGTATTATTATCACTGCCCCATGCTTTACCTCTTTTATGAAAATGTTATCAAATAAAATGCTGTTCTAAAGATTCTGGTGTTAATCTTGTTTTTTCCTTGAAATATCCTCATCTATCTGTCATTGACGATTTCATTAACAAACCTCTTATTATATATATGTTTAACTTTTCATGTTTCTGCAGGACAACTATAACTGAATAAAAAGAGATCTTGAGTATATGTCAATAGGATAGCAAACCAACAACACAAAAAAATAAAAAAACATCTAGAGGTCAACATACAGTCTTCAATAATAGACAAGTGTCTACACAATATCTTATCTTTAAACAAAGAGTGAATCAAAGTCTATCAATTTGATCTGCCATCATAATGACAACATAATAGCTGGTTGCCATTAAATTACATTCAGAAAGTTTACAAAACCTTACATATATTTATAGTCCTCATGTTTTAAGTGTTTTAGTTGGTTATAGCCATGTTAACAATCAAGTGCCTAATTATCACTAGTATTAATGTACAAAAAGTGTCTTCAAAAATGACAAAATGTACTTTTCCTGTTCAAATCAAGGAGTTTTATGTTATAATGTAGAAAATGAAAACATTTTCCTGTTTAAAAATATTGATCCTCCTTCTTCTATTGAAGTGGGTAACAATGTTTCTCCAAATAAGATTGTTAAATTTTAGATTTTCAACACAAGAGCTAAAGTTAGCATGTTAGAATGTAGAATTTAACTATCAGGAGTAAAGAAATATTGTACCTCATGGGCAAACAGAGAGACATTTTTAGCTCACCTGGCCCAAAGGGCCAAGTGAGCTTTTCTCATCACTTGGTGTCCGTTGTCCGTTAATTTTTACAAAAATCTTCTTCTCTGAAACTACTTGGCCAAATTTAACCAAACTTGGCCACAATCATCATTGGGGTATCTAGTTTAAAAAATGTGTCTGGTGACCCGGCCAACCAACCGAGATGGCTGCCATGGCTAAAAATAGAACATAGGGGTAAACTGTAGATTTTGGCTTATATCTCTGAAACCAAATCATTTAGAGCAAATCTGACATGGGGTAAAATTGTTTATCAAATCAAGATCTATTTGCCCTGAAATTTTCAGATGAATCGGACAACCCGTTGTTGGGTTGCTGCCCCTGAATTGGTAATTTTAAGGAAATTTTGCCGTTTTTGGTTATTATCTTGAATATTATTATAGATAGAGATAAACTGTAAACAGCAATAATGTTCAGCAAAGTAAGATCTACTAATAAGTCAACTTGACCAAAATGGTCAGTTGACCCCTTAAGGAGTTATTGCCCTTTATAGTCAACTTTTAACCATTTTTCGTAAATATTTGTAATCTTTTACAAAAATCTTCTCTGAAACTACTAAGACAAATTTAACCAAACTTGTCCACAATAATCATTAGGGTATCTTGTTTAAAAAATGTGTCCAATGACCCCGCCCGCGAACCAAGATGGCCGACATGGCTAAAAAATAGTACATAGGGTAAAATGCCGTTTTTGGCTCATATCTCTGAAACCAAAGCATTTAGAGCAAATCTGAAGAGGATAAAATTGTTCATTAGGTCAAGATCTATCTGCCCTGAAATTTTCAGACCAATCAGGCAACACGTTGTTGGGTTGCTGCCCTTGATTGGTAATTTTAAGAAAATTTTGCAGCTTTTGGTTATTATCTTGAATATTATTATAGATAGAGATAAACTGTAAACAGCAATAATGTACAGCAAAGTAAGATCTACAAATAAGTCAACATTACCAAAATTGTCAATTGACCCCTTAAGGAGTTATTGCCCTTTATAGTCAATTTTTTACAATTTTCATAAATTTTGTAAATTTTTGTAATTTTTTACAAAATATTTTCCACTGTAACTACTGGGCCAAGTTCATTATATATAGAGATAATTGTAAGCAGCAAGAATGTTCAGTAAAGTAAGATCTACAAACACATCACCATCACCAAAACACAATTTTGTCATGAATCCATCTGTGTCCTTTGTTTAATATTGACATAGACCAAGGTGAGCGACACAGGCTCTTTAGAGCCTCTAGTTTTATGCCTCACTTATGATAGTAGAAGGCTTCATATTTTATGGTCTGTCTGTCTGTCTGTCTGTCAGTCCATCTGTTCCATATCAATTTTAAGTTTTGGTTTAAGGTAATTTTTAATGAAGTTTTTACATCAATTTAGAATTTAGTACACAATGACATGTTCATTATGATGTGAATGTTTTAAAAGATTTGCCGAAAACTAATTTTGACCCAGATTTTGTGTTTCATTGATCAGTTTAAAGTTTTGGTTTAAGGTAGTTAACCCTGAAGTTTTTGTCACATTAAATTTAACCTTAGCACACAAATTTCTAAAATTCATGCCAAATTAGGGTTTGGACACAGATTTGGTAGTTCCATAAACTAGAAATGTGACAGTACAAGCAGAGCAAGGTGTCCTATGGACACATGTTTTTCAGTTTTTTGTCTCGCCTGCGATGAAAGTCGCTGAAAGCGAGACATAGGGATTGCTTTTCCAGCAATGCCTCTGGCGTCAACAATTGTTAAGTTTTCTGCTTGTTAGTTTGATAGGATCTACTTGTGATAGATCAATGATATTTTGTATAAAGTTGCATTACTATCAGTACATATCAGTTTGACGACTATTTTGAGGCCCTGCCCCCTAGAACATGGTACAGTGACTTTGAATCAATTAGCAATTTTCAATGTTAAGTTTTCTGCTTAAGTTAGTTTGATAGGATCTACTTGTGATAGATCAATTATATTTTGTATGAAGTCGCATTACTATCAGTACATATCAGTTTGACAGCTATTTTGAAGCCCTGCCCCCCTAGGACATGGTACACTGACTGAATTAATTAGTAATTTACGATGTTAAGTTTTTATGCTTAAATTAGTTTAATAAGAAATCTGACAATAACCCCTAAAATTAATCCCAACCTTCCTATTGTGGTGTGGAACCTTGTTCTAAAATTTTGACCAGAGAAATATCTCTTTTACTCAAGTTATTGTCTTAAAACCAGACAAACAATTGTTTTTGGCCCCTTTCTGGCCCCTAATTACAAAACAGCTAACACAATAACCCCTAAAATCAATCCCAACCCTCCTATTGTGGTATGGAACCATGTGCTAAAATTTCTTACACATCCATACACTTATACTAAAGTTATTGACTGCGAACCAATTTATTTTCCATGAACCAGTAAAACTGACCTTTTTTGGCCCCTAATTACAAAACTGCTAAGACAATAGCCCCCAAAAACAATCCCAATCATCCTTTAGTGGTATGGAACCTTGTGCTAAAATTTCATAGAGATCCATGAAGTTATACTCAAGTGATTGTCTGTGAATCAAAATGTCTTCAGACACAGACACAGACAACACCATAACATAATACGAACGCAAATAAATTTGCGGTCATATAAAAATCGGTAAAATTCGTCATTTAAGGGCAATAACTTGTATAAAAAGTCATCTGACAGTTTGGAAGTAAATGGACAATAGGTAGATCTCATCATTCCAAACATTTCTGCCCTGTCTGATTTTCTCTATTTATAGTGGTTTTCAAGATAATAGACAACACTTGAATTTTACCCCATGTTCTATTTTTAGCCATCTTGGCCATCTTGGTTGGCAGGTGGTTCATCAGACCCATTTTTTAAACTAGATACCCAAATGATGATTGTGGCCAAGTTTGATTAAAATTTGGATAAGAAGTTTCAGAGAAGAAGATTTTTGTAAAAGTTAACAACGACGGACACCAAGTGATAAGAAAAGTTCACTTGGTCCTTCGGGCCAGGCGAGCTAAAAAGGAGATGTGATAGGATTTCCAATAAGACAACTATGACTAAAGGACAAAGATGTGTATAGAAACATGCATAAACTAACTGCACCCATTCATCAATTAATTTTGAATATCCTACAAAACCATAATGTAGTGTACCTTTTTAAAAACATATAGAATTTAATGTGCAAGTGTTGTTGTTTTTACTGAGACTGATATTTTCAGTTTAAGCAATATCAGGCTTCAGTCATTTCAAAAAGCTTTTTCTTTTAAAACTAGAGGCTCTAAAGAGCATGTGTTACTCACCTAGGTCTATGAGCATCTTCAACAATGGACTCTCTCCAACATTGCGGACTAGAATAGTATTCATGATAAAAACCTTTTTTTTTGTTGATCTTGTATTGCTGATCAATTTTTCTCTTTACGGTTTCTTTAATTTTAGCCCAAAACACAATAAACACAAAAAACAAAAAAAGTCAATCACTCATACATAGATTAAACCAATGATTTAGACAAAATTTAACTTATTTGTAGATCTTTTCTTGCTGATCACTTTTGCCATCTATCTTTTATAGTTTTCAAGATAGTAGGCAAAAACGTAAAATATTGGTAAAATTCCTCATTAAAGAGCAAGAACTCCTACAAGCAGTCGACCAACAGTTTCAGCTATTTTGACTTGTAGGTCAAGTCTTGCTGACCATTTTTGCTTATTTAAGTTTCTATTCATCTATAATAGTTTTTCAGATATTAGACAAAAACGTATAAAATGGTAAAAATCATTTTCAAAGCGCAATAACTCCAATAAGGTGTCGTCAGACAATTTCAAGAGTATAAACTTATTTGTTGATCTTGTCTTGCTGATCATTTTTCTTATTTAAGGTTCTATCTATCTATTTTAGTTTTCAGATATATGCAAAAACACTAAAAATAAATAAAAAATTGTCATTAAAGGGCAATAACTTGAATAAGGAGTTGTCTGACGATTTCCACCATTAGATTTATTTGTAGATCTTGTCTTGCTGATCATTTTGGTATATAAAGTTTCTCTTTATCTATTATAGTTTTTCAGATATTAGCCAAAAATGAAAAAAAAATCTGTAAAATTTTTCTTTTAAGGGCAACAACTATAAGAAGCGGCTGACAGTTTTGAAATAAATAGACAATAGGTAGATCTCATCATTTAGAACATTTCTGCCTCTTTCGGATTTTCTCTTTTAACAGCAAATTTTCAAGATAATAGACCCAACTTGCATTTTACCCCTATGTTCTATTTTTAGCCATGTTGGATGGCAAGCGGGGTATCGAACACATTTTTTAAACTATACACCCTAATGATGATTGTGGCCAAGTTTGCTTAAATTGGGCCCTGTAGTTTCAGAGAAGGTTTTTGTAAAAGTTAACCACGACGACGCCAAGTGATAAGAAAAGCTTGCAACCAACATTTTAAACATGGCCATTATGTCTAAGAAAATCCAGAAATGCAACCATCATTTTAAACATGGCCATTATGTCTAAGAATATATAAGTATTTGGTAAACAGGAAGTGGATCAATTGATGAAAATGCAAAACAGTTTAGCATCCTCACAAAAGAACATGATACCAAATGTCAAGAAGATCTGATTTGTAGTTCCTAATAAAAGTGTGACCAAAATTTTAACAGGACAGATATATGGTCACACAAAACCAGTATACCCTCTTTTTTAACAGGGGTAAAATTATGGACAAAAAGTCTAAATTTTTGACTTCATATATACATACATATGTAGTTTGGCTGTAAAACTATTAAAGATTGTGTTTTTACTTGATATGTCTTAACACAGCATTAAGTTCACAACTTACAACTTAATGTAGTTTGATGTGGTGCTTTAGAGAACATAAAACTATGGAAAGGAAGAAGAGAAGATACCACAAGATAATCTGTCTATGAAAAATTCAGATCAAGTCGGACATATTTTCAGTTCTTTGAAATTTATGACTCTTTCTTACACCAATCTTTATTTTCATCCCAGACTATCAGCCTGAAGCTTGAATATCCTTGTATTTATAAATCTTTGCTGGTCTTCCACATACTGTAACTGTCTTGTTAGAAATGACAATTTTTCAGAACAGTTCATGCTGGCAGCTGATGGTATACCCATACTATCATGCATTAAAATTGAAGCAGAATGAAGTGAACTATATATATATGTATATTTCTACTATTTTATTGTTTTTAAATATTGCATATAGAAGAAACAAATCAATAATCCAGGCACATCTGATAAATAACTTTTAGTATATATATATTTATGTCATTTGAGGGTTTTTTCCTCAACAAAACATCAGATACTTAAATATCACATTATATTCCAACAAATTACAATGCATAAGAAATGATCATTCATATATCCCAAATAGACTTGACTGTGTACAGTGTATACAATGGAACCCTCTTACTAGCAAATAAGGTAAGTCAGAATAGCCTAATTCTATACCCCAGAATGCTTGTTTGACTTGTTTAAATAAAGTATTTCAGCAGAATTTATATTTAGCAACATGTTCATTTAATTGAGTTGCATTTCTTTCCTACAAAAATTTGAAAAGCACAGGACTAGGGGGCTTCCGTCTAAGTGCCAAACCCTATTCCAATGTTTCAATTTGAGTTCACACATGCTCAAAGTATATTTGTGTTTCAACGAAATCATATCCATTAGCAAGGCATTTTTTAAAATTTTCATTCATGATCAACATCTTTGTGCATTGCGTCTTATTTAAGTAAGAAACTGCAGAGCTTTCAAATTTTTATACAATAGAATCTACAATTGTTTTCATTATTTAAGATACAAGGTTAAAATAAAAGAGTTCCAATGTCCCCAGCATTGCACAATGTGACATATTTTATCTGTCCAAGGGCAATCACTAAAAAAGACTTGTGTGCTTTGAAACTTTTTATAAATATTTTAAAGAAATGAAGGCTTGATAGCAAATTCAATGCAATTTTTGAAATGATTAATATTTCCAAGAGGCATTACTCTTTTAAAATAATCTGATCGGCACTGATTTTCCAAATTGTTGGAGACATTACTAGTAAACCTTTGATATAAATTTGATAAAAATCTGGCAAAAATTGTACATGTGTGATCGCTTACAATGCAATTTTCTATATAATCAGTCAGGGGTACTACTAATACAAGTGATTTCAGCATTGAAAAATTGAAAATTTTCACAAAAATAGACAAGAAGACCAATCAGGCTACTTAAGATTGTTGACCTTTGTCTGATTGTAAGTGTAATTAATGAATATTTGATTACAGAAAAATTCCCAAGGGTACTTTTGAAAGCTTTAGCGCACTAACTTACTGCCCAAGTGCATTGCTGAAATTAATATACAAGAGAAAGGGATAACTGATCTATTAAGAAAAATTCAAGAAAATTTGTCAAAATATGAAATATTAATGAAATTAGCATTTGAAGATCAAAGGAAACACCAAAATCACTTACATAGGTGATTATTGAAATTTTCAAATCACTAAAATAGGTGATTATGAAATCACCTGTTTGAGTCAATAAGCCTGACTGATAATTAATATTTTCAAGTGCATAACTTTTAAAAATGATCAAGTCATCAATTTCTATTTATTGTAGTTTTGAAAAGATAAGGCATTGATGAGTATTTCAGTATTTGACTTTAGCTGTAACTTCATTGAAAACAAGGACTGTGAGTGAACTCACAAAGAATATGTCAACCCAAATTACGAATAGTATAATTTGATTATCTCCCCTTTAACTTGCAAGATCGTATTTCAATGCTCCATCATAAAAATAGTGTTCTACAACTGTGTAATGTTTCATCAATATTTGTCTAGCAGTTTAGGAGGAGTTGTTTGAATAAGGCACCTGACAGACAAAATTAAATAGACAATAATCTGTATAATTTAAAATCAACTACTTTAGACTGATCATGGAAAGACAAAATCATGAATAGACTATCTTTTAAATTTTGACATTGACACATCTATATAATTGTTTAAATATATATATAATACAAGTTATTAAATTCTTGATACTATTTCTTCATCTGACATTGATATTTGTTGTTTTCTTAGTCTGCTATCCTACAATGTCTATATCTTCTTCCTCTGGAGGCGGAGTTAACCGAGACATTGACAATACCTCTTCTTTCACAAACAATCCACTACGCTTTTCTTTAAGTATCTGTCTGTATTCTTTCCTCTGTCTTTGTCTATCAGCTCGCTGTCTGTTTTTCCTTTCCTGAGACATTTGTCGCTAAAATAGTATTTGAATAAACTGTATTATTTTGTATTTTGTATTAATTGCCTGCACTTGGTTTTATTTAAACAAGGTGCTGAAATCACCCTTGTTAAATAGTTACAAATTGGAAGATAATAATCCAATGGGAGCCCAACAGATGTAACAGTTGTCTAAAATCTAGTAATTCAACTAACATTTTCACGACTACAAAAATGGCTACAATTCAATTTCCATTTCAGAAAAAAAGACAAACAAAAACACAAAACTGGGTTAATTTCAAAAGGTTCATGAAAAAAATCACTGCAATTGAGCAACCTACCAATATACATATTTAATATCTGTATGTTGGAAACAAACACTGTTTGTTCTTCAAGTCAAGAGCCTGTAGTTGATGGTTGATGTCTATCATATTTTTTTCGTAAATTGTATTGTTTTAAAACTTTTAAGATGTTAGTTTTCTTGATTGAATTGTTTCACATTTTTCATGTCGGGACCTTTTATAATTGACTATACAGGTTTGGGTTTTTCTCAATTGTTGAAGGCCGTACAGTTACCTATAGTTGCATATATAAACATCATTTGAACTCTAGTGGATGGTTGTCTTGTTGGCTTTCATAGCACATTATTTTCATACTGTGTAATGTTTATATACAGTAACCCCAATGATAAGGTGATTCATTTAAAATTCACTCTTTCTAGTGTTATGGGTGAATCATTGTTTAGTTATTACACATTAATTTATGACCCTTTCAAAATGTTTCAGAATAGATTGCACAAACTACCAGTAATATTTTTTGGAAAATCACCAAATAGTATACAAGCACATATTCATCGGACTTACTTTAACAGTTAAGCATTAGTAAAAACTTGCAAATCTGTTTAAAATTCAAAGATTCACCCGAGAAAAATTTCAAAATCACTTATAAAATATTTTTGAACTGAAAATGAAAGAAATCTGCCAACATAAACTTAAAAGGACTTAAAAGGTACTTTAGGGCTTTTCCATACTTTAATGAAGGGGGGGATCGCAAGGCACTTTTAATAAAATTAAATGGGTGGTGGTTAATTAAGACAGATAACTTTAACAATTATATGAAATAATCAATTCAAATTATATGCATAGCATGGTTAAAAAAAAAGTGCCTCCCCTCCTTACATTTATTTCTGGAATAGCCCTTAAATAATTTTTTATTTCTGGAAAGAGTTACTTTATATAACATATCTGTTGCTATTCTGTTTGGAAAACATTCATGTTCATATAATATATCTTCTAAAAATTATCTCCCACATTTAATAAATATTTTATTTCCTGATATTTCTTGTCAAGTGTAAAATAATCTAAGGTCCAAAAATAATGTATATTCTGTTGAAGAAGATATATGGCAATACCTTTTTATTTTTTCTTGGTGAAGAAGTTGATACACCATTATCATCTGATTGACAATCTGCACAAGAATGTGTCTTTATGTAATCTTGTATTTTCTCTATTTTTTCTTCTGTCATGTTTGTTATATCTAAAAGTACACAAGTAATGTTAATATAAGTATCATTTCTGCACCTTCCGTAAATTTGGATTTATTAATTTCAGTAGTTAAATAAAGTTATAATGTTTGATGAAAGCTGAATGAAGACCATCTATATTAAGTTTAAGCAACATCATCAGGAAACATATACACACACCCATACTCGATGCATGGTGTCATGAAAATTCTGCTTACATAGCTAGCATCTCACTGCATAGGTTTAAAGTTACATATTTCAAATTAAAAGTACTAAAGAAATGTTGCAATAAATACAAGAAATTTTAGCTAAAATTATGTAGGTCTTTGGATAATGTGATTCTGTATACTTTTATGTTCCTTATGTTCTACTGAAAACAATTTTTTCATTCTTTACCATTTTTTAAACTTATATTGGAAAACATATATTAATTGTATTTTGACCAAATGAATTCAGGACTATACAATGTGTGTTATCCTGCATTAAATCCATCAGTTCTATAAATACTGCTGGTAGTTATCCAAGATAATTTCTGTTGCACTTAATCGAACTCTTGTCACCATGGTTACAGCAACAACAGCAAACCTTAAGTGCAGGTTAAAGACTCTACAAGATTAATGAGATTTGAACATCTAAAAACTACTTTTGCCTAAATTCAAAACAAAATTATTGGTTTATAATGAAATAAAATCGTGCCAATTGAGATTTAAATGTGTATGTGTGTGTAGGTTTTGCCAACAGGAGGGGGCTTAAGATTTCAAATGATTCATCATACACTTCTGCACGTAAATTTTCAAATAATATTATATAATATTGAAATGCTTCCTTCATTTTTGTTGTATATGTACTGGGAGCTCATGTTTTTTAATTTTTTTATTTACTTTAAAATAATAAAGCTATTAAAATAGGTCACAATTAAAACATATCAGTTGTACAATTTAAATATTAATTAATATTCATTTGAAAAATGAGATTCAAATTACTCATCTGTTCCCAAATTTGATGCTCTACTTTTAACCAACCATCATTTCCTTTCATGAAATACCATTTTAAAACTTATAATATGAAGCAAGACATTTCTTTTTATATTGACCTAATGAATTCAGGACAATACAATGTGTGTTATTTTGCATTAAATCCACCAGTTCTATAAATACTGTTGGTAGTTATCCAAGATAATTTCTGTTGCAATTAATCGAACTCTTGTCACCATGGTTACAGCAACAACAGCAAACCTTAAGTGCAGATTAAAGACTCGTAAATCTTTACATTCTCACTTCTGCAAGATTAATGAGATTTGAACATCTATAAACTACAATTGCCTAAATTTGAAGCAAAATAATCGGCTTATAATGAAATGAAATAGTGCCATTCCAGATATAAATGAAATGTGTATGTGTGTGTATGTTTTGCCAACAGGAAGGGGGGTTAAGGTTTCAAATTATCAGTCATACACTTCTTCACATAATTTTCAACTAATATTATATAATATTGAAATGCTTCTATCAATTTTGCTGTATATGTACTGGGAATTCATGTTTTAATTTTTTTTATTTACTTAATTATAAAGCTATTAAAAAAGGTCACAATTAAAACATATATATCAGTTGTACAATTGAAATCGTCTTCATTTTAAGAGTTTTAAATGGTAAAAATACTCCAGAGTCCATATTCAGTTTTTACTTTAACTAAGGTTCTGCAGAAATAATATATTTTAAGACTCATTTTTACAATTTACATATGCTTAGTTAAATTAATATTTAAAACCGTATACAATCATGACAATAAAGAAACAGGTATCTTTCTATCAGTGATTAGGTAGATATTCATTTTACTCTCCAAAGTGATATGTAAATTAATTTATTATTAAACAATCAACAATCAATCAATCCCTGTGTGTAGTGTAGCATCAAATAGGTTGAATTTTTCATTTTTAAATTTTTCATGAAGTACCCCAGTAATGCTGCCATTAGTAAAAGAAATTTTATCTAAATTAATATGTCATTTTAAAATGTGATTCAAATTACTTGACCGTTCCCAAATTTGATGCTCTACTTTAAACGAACCATCATTTCCTTCATGAAATACCATTTTTAAAAGTAATAAAAGGAAACAGAAATTTTTCTATTTTGACCTAATGAATTCAGGACAATACAATGTGTGTTATCCTGCATTAAATCCACCAGTTCTATAAATACTGTTGGTAGTTATCCAAGATAATTTCTGTTGCACTTAATCGAACCCTTGTCAACATGGTTACAGCAACAACAGCAAACCTTAAGTGCAGGTTAAAGTAAAATATTCAGCTGGTATCTACATCAGACGAGTGTGCTATGGCCCATATTTCGAATGTCTTTGAAGAAGGCTAATTGGGGTCATGCTCTGACTTACATAGTCTAACTTTAATATGAATCTTCATGTTAATAAGTAGCTTTTGTTATCATAGCTAAGTCTGAACCCCCAACCCACCTGACTATAAGAGTATGGTGCTATTCCAGAATTAAATGTGTATTTCTCCAGCAGTAAGGGATGAGATGAGCAACACTAAACATCTTAAATGATAAGTATTCTTCATCATGGGTTTTAAAAATTTTTATTGTAGGTGCCTTGGAAAAACCCAAAATACCAAATTATCTGGAAAGCTTACTCAAAAATTCTTTTTCTTGCAGATAATTTATAAAAAACAAAAATGCGAAACAATAATGCATTAATTTCTCGAAGTGGAACACATTTCTATAAGCTGCGTTTGATCCCTTGCAGAAACTGATAACTAATTGCTGTATTGGAAGTACAATTTTAAAGCAAAAAGCAATATTAATGTTATTAAAAGTCTGTTACGAAACAAAATGTATAAAACTAGTCTTACCTTTGCTCTTTGATTGAAAAATAAACAATATTAAGGAGTCTGTCTGATCTATCCGTCTCCGTCTGTCTTTCAGTATGTCTGTCTGCCTGTCTGTCTGTGCGTCTGTATGTATGTATGTATAATATACAATTTGTATCAAAAACTTAAATCTTTGAAGTTCTTAATTCATGTACACACAACATGGTTAAAAGTTTGAATAAGAATGCATTGCAGAATGAAACTTCTTACAATTGAATTCCTGTATGAAAATTTACAAACCTATTAAGAACTGTTTATCTGTGGGTGAAATTCTTGATTTAGGATCTATCATTCTTACAACTTCCAACTGTTCTCTTATTCCAAGATCACGACTTATTCTCTGGCTTAGCTGGTCAACAACTATAACTTTCTCATCTTCCTTTAATTCATTCCTGTAAATAAATAACACGTTATAAAGAACTATCAATTTTGTGGATTCATTGAAAATACAAACTTCAATATACATGATATATGCACAAAGTATACAATTTCCATAGATTCTGTTAGGTGTATGAGCAATATCAAGAAATTTAGAAACTATTACTGGTACCATAGAACTTAACAAAAAACTATCAAAATTAAAAACCAATTGTTCAAAGAACAATCGAAGGTCTTTCCACAAAAAAAAAAACATGAATTTTAATATGAAAATAGTAAAATTCGGTTTAAAATGTCATTTCCAGCGTCAAATGATAGCTTATTGTACGCTGATTCCAAAAATATATGGTTTCTATACAATATTTTTTAAATAAGGGAGATAATTTGTTACTTCCGGCATTATTCAAACGTTTGATTGACACTGATACCAAAAATATCTGGTTCTATAAACTTTTATATTAATTAAGTACAAAAAAAAGCTACTTCCGGTTTACACAAGGTCACTTCTGGTTGGCTTTTCTAAGATTAAATGGCTTGAAACCTAATAAAAAAAATCCCATGGCTTTATCATGTATCCATATGAGGTAAAGCAAAGGTCAAAATCTAGAACGTCAATTTAACCTATGACCTTGAGCTCAATTTCAAGGTCATCAACCAAGGACCTCAAATCAAAAGACCTTAGGTCTTAATCATATTTGATTCATGAGTTATATCACCATATGCATATTTTTAAATAAAAGAGGGGAGAAAACTCTAATTTGATGTAAGCGTACCCTTTAAACCAAAATGTATGTGTTACGACATGTCGCAACTAACAATGAAGTAAAAATATGTTGTCGATATCTAATATTGTGTTTGAAAAGAGGTGAAAATAAGCCAAAATCCAAATTTAGAAATGACCTTTGACCTTGACCCTATTTTCATTTTTTTTGGACCAAGGACCTCAAATCAAAAGACCCTAGGTCTCTATCACTTATGGTTAACCAATTACAATTACATTTTAATTATTCTAAATACAGAAGGGGAAATAACTCTCATATGGATTTTCCGGAACCGCTTTGGTCAAAATTATTTTCAAGATCCTGAGGATATAACGAGCAAATTGGTGAAATAATTTTGTTGTTATCTTTAACGGTTGCGAAGGAGATGGGGTACACAAGAAAAACAGTGTTTGGGGAGATAACTTACACAATAAAAAGTGTTCAGGTTAACAGGGTCAGTTTCAAAATCGTAATTACTGTTCGATATCATATGCAAATAAAATGCTTCGCTGGGGCGCAGCTTGATACGACCGCAGAGGTCGAACCCTGAACAGTTGGGGCAAGTATGGACACAAAATTCAAGCTTGATACAGCTATGACTTTGGATTGTCATTAAATATTTGACACAGCATAGGTTTCTGACACAGGATGAATGTGGTGTAAGAACTGGAAAAAATTCAATTTACCTATTATGGTGGAATATCCATAAACTAAATTGTTTGTTAATTTCAATATATCAAAGAATATGTAGAATTCAATGTTTGATGTAATGTAATAAAGTTGAAATTTGGACCGTTTTTGTTCAATGTGGACCAATTTGGTAACATGTATAAATAATCAAAAATCTAAATACATGGGAGCCCATTTAAATACATCATAAAGGTATTAAAATAGAAAGTGACATCATAGTCATGGCTAAAAATAAACAAAAATCCTTAATCAGCAACATTTAAAGTAATATCTAAAAATAAAATTCCTTTGTAACCATAAAAGCCCATTTAAATACATCATAAAGATATTAAAATAGAAAATGACATCATAGTCATGGCTAAACATAGCAAAAAACCCTTAATCAGCATTATTTAACAGTAATATCTAAAAATGGAAATTACATCATAAAGGTATTAAAATAGAAAATGACATCATAGTCATGGCTAAAAATAAACAAAATCCTTAATCAGCATCAGCAACATTTTATAGTAATATCTAAAAATAAAATTCCTTTGTAACCATAAAAGCCCATTTAAATACATCATAACAGATATTAAAATAGAAAATGACATCATAGTCATGGCTAAACATAGCAAAAACCTTAATCAGCATCATTTAACAGTAATATCTAAAAATAAAAATTTCTTTGCAACCATAAAAGTAAAATAGAAAATGACATCATAATCATAGCTAAAAATAAACAAAAATTTTTTTTATTGGCAAATTTTAAATGGAGTTTATTATACTAAAACAATAAATTTGCAACCATAAACATGATAAAACCCCATTTAAACACATCATAAAAGTATTAAATAATTCAACTACATCATAAGGCTATAAAAATAGAAAATGACTTCATAGTCAAGGCTAAAGGTAAACAAAAAACCTTCATCAGCAAAATTTTATATTGGCAAATTTCCAATGAAGTTTATTACACTAAAATTGTTGGCAAATTTCCAATGCATTTATTAACAATAAAGTTATTGGCAAATTTCCAATTTACATAATTTAAAAGCAGTGTAGATGAGATATTTAAATGAGTTTGAATTACCAACCTTACACTGCTTTTAAATAATGTTCTTTACTCAATTATTTGTCTATTAAAATGGAAACCCTTGTTTTTTAACCTTTTTCCCCCTTATTCCTTAAACATTAGAGCCATAACCACCACCCCCCCACCAAAGCCAATTATTACTTTCCAATGTAACCTAAATTTCCAATATACATAATTTTAAATTTCAGTTCCTCATGATATATAACCGTATCATTATTATTTTCTTTCATATATAAATCTGAAACAACCATCTTTAAATGGAAAATTTTAAAGAAAAAAAAAGGAAAAAAAAAAATCCTACCCCCCACACATTTTTTCAACCCCCTTTTGATTCATCATCCCCCACCTCAATCACAACCTTCAATTTGTGGTATGGTACATTGCAATACAATTTCACAGAGATCCATACACTTGAACACAAGTTTTTGTTGCAAACTAAAAAAATCCTTATTTTTGACCAATATTTGGCCCCTTATTCATAAATGTTTGAGCAATTAACCCCAAAACTCAATTCCTACTTTCTCTTCGTGATAAAAAATAACTAACTTAAAATGTAAATTTTAAACAAAAAAAAAAGGAAAAAAAAAAATTACCCCTTTTTTGACCCCCGCCCCCCTTATGATTCATCACCCCCACCCCCCTTTCCCCCCAAACCAAGCTCAATAACAGCCTTGCCTTTGTGGTATGGTACCTTGTAATACAATTTTAGAGAGATCCATACACTTGAACACAAGTTATTGTCTAGAAACTAAAAAATGCTTATTTTAAACCCCTTTTTAGGCCCCTTATTACTAAACGTTTTGGGCAATTACCACAACACTCAATTCCAGCTTTCCCTTTGTGAAATGGAACCTTGTAGTAAAATTTCAGAAAGATCCATACACTTACACACAAGTTATTGTCATGAAACTAGAAAAATGCTTGTTTTTTGCCCCCTTTTGGCCCCTTATTCCTAAAATTTTGAGGCAATTAACCCCAAAATCAATCCCAGCATTGACCCTTTGTGATATGGAATCTTGTGGTACAATGTCAAAGAGATCCATATGCTAACACACAAGTTATGTCTGGAAGTTACAAAAATGTTTATTTTCGGCCCCTTTTTGGCCCCTAATTCCTTAACAGTTGGTACCATAACCCCTTAAATCAATCCCCACCTTCCTATTGTGGTATTGAACCTTATGGTAAAATTTCATAGAGATCCATTCACTTAAACTAAAGTTAGAGTGCGAAAACCATTGTGTATTCGGACGACGACGCCGGACGACGACGACGACGTCATACCAATATACGACCTCAAAATTTTTTTGCGGTCGTATAAAAATCTAAGCGACATCTTGCGAAACAAAAAAGCACCGTCAGAAAAAAGAGGCAGAAGAAGAAAAAAATAATAATAATCAGAAGAAAACCAATAGGTCTTTCCACAGAAAAGTGGAAAGACCTAATAATTATAATCAGAACAAATACAATAGGTCTTTCCACAGAAAAGTGGAAAGACCTAATAACAGAATTTTTACAGTCAGACTGAAAATCTAGTGAAATTACAAGAGGGCACTATTTGCAAACATTGTTATTTTTTGCATGTTTTAGGAGAATATTCCTTTTAGCTTATTGCATTCGACATGAATGTATGCTATTATATTTCTCTCTTTGCGTATCTTTCTTTAATCCACAGGTTTACTTCTCTTTTCAGTCGGTATAGTAAGTTATCAGATATTTTTGTACTGTCAATATAGTAATTGACTAAAACCTTCAAAAAGATATGTAATAGTCTTTGTGAAATGCCTGAAACCAAGTGAGGAATATGACATTTGTTTTTCACTTGTTCTGTTGGTTGATAACATTTGATTTTGTCAGTTTTATTGGACTTTCCCTTTTTGAATTTACCTTGCAGTTCGGTATTTTTTTTTTTTTTTTTCATCAATTAACTCATCAATGACGTTATTAAATCTTCACATTTTCTACTGTTACATTATTTGAACAAGTTTAACAAGAACAATGATTTTTTTAAACAAGCAATCAATCAACTTAGAATTGGAGACAAGTATCACTTTCAAAATAAATGGGAACAAGACTATATCCATCCAACACCATGCACCGCACACACTATCATATGTCGATGTTTAAATCATGGTTAAAATCTTCAATTTGTCTTATAAATTAAAAGTTTACCTCAAAATAAACATGTGTACTAAGTTTCAAGTTAATAATACCAAAACTTCATAGAAAACTACCGTAACCATCTTTAACCTTAGAATGTCCTAATTTCTTGCTATCACGATTCTATGTGCAGTGAACTATAATTGATGTAAAAACCATTATTTGGCATATGATTTAAAAAGGTCATTACATAATGAATGTGTACTAAGTTTCAAGTTGAAATGACCTCACATGGTAAACTACCTCAACAAAATACTTAATCTGATGCATGGTGGACTAATAGACAGAGAGCACAGACCAGAAAACATAATTTTTCTCTATTTTCATAGGTGGGGGATTTTAAAAAACCTAAGTAAGCTAACATTTCTTCAGATAGAATTTATTGATAACACAAGACAATACCATACCATTTCTTGTGTCTTCTGTTTTTAGAAGAATAATTTGAACAACTACTGCAAGATAAATCTATACTGGCTGGTTCGGATGGAGGTATAATTCTGCTACAATTATCACATGATGAATCTATTTCTGTGTCCTTTATATCTTCATGATCTTCAAGAACAACTTCAGAAAAATCTACAAAAAAAATAATTAAATAGTATTGTAAGGGAAACAACTCTTAACTGAAATCCTACACAAGACTAAAAGACTTTTTACTTTCCTAATCCTTTTGAACATTGCAACAAAATAGTTAAGAGTACAGGTAAAATAAGGGTAATTTAAATAATTACTGATACTTTTTTTCACCTTACCATTGTTCATTAATTTCAGTTAAAATTTTCGTCAGCTTTATAAAGGAAATGCAATATTTCTTTTTTTCCGTGTATTTTTTGCTAATCAAGTATTGAGCAACAGACACATACATTTATGTTATATACTGAACTTTTTTTTGCTGTTGAGGTTAAGAAGATGAAATCACCACTACATGGCTCATTTTGAGAACCAAGTCTATTAAAATACATTTTAATACTTTGCATAATAAAGAAATATGATAGTTTATGAGCACCTAAATATCCTATTTCTGTACCCATGTGTTAAAACCAGAGTATAACACATCTATACACAGGAAAATATCACATGGATAATTAGTCTAGCACACTTTACACATACTCCTAATACTACAAAGTAAAGGAGCAAACCAAATGTGCTTAATTAAAAGTTGGATATTTGAAATGGGTAAATTAATATAATATCTGTTACCAGTTCTTCTTTTAAATACTGATATAAATCTTATTTATCACAAGTTTGATAAAATAATAATGCAAGTCTCCTTGTTGTAAGTGCAATAGAATTTTTTTTGCTCACCTGGCCTGAATACAGAGCAACATAATATCATTATATCTCATTGTGTGTTAAGTTTTTTTTGTTTTTATCTTTAAAACTATCAGGCAAATCTGTACCAAATATGGCCAAAAGTATTCTTTATAGGACTTTCCAGATAAGAATTATATTTTATGGCCTTGAATGAAAGTATCCAATACTTTTCATTATTTCATAGAACATTGAGGTCCAACATTACTAAGATTTATTGTCTTTGCACCTTCGAAACAGATTAATGCCTTAGAACAGGTCAATTAATCCCCTTCCCAACAACCATTATGACCACCTTTAACAGCCTATGGCAGGCTATTGCAGGAAAAAATGTATGGGAGGGTTGGACACCACATGATATTTTTTTCTGCAGGTATAAATAGTCCTACTAACAGAAACCTACACCACAACTAACTATGACATAGCAATGATAAGCAATCAGACTGGGGCGGAATATTACATCCATCATTGATACTAGGATATTGTCCAATCATCATGTTGCTGTTATTACTTAGCTATAACAATAGGGTCAAATTCAATTCTCTGTTTTGGATTAGAATGTAATGGGATTTTGGGGATTTCTGGGAAAACAATAAAAATATGCATGGTCATATCAAACTGACGGTTTGCTTGTCATTAATGATACATTTAAAATAAAAGAAGAACGTGTCCATGGGACACAGATGCCCCTGCTTGTAAATATGCTCTAGTAGTCAATGTACAAATTTTGATTGTGGAAAAGTTTGGTCAGTATATACAACTTGTAGCTAGAGTGTGTACAAAAGAAATTTTCCAGTTATAAAGAGGCATTACTCAAGACCAAAGTGTTGAAAACAGCAAATTTGGCAATTTTTCCATTTATAAAGGGGCATAACACACAAACGGTTAAAGTGCCGCCACCCAAATTTCAACTTGATCTGTGTTTGGTGGTAATAAGCATTGTGTATAAGTTTCATAACATTTGGTTGAGGCAAAGTAATGTTAGAGTTCAGAATCCGCAAAGTCACCAATTTTTTTCCATTTATAAAGGGACATAACAACAACAAATGGACACAAGTTAACCAATGCAGACAAACAGATTTTGCAGGAATGTTTATAAACTGGTTCTTTTTCAAACAATCCCAATAAAAACCTTAAAGAAGCAATGTATGTCAAAAGGGTGCAGAATGGTGTCATTTCAGGCAAAAATTGCCATCAGGAACCTGGAAAGAAATTTTAATTGTGTATCCGTGTGTTAAAACCAGAGTATAACATATTTAAACACAGGTAGTTATCACATGGATAATTATTATGGCACATTTTACACATACTCCTAATACTACAAAGTAAAGGAGCAAACCAAATGTGCATTGTTAAAAGTTGGTTATTTGAAATGGGTAAATTAATATAAAATCTGTAAACAGTACTGATATAAATCTTATTTATCACAAGTTTGATAAAATAACAATGTAAGTCTCCTTGTTGTAAGTGCACTAGACTTTTTTTTTGTTCACCTGGCTTGAATACAGAGCAACATAATGTCATTATATCTCATTGTGTGTTAAAGTTTTTTTGTTTTTATCTTTAAAACTATCGGGCAAATCTGTACCAAATATGGCCAGGATTATTCTTTATAGGACTTTCCTGATAAGAATTATATTTTATGACCTTGAATGAAAGTATCCAATACTTTTCACTATTTCATAGAACATTAAGGTCCAACATTACTAAGATTTATTTTCTTTGCACCTTCAAAATGGATTAATGTCATTGAGCTGGTCAATTAATCCCCTTTCAATCAACCATAATGATCACCTTTAACAGCCTATTGGCTATTGCAGGAAACAAATGTATGGGAGGGTTGGACACCATATGATATTTTTTTCTGCGGGCATAAATAGCTCAACTTGAACTAACGGAAACCTACAACACAAGTAACTATGACATAGCAATGATAAGCAATCAGACTGGGGCGGAATATTATATCCATCATTGATACTAGGATAATGTCCAATCATCATGTTGCTGTTATTACCTAGCTTTTACAATAGGGTCAAATTCAATTCTCTGTTTTGGATTAGAATGGCATAGGATTTTTGAGATTTCTGGGAAAACAATAAAAGTATGCATGGTCATACCAAATTGATGGTCTGCTTCTGTCATTAATGATAGATTTAAAATAAATGAAGAATGTGTCAATGACATAAAGATGCCCCCAGATGTAAATATGCGCTAGTCAATGTACAAACTTTTGAGTGTGGAAATGAAAAGTTTGGTCGGTATATACAACGGGTAGAGGGCGGACAAAAAGAAATTTTTCCAGTTATAAAGAGATATAACTGAAGATAAAAGTGATAGAATGCCCAAAACAGCAAATTTGGCAATTTTCTATTAAAAAAAAAGGCATTACCCAAGAACGGTTAAAGTGACAATAACATATATGACATCGGACATACTTTTATTAGAATTCATTACATTGCATGTAGATCACAGCTCTTCATCTTTTTTAAGGGAGTACCTTTACTTTTGATCTTGTTTGACTCTGCAATTTTGCATTTTAAATATAAGCATACACTGCCTAATTGCATAATTTTGGTTGACAAATAGGCGATGCAAATAACCGTAATCGACTGTACTGATATAAATCTTATTTATCACAACTTTGATAAAATAATAATGTAAGACTCCCTGTTGTAAATGCAATAGATTTTTTGGCTCACCTGGACAAAATACAGAGCGTGCTATTGTGACAACATAATGTCATTATATGTCATTGTGTCTCAAGTTTTTTTGTTTATATCTTTAAAACTATCGGGCATATCTGTACCAAACATGGCCAGAATTATTCTTTAGAAGACTTTCCTGATAAGAATTACATTCTATGACCTTGAAAGAAAGTATCCAATACTTTTCACTATTTCATAGAACATTGAGATCAAACATTACCAAGATTTATTTTCTTAATCATGTTAATAAACTTCAACCACGGATTAATGTCAATGAACTGGTCAATTAATCCCCTTTCCATCAACCCTTATGACCACCTTTAACTGCCTATGGGCTATTGTAGGAAACAAATGTACTGGAGGGTTGGACACCACATGATATTTTTTTCTGGTTGTATAAAAAGCTCAACTAACGGAAACCTACAACACAACTAACTATGACATAGCAATGATAAGCAATCAGACTGGGGCGGAATATTACATCCATCATTGATACTAGGATATTGTCCAATCATCATGTTGCTGTTATTACTTAGCTATAACAATAGGGTCAAATTCAATTCTCTGTTTTGGATTAGAATGTAATGGGATTTTTGAGATTCCTGGGAAAACAATAAAAATATGCATGGTCATATCAAACTGACGGTCTGCTTGTCATTAATGATACATTTAAAATAAAAGAAGAACGTGTCCATGGGACACAGATGCCCCTGCTTGTAAATATGCACTAGTAGTCAATGTACAAATTTTGATTGTGGAAAAGTTTGGTCATTATATACACCTTGTAGCTACAGTGTGTACAAAAGAAATTTTCCAGTTATAAAGAGGCATTACTCAAGACCAAAGTGTTGAAAACAGCAAATTTGGCAATTTTTCCATTTATAAAGGGGCATAACACACAAACGGTTAAAGTGACGCCACCCAAATTTCAACTTGATCTGTGTTTGGTGGTAATAAGCATTGTGTATAAGTTTCATAACATTTGGTTGAGGCAAAGTAATGTTAGAGTTCAGAATCCGCAAAGTCACCAATTTTTTTCCATTTATAAAGGGACATAACAACAACAAATGGACACAAGTTAACCAATGCAGACAAACAGATTTTGCAGGAATGTTTATAAACTGGTTCTTTTTCAAACAATCCCAATAAAAACCTTAAAGAAGCAATGTATGTCAAAAGGGTGCAGAATGGTGTCATTTCAGGCAAAAATTGCCATCAGGAACCTGGAAAGAAATTTTAATTGTGTATCTGTGTATTAAAACCAGAGTATAACATATTTAAACACAGGTAGTTATCACATGGATAATTATTATGGCACATTTTACACATACTCCTAATACTACAAAGTAAAGGAGCAAACCAAATGTGCATTGTTAAAAGTTGGTTATTTGAAATGGGTAAATTAATATAAAATCTGTAAACAGTACTGATATAAATCTTATTTATCACAAGTTTAATAAAATAACAATGTAAGTCTCCTTGTTGTAAGTGCAATAGAATTTTTTTTTTGTTCACCTGGCCTGAATACAGAGCAACATAATGTCATTATATCTCATTGTG